ACCCTAACCCTAACCCTAACCCTAACCCTAACCCTAACCCTAACCCTAACCCTAACCCTAACCCTAACCCTAACCCTAACCCTAACCCTAATAGTTCCTTGAGAGCTGTTTAGACACAATGGGTATGATTGATATAAACGAAGCTGATGATGGAGAGTCGCCGATATCAGATGCCTCTGTAGAGTAAGTACTAGAACTTTCAGCTCCAGAATAATCACCTAACACCTTTCAAAGCCTCGTCTTCGTTCACGGCTTACATGAGCCCGGCAAAAACGCATGGATTGACCAGGTATCGGGCATCTTATGGATGAGAGACCTTTTCCCTTATGCTAGATACGGGGCCCGGTTGTTACTATATGAATATGATGTCGATAGATTAATGGCACCAGGAGGGCCTAACATCAGTAGCATCTTTGACGAGGCAGTTTCGCTCGTCAATCATCTCATTGCGAGCCGAGAACTACACCAAGCGGAGCAACGCCCGATCATTTTCATATGTCATGAATTTGGCGGTCTCTTGGTGAAAAGGGCTCTCGCCTACTCTCATTCCAGGAAAGGTTCCAGAGTTGAGCACATTAGATCCATTTACCGTTCCACGGTTGCGATAATGTTCATGGCAACGCCCCATGAAGGCTTCAAAAAAGAAGCATTAATCTACACAAACCGGTCCCGTCATCCGGAACCAAATAACTTCATGCTGAGTTTACTGGAGGGCTCAGAAGCGCTGCAGGAGATTACCGATCATTTCGCACCCATTATGAAACAGTTCTACATATATAATTTTTGGGAGCAACTTCGCACTGCTGTTGGGCGGCATAAGATCTATATTGTGGATCGAACCTCCGCAAGTCCGAGCTGGAACGAAGTAGATCAATGTGGCATAAATACTACACACGCCGGAATCGTGAAATTCACCAGCTCGGCTTCCCCAGGCTACAGGCTTGTGTTAGCAGCACTGGATAAGTATATCAAGTTATCAGCAACAGGTGTTGCAAGAAGATGGGAACAAGATCTCGAGCTTATACGGAAAGAACGCCAACATGAGGTAGAAAACCTACTGCCTGGGGCCTTGCTTAATCATGCAATTGGTGCAGAAAGTATCGCCCACGAGTTAATCACGTTGAGAGGAGCACCATCTATATCAACGCTTACCAGCCCTGAAAACAGTAGCAAATCACTCGTATATTTGAGCGACTCTTCAGAGGAGGTCAGGACACCGTGCGTCAACCTTCACTATCTCGTTAATCGTCGGTCAGAGTACTATGTGGGGAGACAAAAACAGACGGAACACCTGCAGCAGAAATTTCGAACTCCCAAGCGGAAAGGGCAAAAGCCCAAGGTATTTGTGGTGTACGGCCTGCCGGGGTCTGGTAAAACGCAATTTTGTCTCCGATATTGTGAAGACAACCGCCATAGGTGCGTGCTCTTTGGAAATCCGTTCGCGCAACTTACTCACTAGCAAACAGGTATTGGGGAGTCTTTTGGATAGATTGCTCGACAGAGCCAAATGCAGAAGACGGGTTTAGATCGCTCGGCGTTCTGGCAGGAAAGGGGTCACAACCAGGAGCGGGTCAAGCGTGGCTATCCCATCTTCCTCATTCGTGGCTCTTGATTCTCGACAATGCCAATGACCCCGAGATGGACTTGTCCATGTTTATCCCCGTATCTGGGGATGGGCACGTTCTTATTACTACTAGGAATCCTGGCGCACAGCTTTATAACACGGTGGGCGCATTCCAATTCCGTGGAATGGACCCTGAGGAAGCCATCACACTTCTCCTTCGCTTAGCCTATCCTGAGAAGGAACCAGATCAGATAACCAGTGTATACAGGCAAGATGCAGGCGTCATCGCGTCAGAACTCGGCTACCTCGCTTTGGCTCTAAAGCAAGCTGCTCATACAATTCGAACACAATTTCTACCCCTTGGGAGATACCTGCAATCGCTACTGGGCTGTCGCCAGGCTCTCCTCAGTCGTCCCCTTGTGAAATCTGCCGCGGATGCTAATATATATGCGACCTGGGAACTGCCATTCACAGATATTCTAAATGGCACGACGCAAGAACATCGTGATGCTGTAGAACTCGTCCATATCTTTGCCTTTATGCACTTCGTTTCAATACCGAGCAATGTATTTACACTATGTTCAGACGCTTTAAAATCATGCAAAGACATTGCCATCCGCCCGTCAGTTATCGTCAACTCATCTTCGATGCAAATGGTAGGCGATCGTGTTATGACTGCAGCTCGAGTTCTCTACGATCACTCAATCATTTCAATCAGTGAATTAGATCACCAGTCTGAGATAATGACCGGGAAACTCCTTCCAAAGCATTACTTCACACTCCATCCAGCTATCCATCAATGGGCTCGAGAAAGGCTTCAAAAAGATGATCGAGCAAAGTGGCTTGCTTGTACAGCTGCCATCCTCGAACACTCCATATCAACCAATATGGAGACAAGCGGGAGGGCTCTTCGTCGACTCTTGTTGCCCCATATTGAAGCATGCTTGTCAGTACTACAGAAGACTTATTGGAATTTTCCCGAGAATCTAGAACAGGCTTCACATCTTGATAGGTTTGCTCTTGTCTATGCTGAAGCCGGGTTGTGGAAGAAAGCACGTTCATTACAGCTTAAGGTGGTCAAATTACGTTCTGCTAGACTGGGTGCAGCTCATCCGCTGACGATACATTCGAAGCGAAGCCTGGCAAACTCACTGTGGAATCTGTTCGACCTCAAAGGTTGTCTAGAGGTTCAACGCCAAATACTCATGACTCAGCTATGGTCTCGCCCTTCAATATCAGACTGGCTCGTGTGGCCTCCTTGGAAGCCTGTTCATGTTCAATACTGCACCACCTTAAGCGACTTGGCTCAATCCTTGTGGCTTGCAGGGCTTCAAGACCTTTCGAAGCGAGCTGGAGAAAGAGCAGTTACCGGGTTAATACAAAAGTACGGCTCTGATGATCCTTTGACTTTGAACGCCATGTTTAACCTAGGCCGAACTTACCTACACCTTGAGGAGACCGAAAAAAGCGAGGCAATTTTCAGACACGTATTAGCAAGACGGGAACATTTCTTTGGGAGAGATCACCCCGATACACTTATGGTACGCAATGAATTGGGAATGAACCTAATTTCACAAAAGGGGGGATTGCACGAAGCTGAGTCTCTTGTATATGATGTACTACAAGTGCGCCAAAAGATTCTAGGAGAAGAACATGCGTACACTTTGTGGTCTGTCAACGATCTCTCCAAGGTCTATATGGAGTCAGGGCGCAACAGCGAAGCAGCGGCGATTCTGGAAGAAATCATTCCCGTCGTTAAAAGAACTCTAGGTGATGATCATGTCGGAATGTTTATGACTAAGGGAAATCTTTCTCGAGCATACATCCGTAGTGATCAATGGGAACAGGCCGGTGATCTCATCAAATGGCTACGTAAAATGGTCCCTCCCGATCATCCTGACTGGGTATACGCTGAATGGGGCTATGCCTACTATGTCCTTCACTATGAAGATGATGCGAGCACTGCGGAGAAATGCTGCAAGACCATCATGTCCAAGGTATTTGAAACAGAGCTCCTCAGCGCTAGCAATGCTCGAGTCATTGCCACAGTAGAGATCCTCCTACGCATATACGAAGAACAGGGAAGGAATTCAGAAATCAAGGAGCTCAAAGAAAAATTTCCCAATATCGGCAGTAATACTAACGTAGTAGAATCAGCTAGCAGCTTACCGTTACCGCGGTGGAGACTTAACAAGCCATCATGATAGCTTCTCTGGATTGTGTAGCTATAAATAACGGCTAGTTTCAACATGTTGTCGAAATATGTCAATCATTCATTGCGATAAATCGAAAGAGGCAACAACACTAATATCGCCTCCATGTTACAATCGTCTCATGAAGCTTGGTCAATTGGAGAGCCTATGGCATAGGCTGTGTCTCTGCCCTGCCTCGTTAGCCCCCATCACCCCACGATGGTCATGGTATAACAGATCCCACAGAGGTTTCAGCCCCGATAATGTTTTGTTTTCAAGTCCGTTAGAGTTTTTTATTGGTGTGACAGGTAGTTCAACATACTTGGTGTTGTTTCGTCTAATTCTGTATTACCTGCACCAATATCACTCACTGTGACGGTGACTCTTTCATGTTGCCGCATTTCAATCTTTAAAACTAGGACACTCTGCCTCGGCTTCCAATGGCACTTTTATCTTAATTCGCCCTATTTCCTATACATGAAGATAGACATAAATTTCCTTCTGATCCTAGAACATATTCTAGGAATTTCCCAAAAATTCCCCTTTACCAATTCTATTTGGTATTTAGTCCCAAAATACTGGCAGCCGGTCCTCTAGTTTATATCACTCTCCTCATGGAAGATCGCACGGACAACGCGATGCCAATCTCTTCGCCGATGGTATCATGGCATTCTAGCTCATTGCCGCCTCATGGGCACCGTTCTATCCCTGATTTCGGAACAACCCAATCCTCTAGTAATAGCAATCTGGTGAATGATATTTCTAATGAGATTCCTCATGTCCCAGTACTAGACGAGATCACAGAGGACACTCAAGCCGCCAAACTATGCCCTGCTGAAAAGGTCGACAAATCACGAGCGCCTCCGCAGTTTCTCATTCCAGAATCTTGGAAACCAGCTTACCTAGCAAAACGACGATTAGTCATGTTCCCCATCATTTTCTTGGTCTTTGTTATCACAATACAGATCCTCATACAAATATCCCAATCAAACGATGGCTTGGCAAAATCTACCAGAAACTTGCACTATCTTTGGACGTTTGGACCGATGGCCGTGTTGATATTACTCGCGGCAGCCTGGGGACGCGTGGAGTTCCAAGCCAAATCCGTTGCGCCATGGGCTCACCTGATGGAAGGAGGGCAAGCTGACAAGACCCTATTCTTAGACTATTTGTCCATGCTTCAGCCAATCGCGGTCGTGAGAGCTGTCAAGTTTCGAGACTGGGTCGTCGCGTCTGCAACGCTGTGTAGTCTGATTCTACGGGTCGCTGTTGTTTTTTCAACTGCGTTGATTGTTCTCTTGCCAACCGAGATCCTTGATGCCAATGTCCCAGTTGCTCTGCGTTCCAGTTTCGTAGACAATGCTACCGAGCTTGGAGACCTTGCTACCAGGATAGGGACACTGCCTTATTATAGTAGTATGTAATCCTGAGCACCCCGCCCCGATTTACACTATACTCCATACGTGACCTCCTACTAAACACCAAGAAAGAATGATGCTTCTGAAACTGCACATTTCTTCGTTCTTCCTCGGTAGCTCACCTAAGAAAAGCCGAATCTAACTAGCATTATATCATCAGTGCGGGGTCTATCTACAAAGAATATGGCGTTTCCAGATGGTACATGGAACAACTATGCCTATCAACAGTTTGCTGTACCAGATGTTTCTGACGCGCGCCTGAACGTCACAGTGGACGGTTTCACGTCGAGCTTGTCCTGCGAGCCCGTTTCGTTGAATATAAGCTACAGTAGCTGTGATGAACTTAGCTGGCGTGGGTATTGCTGGGCTCTGGAAGCGCAAGACTGCCAGTATCCCATCCAGCGTATACTGGTCCAAAACTTACCGGAACTCGACAATATTCACGATGCTCCTCCATCATATTATGGACAGGTGGGCCTTACAGGATGCGACAATTCAACAAAAATTCAGGATGTCCGCATGTATATGTTATTTGGAAAACTTGGGCCAAATAATGGAACAGTGCCCGCAGATTACACAACTATTTGGCAATCTTCCCAAATTGTGTGTCGAGCTTCTTATGCAATTGACCGAGTTGACGTGATCAGCAATCACACTGAGGTACTTAGTGTCTCCAATGCCACAATAACTGCACCGCGACATATCGAGGAATTAGAGGAAGGGAGAATGCTCGACCTCTACCTCGAGTCCTTCGAGACTGCAACCAGCACTGAATCTATGCGCGTGACCGTGCCTCTTCTCGGCGAGACCGGAGAGCCCGAAGACGCTGATTTAGATCTGTACTTTGCGGATGCATTGATGTTTTCTCTCGCATCAAATTCATCAGTTTCTGACTTGTTCCAGCAGTCCTTATTGGAAGAGATAATAAGCCGCCATTACCAACAAACCACCGCGTTCATTGCAAAGTCCGTTTTCTCAAAGCAAACTGCAGGGGGCACTATGGGCACGATGTGGTTGAAGAAGGACCGGCTCCTCGTTAGTGCGGCGACCGGCCACACTATGACCGCCTTACTCTCTGTCGCCGCGATTCTGAGTCTCATAGTCATCTTCACCAAGCCTGGCATAACGAGCCTACCGAAGAATCCAAACAGTGTCGTCGAAACTGCACAGCTTTTAACTGCTAGCAAGGATGTTAAGAGTCTGCTATCAGGCGCTGGACCAGCGTCACTCGGCACGGTAAAGAACCGTCTTCGAGATTTCCAGTTCAGGGCTACTGCAATTACAGATTGCGCGACGGAGCTGCTTCGAATAAGTGCTTCAATCAACCAGGAACCTCACGAGCTTCATTATCTCAATGCTCCAGCGAAAACCATGAGGACATCACTTGTTCTCAACCCAATTTCCATGGTTGCTGTCCAGGTACTCATTATCGGGACCATTGTGGCTCTAGAGGTAATTCTGCGGGTTTCCGGAGACGAGAACGACTTCGTCGACGTCTTAGATGGGAAATATATACATTTCACGTGGACTATTCTGCCTGCGTTGTTCATGTCTCTCATATCAATGTACTTTGCCGCGGTTGACTTGGAAATTCGTTCATTGACTCCCTATTCAAAGCTGAGCAAGGGAAGCTCCCTCGCACATATGATTCACCTAGATCTCCTCGACGGGTCGACGCCGCGATTACTTTGGCGTGAGCATCGTTCTGACTCTCTAGCCGCACTAGCGACGACGTTCTGTACGCTCACCGCCTCATTTCTAACCATATTCGTAGGCTCGCTCTATACTACTGTGGATTTACCGACGGATTTACCCGTTCGGCTTCTAATGGAGACGTCTTTCAATGTAACAAGACAGGTAGTTGCAGAGACCACCGATTTGGGGCAGCTACCGGATTTCTCCTCACTCACCAGCACCCTCATACTCGAGAGCAATTTATCATATCCTGCCTTTACGTACGAAACGCTGGCCTTTCCAGAATTTTCGATGCTCGACATGGAGCAGAGTCATCAGATCTCATCGTCTGACGTTGTGCATGCGACGCTGCCAGCACTAAGATCTAAAATGTCTTGTACACGGTATAGTGCGTCAGAGATTCAGATGGAAGTCATATCTGCCTCTATCCCCGGCGTTCCAGCCAGTCATGAGGCGACGAGAGTGGTATTGGCAATAGATATCGACGGCGAACAACATCAATCATTCTCGATACCGAACGGACTAACTCACAACGTTGAAGTTCCGCTAGACAATGGTGCGGACTGGGTGTTCGGATTCGGCGATAGTTGCAACGGTCACACCGGACTGCTCTGGTGCACGAGCGACTTTCTTTATGTATGGGGCCATAAAACAAACTCTACAACTCAATCTGGAAATCATGTAGCCGCGCTAACTTGCAATGAGTCTATCGAGGCAGTCGACGCATTCACGACGTTCGTAGGGCCCCAGCTGAGCATTGATCCCTCCTTCCCACCACGTCCTATAGATGATTCTGCACGGCGGTCCACCGTCAAAGTACACTCCAGCATAGAATGGCAGGAAGACGACTGGGAAAGTCCCTATATCTACCTAGCACAGGGCGTCGCAGCGCCAGGGACGTATCTCTGGCCATTCTTCGACGCGCTCATCACATCGCGATACGCAATTTCGTTAGGGGACCTAGACGATCCACATCAAGACGCGGCCGTCGCGAGCGCGATCGTAGCGCAGCACGGAATTCTTCGCGCACAGGTCCTGAATGAGGGTTTCCGGGGACCAGCGAACGCGACCAATGCAACACTCGTGAATCCTCCCGCCAACATCGATAGGGCCAACGACGCCATTGTGTATGATGGCACTCTGCGGAGAAGTTTTGGACGTAGGCGTCTCGCGCAGGACCCAGCAACAACGCGTGTGCTCGAAGCACTGCTCGTCGCGACACTTGTGTTATCCGCAGCTGGACGGCTCCTGATGCGGAACACGAAACTTCTCCCGCGCAACCCTACGAGTATCGCCAATGTGGCTGCGATCGTAGCCGACGGGAATTTGGACTCAATACTACCCGAGAACACCCAACTTCTGTCAGACGACGAATTCCTGGCAAAGATTGGTGGCGGATATTTACTGCGTCTGGGTTGGTGTGTCAGAAAGGGAAGGCGGTGATACTTGCGTTCCACATACTGGAATGCTAGGAATCTATATATAAGACCTTCATCCAGCCAGATGACTATATTGTAACTTAGACTTCTAGATATCTAATGGGATCACATATACTACTCTTAACAGGTTATAAGCCCGGACGTTCACCTAAGCGTATCTTCAGCTATTAAGGGTTAAAATTACACTTTATCTTTAACCCTCCACTATTCGCGAATACAAAATAACGATACGCATTAAAATTCCACTTTATTAATCCTATAAACGAAGATTATATTAAAATATTATTACTTCGAATAATAGTTAATAAGGCTAAGTTTTAAAGGTTAACTTAAAGAATTTTTAACCCATTAATTCTTTAAAATAAATAAAAGCTAAATAAATTATATATAACTAACTACTTAAAAATCCTTAATCTAACCTTTTCCTTTTAATAATTATAGGAATAATTATAATTATATTATTAATACTTAATAGTAAAAATATTATTAAATATTTATTATAACTTTTATAATTAGGTATAACTTTAAATATTTAATATTATTCGTTTTTTAAATATTTAAGCTTTTCCCTATTTTATATATAAAGTTTTAATATAGTTTAAATACCTTTTTAACTAAAAAAATATAGGTAATTAGGATATTAATTTAAGTTTAAATTATGTTAATTAACTACCTTTATCTTTATTATTGTTATTAAGGGTATTTGAAGTTTCTTTTTACCCTTTAATGCCTAATAATTAAGATCTTTTTGGTTACAAAGTTAATATTTCACCTAATTACCAAACTTTAAGATTAATTACCTTGGAGAACCTTTTTACTAACCTTAATACCCCCCTTTTTAATATTAATTTTCAAATTAAAGAACTTAATTTGGATTTATCCTTTATTTTAACCAAAGATTCTTAAGGTAATTACTTTATAAACCTTTTCCTATTAAATGCCCTTTTAAAAGATCTATATTAACAATATATTATAATATTAAACTTTAAAGAAGAAATAGATTAAAAATTATTAATTATTACTTAACCTTACGCTATAAAACCTTTTATAGCTATTAATCTATTTATTAAACTAATTAAGCTAACCTTATTAATTATTATTATATTATTTATAATATTAATAATTAACCAAGATATTGTTAAATAGTATTAAAGAGTTTAAAAAGGTAGCCTTTTTTAATAGTTTGGAATAATAGTTAAAGTAAAGTTAAAATATATAAAAAAAACTTAATATAAATAGGTTTGTTTAAATATTATTAGAAGGGCTTTATAAAGTAGCCCTTTAATAAAGAAAAGGAAAAGGTAAAAAAACCTTTTTTATTAAAAAGGATAAATGGTTTAAAAAATGTAATATAGTTAGTATTATAATCTAAAGTAAACTATTATAAAATGCTTATTAATAAATTTAACTTATATTAATAAAGCTTTTTAATATACTTGCTTTATTATAAAATAAGTTATATTAAAACTATAAGCTTAAAGAAAAGGTTTAGTTTATATAATATTATTAATAATAGGAAGAAATAACATTTAAATCTACTAATAGTATTATTTAATTTATTACTATATTATAATAGATTTAAGTAAATATAATTAAACTTAATTTAGCTTTAGTTTAATTATATTTATATATTATTAAAAAATTTATTAATAGTTTTAAATTTAAATTTAACTTTTTTTTAATAACCTGGAAAATTAATACCTTTAAAATTCCAATTATTAATATAGCTAAAATTATAATATAAATAATAGTTATTTTAAAAGAGGTAATTAATATAATATTATACTTTAAATAAGGTTAAAAGGAATAAATAATATAAACTACCCTTTTAGCTATTAAAGTTAATCTTCTTTTATTTAAATAATAACTTAATAATAAAAGGAAGGTATATTTTAACTATAATAAAATATATCTTTTTCCTTATTTTATAGCTTACCTTAAACTTAAACTTTTAAATTAGGATAAAGATATATATTTATAATAAATAAAATAATATAAAAATAAAGTAAAAAGATTTAAAGGGGATAAGGATATAAAAGGGGAAAGAAAAGTAAATTTTACTACATTTTCTATATCCTTTTAAAAACTATTATAAGCTCTATTTATTATTAAATTTCTTAAATATACTATCTTTATAGTTTATTTATTATTAATAAATTAACCTATTCTTATTAATTCTATTAACGCTATACTTAACTTAATATCTTTAATATTTAAAGGATTTATATAAAAGTTACCTTAAAGTAATACCTTTTAAAATAAACCTAACGTTAAAAACATTAGCATTAGGGCTATAAAAAAACTTTTAAATAATATATTAAAGAATAGTTACTTAAAAAAAGTTATAAAAGCTTTATTTATTATTATTAATAAGAATTAAACTAATAGCTTTATAAAAATATTAAAGATAGCATTAATTATTAATAATAGTGTTAACATTTCTATATTTTTAAATTTAACCAGCTTTATTAACCTATATATTATACTATACCTTATAACTATTAAAATTGGTGGATTAATAATATAATTAACCTAACGTAGAAACTATACCTTTATTAATATAGTTAATAAAATAAAGAAACTTATTACATTAAAGAATATAATCTATTACTTAATAATTAATATAAACCTAATCTTTATATTATACCTTATAGAACTTAATGCTAAATTCCTCTTTTAAAATAATAAAGCTTACGCTTTAAAAGGGAATAATATATTTTTAAAAGGTATAGAATATAATAGCTTATATATAATTAATCAACCTAGGTTAAATATTAAAGCTATTATTACTACTTTTATTACCTATTCCCTTTTCAATTTTAAATTTATATTATAGTATAAACATTTTAAATATATTAATAAATCTTCAATTAAAAAATTAATAAATGTTAAATATATTAAGCCCTAAAGACCAACCTATATATATAAACATTATATTTAAATTAAAATAAAGGAAATACCTTACCTAGAAAAACTCTAACAAGGTACCTACCTATTAGAATTATTATATATTAATATTATAAATATCCTTAAAGCAGTACTTAAAGGCTATAAAGACTTTATATATATTACTATTATATATTATAATTTTATAAAAATAACGTAAATATTATTGCTTAAAAGTAAAGAAAAATTTACCTAAGCCTTTAAATCTTTCTTTAAATATTATAAATGCCCTAAATAAAGGTATTATATATTTATACTTAATAAAGCTAAAAAAAATATTAATAGGAAATTTAAATATATATATTAAAGTTAAAGAATTTAAATATTATTTATTATTATAAAGCAATATTAATAAGGTAATATTTATAAAAGAATAATAAGAATATATAAATTTATTATAGTTCCTATAATAGTATAAGCTATAAATAATAAAATATTATAAAAATATTAGCCTATTATTATTTAAATAGCTTATTATATAATAATATATTAGTTTAATAATTAATTTAAAATATTATTATATAAGAAATAGTATAGGTAAAGGCTTACCTATAATTATATAATAATAATAAAAACTAATAGAAAATATTTCTAATTAAATAAAAAGGGATTAATATTTATTAAATAAACCTTACCTTATAAAATACTAAGCTATTAAAATTAAAGTTCCTATAACTATATAATCCTTTTAAAGAATAAAAGGGTTATAAATATTAATAATATAAGCTTCTTTTAAAAAATCTTTTACCCTTTGCTTAACTTAATTAAAATAATTAATAAAAGAAAATAGGTTCGATAAAGCTTTAAAAATAAAACTATAGGAAACTTTAAAAAATTAAATATAATAAAAGAATAAAAGTTTAAAAGTTTTCCTTATATTAAATTAAAAGACTATATATTAATTTAAAAAAAAAGAAGATTAAACCCTATTATAATAAATATTATACCAAATATTATACTAGCTATTATATTAACTACTACTTTATATACTATACTTAAGGCCTTAATAGATAGATCCTTTAATAAAACTATTAAAAACTCCAATAATATCTTAAAGCTAAATAATAGTAATAACCTTAACTATTAAAAAATATTATTTAATAGTATTAAAAATTAAAACGCTTTAAGCATTATATTTAATATAAAGTTAAAAACTAATAATAGTAATAATAAAAATGTTAGGTTTAAAATATAGGTTTTAAAAGAATATATAAAGCTTATACTATAACTTTATTATAATAATATATACTTTATAAATTATAGCTATTAACTATTTACTTTTTATTTTATTATTATTACCTTAAAAGCTATTAATATAATTAAAATTATTAAGCTAATTAATTATAAAGCTATTAAAAGGAGTTTATATTAAAATAAATAGCTAAAGGCAATAAATAGTAAATATAATTCCCTAATTAATAATATTACTTAGGATTTTATATTAATATTACTTAATATAAAGGTATTATTTAAAAAGTAGGTTTATAAACTTAAACGGAACAAGTTGGGAAAAATAATTAAATATAAGGTTAAATAAGTAATTAAAGGATTTAAATAAAGAAATAGTATAAACTATAATAAAACATTTACCTTTATAATTAAACCTATAAGCTATAAAATATTATTTATAATTACTGCTACTTTAAATTTTAAAATCTATTAAATAAATATAAAGATAACATTTTTATATAAAAAAATATTGGAGGATATTTTCGTTAAATAACTATTAAAGTTTATAAAGGACCTAAATATAATTTATAAACTTAAAAAGGCCCTTTATAGATTTAAATAGGTACCTTATATATAGTATAAAATATTAACTATATTTTTAAAAAGCTTTAAATTTAATAATTTAAATTTAAATATTAGAATTTTTATTTAAGGAAATTATTATATTATTATTTATATTAATAATCTTTTAATTATTAAATTTAAAATATTAAAAATTATAAAGATTAAATAAGTATTAAATAATAAATTTTAAATAAGTAACTTAAGCTTTATTAAATATTATTTAAAAATAGCTATTAAATAAAACTATAAGGTATATACTTTAAAGTTATTATAAAAGGCTTATTTAAAAAAAATACTTATAGAATTTAGATTTTAGAATTTAAATAAGTTAGAATATTAAAGATTAAAGCTAACCTATATCCCTTTATTTATTAAAATAGAAGCATTTAAAGATAACTTTATTTTAAATCCAAATAATTGAAAATAGTATTAAAGGGCTATAAATTTATTAATATATATAATATTAAGTATTTAACTTAATATAACGTTTATTATTTTTAAATATAGTAAGTATATAGCTAAACCTAATGCTTCTTATATTAAAGTAGTAAAATAAATATTTAAGTACTTTAACTTTATAATTAATTTAAAATTAATATATAAAGGAGGTAAAATTAAACTATAAAGCTTTATTAATTTAGATTAAGAAGTATATAAGGAGATTTATTAATTAACTTTAAGGTATATATTTAATTTAGGAAGTAGTACTATTAATTAGAGTTTAAAAAGGCAGCTAATAGTCTTGTTATGCTTATTTAAAGCTAAATTAAAAAGGTAAACCTAAACTATTAAAGAAGCTATTTAAATATAAAAACTATTAGTTAAATTAAATACTAATTTAAATAATATGCTTATAATTATTTATAGCAATAATTAAGGAGTAATTTTAGTTTTATATAACTTATTATTATATAGTAAAGGGAAATATATATTAATTTAAAATTAATGGTATTAAGAATAAGTTATCGCCGGAGAAATTGATTTTAAATATGTTTTAACTATTAATTAAGTAGTAAATAGATTAATAAAAGCATTATTAAAGCCTACCTTTAAAAAGTTTAAAAAATCATTAAGCTTAAAATAAATAATAAGGTTAAAATAATTTATATATAAAGTTAAATAAAAATCCTATATTAAAATTAACCTAAGTTAAGATACTTTTATTATTATATCCTTTAATAATAATAAATAATATAAAAATTATCTTTATAGTTTAAAAATATAAAATTTAAATTATTAAAAATTAAGCTATAAAATAAATATAAATTTAAAAAAAACTACTAATAATAACTTAAAAAAAGTTTAAAATAAAACTATAAAGTATTTTAAAATAATACTTTAAAAAGTAAAACAATAAATACTATTAATTAACTTAAATTAAATCTTTTAAATACTTATATATTTAAATATAATAGGATTAACCTTTAAAAGATACCTTTAATAATATAATAATAATAAGCTATTAATTTTTTAAGGTTACTTTAAATTAGCTTTACCTATAAATAATAAAGTATATATTTATTTATATTCTATATCCTTTATTAAAGCTTCCTAATGTTAATAATATTTAAAACGTTATAAAAGTAGCTAATATAATAATATAGCAGTAAGAGCTACCTTAAAGGAATTTTAACTAATTATAAAACTAAACAACTTAACTATAATAGCTTTATTTATTATACCTATAGTAGGTCTATTAATTAAATAAAAGGTAGAAAATAAGGTTTAACATACTTTTAATATTATTATAATAAAGAAAAAAAGTTAAAAAGGAAAATATATAATAATTTAGGATTATAACCTTTATAATTAATTAAAAAAAGGTATAAAAATTAAAGAAGCCCTATAAGGTTTTTAAAGGTTAACTTATAATTATTTTAAAATAAAGTTAATAAGCTTAATAATCTAATATAATATAAATTAATAGTAAAATAAGTAAAAGAAGTATATATATTACTTTATAAAAAGAATTAAAATATAGTATAAAATAGGTAATATACCCTTTTTAAGAATTTAAAACTTATAAATTATAGGCTATTTATAACTTATACCTTAACGGAAGTATTAGTTATTAAAAGAAATAGTTATAGGAATATATATAAATAATATAAGGATAAAGGGGGGAAAAAAAAAGAACACTTATAAGGACATTTATATTTATATAAGAACAATAGATATATAATATATTATAGCTATTATATATTATAGCGCCCTAATTTTAAAAGCTTTATATTATAGATAGCAGTTTAAAAGTAATATTAATGGGATTCTTACCCTTTATAGTGTTCTATTTTAAAGAACTTAACATTACTTCTATTTACCATCTGCTGTGGATAATTTAACTCTTAAAAGAGTCTCACTTTATCCATTTTATCTTAATGGGCGTCCCTTGAAATATTATCCTTATACTATCCAATATAACTATTTAACTTACCTTAAAGGGAGCTACCCTTAAAAGGGAGTCGATTAAGATTTATAGCATCAACCAGTATAAGGATCGAAAGGGAGTGTTAGAAAGGGAAGGCGGTGATATTTGCGTTCTACATATTGGAATGCTAGGAATCTGTATATAAGACCTTCATCCAGCTAGATGACTATATTGTAACTTAGACTTCTAGATATCTAATGGGATCATATGTACTACTCTTGACATGGTGGACTAGTAATCCCGGCGATACTTCTTCTCAACGGTTTGGTATATTTGTGGTCAAGACTAGTGAGGAGTCTGTTTTTGATTGGTCATGAGATCACAATTTCCTTCCTTCCTTCCTTACCTTGGTTTTAACATAAAGGTCATCTTTCTGTTATTTCTGCCTGTGTGCATTTGAGGATGAATAGGAATCCATATCAGACTTAGCACCTTATGTTGTCTTGTGTTAGCTATTGTTCGACCAGGGTCAATAATATGGATTTAGCACTCTCATATTCTATCCGTAGAGTAATTAATACTAGGATCCTTTGATGAAAGGCTTGGAGGAATATAGATTTACTTATCCAAAAGCAATTTGAGATTTATCAAGAAGTATGTAGAGCCGAACTGCCGACGTCTCGTGACTGATTTCTCACGTATACTGGTTACCGACAAGGTACTTCACTTTTGACATGATATTCAAGCCTTCTACCTGGTCGTCAGTTGCCCAATTACATCGAGATCAAACGCGGCGAAAGATCCTTATTATGAGGGTATAACGAATGTACACTGGCAATCTAACATTAACGCCTTGGCATGCCTGGAGAGCTTCCAGTAGTAAGTAATTACAAGAATTAAGTTCAAAATGTGAAATTCTCCGGAGACCCATTACCAACGAGGGGCATTTAGAATAATTCCCATCAGAAGGCCACTAATGAGACCGGCAGCAGGCAGCGTGATGATCCAGCCCGCATAGATCCAAGCGATCATGCGCCAATTCAGGGCGCGCCAGGTACCATTGCAGAGACCTACACCAACGATAGCGCCAGTAATGCACTGCGTAGTGGACACTGGAAGCTCTGGAAACGCGGATTGTCAGCATTTTTGTGCCATCTTGGTAGTAGGTATGGTATGACTTACTTAGACGAGTGGCTACGATGATGGTGATAGCGCTACCAAGCTCCATGGAGAAACCACGCGATGGAGAGTTGAGGGTGAGCTTGTTGCCCAGGTTTCGCATGATGTTATAACCGTAAGTCCAAAGCCCAATAATGAGAAAGGCACCACCGAAAGCGAGGATCCAGGTAGGGACGGGAGCCTTGTCGGGAATCCCACCCGTGCTCCAGATGTCGTAAATGGTAGCGAAAGGACCAATAGCACTGATACATGGTTAGCACCGTCAACGAATATTGTAGATCGATAAGAAGAATGAGACTTGCTTTGAGATATCATTAGCGCCGTGGGTGAATGAAGCAGTGGCGGCGGTCAAGATCTGAAGGAAAGAATACATGAATTCGGCCTTGTTGTCAAAATGATCGGCACGGGCATGGGCTTCCTCGAGGTCGCCAGAGAGCGCATCCTTCTTCTTCTGCATGCTGACGACATCCTGATCCACACCGTGGAAGAGTGCAAATTTGAGGTACCAGAAGAGGACGGGGCCAGAGTACCAGGCTCCCTCTGGCTTCGGTCCTACAATGGCCTTGTGTTTGTAAGCTACCCGCTCGGAACCATGCTCTGACGCGTTTGAAGATGCCAAGCTGGAGTCAGCAACGCCACCCTCCTTTTCAGTTGATGTAGTATTTCGTCCAGCCTCTACGTCTTCAGGGTTGTTGGCAGCACGTCTAGCGTCAAGCTGCTCCCGAGTGAGGTGACCTTCGTAGAAGTTGCGGATAGGGCTGTCATAATCGGCAGGAGGAGCGGTTGGCTCGGGTCGTCGCCACAGTAGAGGGCCTTGGAAGATGTGGTACCAACGAAGCTCCCAGTCTTCTTTCACTACCACACGCCACAGCCAAGGCATGAAGAAGATACTAACTAAGGCGGCGAAACCAACGCCGGTACCGATGATAGCTCCGGCAATACCACCTTCCGTAAGGTTGATTTCGTAGCTACCGCCCTTCCAGATCAGGAGCATAGCAAGTAGGATGGCTGTAAGACCAAAGTAAAAAGGAATCAGGGCGAAGGCCTTCTTGACTGGGTCCTTTCGCAGCATGACACCATACTTAGTGCTAAGGAATAGGATAGAGGCAAAGCCAGCAGAAAGGCCAGGTGCGATAATCCAGGCGAGGAATACTGAAACTACACCGGTGTTGATCTTTGCGGTGCCTACAGCACTCGCCGGAGCAACCCATGTGACCTTCTCTGCTCCAACAGAAGCAATACCCATACCCAGAACACCTCCGAGAAGAGAGTGTGTAGTCGACACCGGCATACCAAACTTGGTCGCAATCGTGAGCCAGACGGAGGAGCCTATGATGGCACAAACCATACCGAGCATGAGGACGGGAGGCTGATCAACATAGTGGTCAGGGCTGACGATTTTGGTTCGAATAGTGTCGGTGACGCGGGCACCAACACCGAGGGCTCCTGCGAACTCGAAGATACTGGCACCTATCATAGCCTGCATCAATGTGAGAGACCGCGAGGCGACAGAGGTGGCCCAGGAGTTGGCAACATCATTGGCACCTTGGAAGACAGCGTGTTAGCGATTATCCAAAACATCAGTTCAAAATACGAGACCAGACCTGCGACTTACCGATGTTCCAGGCATCGAGAGCCGCAAATATCACACCCAAGGCGAAAAGATAGTTATACTGAGTCAACATCATCTTCGGCTGAGTTTACGAATCCGATATATTCTGATGTTGAGGTCAAAGCGGCTGCTGCGGATCTTTCAGGGCAGAAGTGACCCGATGAGCCGGGCACGCATGGGGTTATATATGCCAATCCCGCAGAACCTCGAAGCATCAAGTTCCCAATATGGGAATTTGTTGGTTGTTAGCCCAGAACCGATCGTAGCACATTAGAATCGTGATGTCAAAATTGTACAGGGCCATGACATTCGAGATGCTCAATCGCCTCGGTCCACCGAGCTGAGTAGAGCAACGCAACCAATGACTGTAGCGTATATGAGAACGTGCTCGAGAGATAGTACTGAGCATGTGTTGCCCGCTTCTCTTGGCCTGAAGGTCCTTCGTCTACTTGTGCAAAAGCAGGCAAGCGGACACGCGAGCATCGGAGGGACAAGATACTAGATCCCTGGGCAGAGCTTGTTCAAGGGTTGGCACCTTTTCTTGGGATACTTGGCGGTTGTCATGCCCTCAGCGTCCTTAGCACGTGTGGCGAGTGTTGGTTTTTGTGCTGGGGGCCATAGCCATACCCAAAAAAAAGTGCAACGAGTCTTCTAGACTTTTGCCAAAGGGACTAGATGTGTTGACTTGCCCCAAGCAAGTTCATAGTGTACGAATGGAATGGTGAAGGAGAGACCACGTTAACCAGGGCTGCTGGCGATGAAGCGTAGCCCTACGTGCTGGCTGTCGATGATTGACACTGCTCTCATAGTGCTTTCACAACATGACAGTGGTAACCGCCACACTTTCTACCTGATTGTTCTGCTGCCATTGTTGGCTGTTCTTTTTCCTGATGCTGCAGACACAGGGATCCTTTTCTCCTCAGCCCAGCTTGGCCAGCGTCAACCTCGTCGCTTGATGTTTGGTCGTTGCCACACTAGAATCGATGGACGTTCGTTCGAACTCAACCCGGCGACTTGGCGGGCATTGGCAACATTATATACCCATCACATCAGCGCAGAAGTAAGGCGACGAGGCTCTTGGCCACTCCGTTAGTACCTGCTCGGCAAGTCTTAGTCTCTTGACCTCGACACGGGCGCTTAGCCTATAAGATTGCTGTTCTGACACACGTGGGCTTTAGACTTTCGGCATCAAATACGCTAGCAGAGCACGTTCCTTCTGAGGATAAATGATGGGTTACTTAGCTTTCGTAGGATGCGCATGTACTCTAACACGATGGTAACCTCATCATTTGACATCAGCTGTGTAAATAAACATCGGAGCTGACCAGTGAGTATTTTGATGATAAGTCTTTTTATCTGGGCAGTCTACACATTACGGCCAATAGTAAGCCCGCTTGGCTAAGTGGTATAGCGTGTCACTAGTATTTAGATGTCATGACAAGATCAGCGGTTCGATTCCGCTAGTGGGCAATATCATTGTTCATGATTAACACTTTTTTTTTGCGCTGCGCTGACTGAAATAAATGGTTTTTGAGAGGATGGATTAGTAAAAAGGACTACCATGCTACGTTCATCCATTAGCTAAGATCCGAAAACTTCTATACGGAAAGCAACATAACAACTTAACCTTATACTATAATGGTCCAGTGGCCCTTTAACTCTATGAATAATGAAATCCCGACTAATGGTCCGTATCCTTGCGCCGTAATCAACCCGACATTAACTGCTCCGAATCACTCTTTTCTACTATGTTCATACTCTGTGGTAATGATATGTCCAAAGGTAAATATCATGCTTTAGCCAGATGAATCAATAGTGGACATGATGCCTCTAGATCAACGTCCAATTGCCATCCTCAACTAAGTGAGCATGAAAGAAAGTAATTAGGTTACTTCGGAGGAAGTACACAGAAAGAGTAAATAATAGCCAAGCTTTTATGCCATGCATTTTGCCCCTCAAATGTTTTTCATTCAAGATTTGCTGTAGCATACCTTGTGAGTTGATTACCTACCGCCATTTTTGCTTATGGCTGGTTGATTGGAGTTGTGTTTCTGGGGAATTTTGACGAGCTCTTATCCGGGCACTGCGGCGCAGTCCTGTAGTGTCTGTTACGGGCTCGAGGGGTCCTTGATGGGCTCTGATTCGAGCACTTCGGCGGGGTATTGTGGATTTCACTGTGGGTTGAGATACTTCGCCGTTTCTCTTCTGTCGTAATTGATTAGGGGGCCTTGCGTCTTTCGAAATTGAGCTCACCCCCCAATGCCTCATATCATTGTTGTCTCCCCCTAACGTCCCCTCCTTAGACGCTTCCGAGTCACCAAGCTCACTGGAAAACCCTTTCAGTATATCTTTACTATTACCATCACCAGATGCTACATCTCGCCTCCTACCTCTGGGATGGCTTGAAGATGGTGGATGTTTGATACGACTATTGGAGCGAGTCGTTGGTACCTGATCTGGATACTTGAGCGGGGTAATATGGTCTGATGAAGAGTTTAGCTGACTGCTAGTCCTCCTCTGCCGTTTCCGAGTCTTCTCGTTTGAAATATCCGCATCCTTAAGATCATGCCTCCTCTTAGTGCCGCGCGTAACATGTACAGTATTCGGTGATGAACCATCTGTACGAGCCTCATTCGTCTCAGTTTCTATGATAGGAATTTGTTCCAAAATCCACTGCAGCCGACTATTTTGACACGCTAGCTTTGCCTCCGCATCCCAGAAGCCCAGCGATTCCGTAAAGAACTTGGTTATGGATTTATTGCGCCTCTCTATGGTTTCCAGTGTTTTCTTTGCTTCATTAAGTCTTGACTGTGCTGTGCAAATGCCTCTGTTAGAGATGGTGCTACCATGACAAGAGCCATGTCGAGGATCTTTATTTTGTTGTGCTGAAAGTAGGGCTGCTTCAGCCGACTGGACTGCCAACCAAGCCTGGTCTCTTTCACGTTGGTATTGAAAAGAACATTCTTTATTACTTAAATATTCCTCAGTAACAGAAGCTTCCAACAGTCCTGTCCCCATGAGCGTTTCCCAAGCCAACTCATGGACTGGTGTCTCTTGTTCGAGCCTCAGGAAGATCCTGTGGTACCTAGAGTAGGAGAAAGCGAGATATTCGACCCAGGTTGTCATTTTGTCTTGCTGTTCTGGGTCCTGGCAGATCTGATACGTCGGGGTGACCTTGTAGTATGCAAAAAGCCGCTCGAGGCCCTCCACATAGCTCGTGGATCCACGAAACTCGCTCGCAAATGTGTCAAATGCGGTTATCCCTTCAGGAGGAGGATAGTAAGGATATCCAGCTGTTCTGTTCTGACTCTGCCAGTGACGAAATCTTCGCCAGCTTGCCCACTGATGCCAAAACACATCCCATTTAACCCCGTTATCGGTCGACTCTTGCCATGGCCGTAACAGTTCACGGTGGTCCTCCGGGCTTTTCGAGATAACATTAAGAAGTTGGATGGGATATAGAGGTCGACCGCCTTCAAGAACAAGTTTGTCGTAATATTCGACGGCAGACACTTCCGGAGGAGTCGGTGACTTGGTAGATTCACCACCGCACGGCGATAAAGCCTGTGGGCTCGGCGGCAGAGATGAGGATGTGTTGGAACGTGCGGCGAAGTCCAGGAGCCGCGCGTTTACTTGGTCAAGGTCGACGGCGCGTGAGTGAGCGATGCCACTCGGTGAGCCTCGAGCCCGATCTCTGGTAAGGTTAGCTGCGGGTGAAAATCGAAGCCATGACAGGGAGGCGAGATAGATGCTCACCTGAGTCGCTGAATGAAGCTCTCTGGCAGGTTTTTAGGGTCTTCGACCTCAACTACAGTGACACCGCACTGCAGGCGGCGTTCTTCTAGAAATTTGTCGAGCTCCGTATCACTAAAAGCAGCAACTTCACGAGCGAGCCATTTTCGAGGTTTAGCTTCAGTGGCAGCCATGCTGGGCACTGGGGTCTGTTGTATATGAGAAATCAAAAACTCAAAGACACCTTATTGACAGGCGAGTGAGCAAAGAGAGCATCAGCAGGCAGGGTGGCATCGGGGTCATGCCCTTGTCCCATGGGTTAGGTGAGTTGGTTATTGCAGCTGGTTGGTGTTGGGGGATCTACACTAGAAGGACACTACTGTGGGGGGGTGCAAACGGAAGCAAGGGCATATAAGAATAGCGGGCTGGTTAGGGCCTTGGCCACCAACCTTAGGTAGGTACCATCTACACCTTCAATTCTACCGGTAGCTGGCTACAGCCCTCGCTGGTCGAGTTATTCAATTAACCACTTATTTGGCTTCGGCCACATTACACTGTTCCACTCTACATACCTAGGCTGGGAATGCTTGTCACACCCCTTCAAAGTACTTTGGTGTGTGTGGTACTGGTATCGCAAATCGGGTCACGGTGTAGTACCAAGTGGATACAGAGCCTCCCTGCATACATGTACGATCTCAGGGTTGAATGGCGGGCAGGCTGCTAGATGGAACTAGTTTTGTCTCTCACGGGTAGACCTAGTTATACAGTAGTTGGCGGTTAGAAGAGCGAATCACGGCAGATCTCCCCTAATTTCCATCAAGAAAGATCTCATCGCCTCGGACGGCGCGGCCCACGAGCATGCAAGGGATAAGGTGACCTGATTTCAGGTCTGGGAAGGGAAGGGCAAAGAGAGTGCTTGCTTTTATTCCCTTCTAAAATTGATAACTCGGTTACCGCAGCCAATAAGCGAGAAATTAACCCGCTCACCTGCTCCATTCACTGTCTTGCGGGAGGTGCGTGAGAGGTGAGTGTGTTGTGCAGCCAGTTTGGCAATCACCTTGCTTCTTGGTTCTTCGCGATCATACCTACTTGTCACATTCACTCCATGTGCCACTATTACATAGGGCAACGTAGGCTATACGCATGTATTGTTTTCATCAAATGGTCCCTTACTCGGTACTTCCTATACACCATGCAGGTCGGAATGGTTCCGTGTATATTTACAGAGAGAGAGAATGAGAACTCTCTTCCTGCATCACCCACACTCACTACAGTAAAACTCGACCCAATTTCAACGCAAGTAAGTTTCTTTTTTGCTACTTCAAGCTATAATTACTTTTAATTCCCAGCCCAACTCCATTTCTATCCCTCTTCCTCTCTTCATCTCATGCGCGCCTATCTTCATCTACATCTGAAATATTTCAAGCATGGAGGCAACAGTGGATGGCTCCTTAAGGCTATCTAGAAGAATTTCTTTAAGGAATACCAAGCTCCCTGCAGGAAACTCCTCCCACATGTATTGACGCTTTTGTATGAAATCAGTTTACAGGCTCTCTTCTACACGACTCGTTTCTTGAGGGTTTGGCATGTGTTATGAACAACCCACCATTCAGCAGTGGTAAGCATTTATCCGATGACTATCTATTGTTGCTACCTTTGTGTATTAACTTTCCCATCGTTTATTTCCGTGTGAAGTTTCTAATCACTAATTGGCAGTCACCGCTCATTAGAGTTGCCCCTTCTCAACCTACAATGTCAAATCCAAACAGTATTGCCTGGGTAGTACCACTAGATGGTAAATACCTTCACAAGGTGGAAGACAAGATTAAGCACAGTCGACTGCGCAAGGCACCGACTGCAAAACCAGAGACCCCTAAGTCTCTAAATGGAAGAGAAACCCCACCACCAAAGGAATTTGACCCAAATAGTGTCTGGTCACTTGAGCTGAATATTGGTTACGTACCAAAGAGCTCGGTAGGTGTGGTCTTCGGCACGGACAATGAGACTTGTGACGTTATTCTACCCCAGGTCGAGGGTATCAGCAGGCGACATTTCGCGTTGACATACAAGAGAACTATCCCAGACAATCACTATCGTTTGGTCTTGCGTGACCTTGGCTCCAGGGGTGGGACGGCAGTGGCATATGACCGCCAAGGCGACAGTCATAAGCGGAGCGCGTTCGACTGGATCCTAGACGGTTTCCTGCCCCCAGATTCAACCAGAGAGCTGAAAGTCAGGTTGCTCGATGATTTCCAGTTTCAAATATTCGTCAATCACGATCATGATTTTACCTCAGCTGCCTATGTTGCTCATGTCAACCAATTTCTGCATGGAACAACAGATGTAGCAAACCTCCTTCAGCATTCCATGCTTGATCGAGGTGATGAGACCCAGGCTGTTACACCCGGTGAAGGTGAAATCATTCTATTTGCAGGATTTCTCGGGGAGGGCGGTTTTGGGAGTGTCACTCGCCATTGGAATGTGAGCACGGGCGAAGAATACGCCTGCAAGCAACCTACTACCAGAAAATATGACATTCATGCCTGGAACCACGAAATAGCAATAATGAAGGTGATGAGACACGTAAGCAAGAGATCTCCCCCCTTACTGATGACTGTGTGCTCAAATCTTAGCAGCCAAATATCGTTCAGTTTTGTTTTCACGAGCTCAATCCACTGCCCAAAATATACTTGGAGTACATGCCTTTGGGTGATCTTTTGACTGTGCATGAGAGAGACGCATTGACACATCACGAATGCCTAGAAGTTCTCAGCCAGTGCGCTTCAGCCCTGGGATATTTTCATAGAGAGTTTCAGGCATCACATCGGGACATCAAACCTGAGAACATTCTTGTGCAACGGCGCGGCCCAAGCCACAACCCCAGAGATATCTTGGTCAAGCTCGGAGACTTTGGTATCTCCAAGGTTGGAGACGTACCTAGATCATATTGTGGGACAACTTTTTACATGGCTCCCGAGGTGATGAGTAACGCGGCGTCTTATACTTCGGTCGCGGATATATGGTCTCTTGGGGTAGTCATCCTGCAACTTGCGTATGGCCTTCCAATGTGGACAGGGGACGGGAGAACATACGCCACTTATATTATTTCCCATTTAATGTCGTTGCGGGATCCGAAATCTCCTATCATCGGCATCTTGAAGCACATGTTGGTTGCTAACCCAAATTCACGATGGTCGGCAGAGCAATGTTACTCGCACCTTCAAGCGAGCCGCGTCGACTCTTCTTCGAACCAGAACCTGCCACTCTACAGAATTCTGCAAATCGGCCAGATTAAGATTGGATACAGACAAGCCCACGTATTCAAAGATGGTAGGGTTGTTGAGGAAGGCCTCAACGCCACGCACCTATTCGATCTACGCTCCACGGCCTATTGTAGGACCTCCATGCAGTTCTTTCTTAGGAACCGTGTGGCTAAAGATGATAGAGACATGTGCAGGGAGGGTGCGGGTCTTCGGGGAAGCTACCTAAACCTGTCAGATGCTCTGAGGTTCTGCAACAAGTTTAAGATTACAGAAGGCATAAAGGTGATCCTCTTACTCCGACCAGAGCTTGGCGAGTGGGTTGAGGAGGCTGAGCCGCCTGCTGAGCCTGTTGTTGCCCAGGACCCCGACGGTGGCGAAAATTTGGACGATGCCGACGCCAAATCTGATACTGCTGAGGGGGCTGAAGACGCCGACTTTGATCCAGGCGAGAATATCGAACAACCAGCTCCTCTCCCGCAGCCTGGAGGCACCGCTGAGGAAAGAGTCAGCTATTATACGCAGCCGAGTTATTCGAACGGGCTTTTCCTTGCGCTTCCGAACCAGTCATATAAGCAACTTCTTGAATAATTAAGCGCATATTGGTTAAAACTGCAGTTCTTAGTTTGGTTCATAATGAACGCTTGTCACAACACCCGGGCCGGATTTTTGCCTTTTTGTTAAGCTACTCTTACTTTCGAAGTTGCCGTTGCGCGACAGCTGAGAGTAAAATAGATAGAGCATTATTGGGATATGCATTTATGAGCTATGAGCTATGAGCTGGTTTCTGTTCAATTTCTATTTTCTTATACATAGTGTATCTCACAAGGTAGCTGGGTAACTGGCTGAAATTGAACCACCTAACTTATGCATATCTGGTCCAGAAATATATCGATGTATACTTCGCTTTACTACCTAAGTTGAGTAAGCTTCATGTGTCAAGAGCACCAGATTCTGCAAGAAACGCCGACAAGCTATTCCAAATCGTCACCACTTTTCCTGTCCGCGCGACGGTCTCCTTCTCCTCCTCAAGCTGTTCTTCAGCAGTGGCGATGCTGCCATTCATTATATGCAAATGACTCTCAATTGCTATCCTCTGGCCCGTTATCGTCGTGAGCTGACTCTCCCAATCCGCCAGCTGAAGAGACCAATTCCGTGATTCCTTCACTTCCGACTCTTGCTGACATGGCGATGTCTCAACGCTGGGCGGCGTCGTACCCGACTTCCGCGCTTTACGAGACGCTTCCAGCCGCTCTTTCTGCTGCACGAGTTGGTCATCCTTGTCCTCGACTTCCTGCTTTGATCGCACTATCTCCTCAAATGCTGAGATGTCTGCCATCGTGGAGTCCTCTTCGTGTTTCAATTCCTTGCGCTGTTCGAGGAGTCTTGTTTCCTCTGTGCGCATGGCTTCGAGACGACGAGAGGTCTGTTCAACTTGGTGACGCTGTTGGTTGTACTGTGTGTCGAGGTCCTGGCATTGCCCTGATATGAGCACACCGATGTCCCTTGCTAGTTGAGGTGCTCTTTCCACTGCTAGTGGCGTGTTTGTGCTACATTGGGGTGTGTTGGGTCGTTCACCTCCCGAACTAGCTGACGCTGAGACTTCGAGGCGTTCACTGTCGCCATGCTCGTCCAGCTTTCGCCGCTTGCTACTCAGGCCGTTGCACCCATTAAGAAGTGCAAAGGGGATAGGCGGAAACAGAGCGTCAGAGGTTTGTGGGCAGGATTGTTGCGCAGTTCTATCGGCCGGAGTGAATGTCGTGGTCGAGGCCCTTGGCTCGCTCCGCACATACACAGTCTCATGTGCATTGGATGCCGGAATACTGGGTGAATTCGGTTGTCCAGATTCAGGGGTAGCATGTGGTCCGGTACGCAGACATTCTGCGACAGCGGACGTGATGACTTCTTTTGTAATTGGGCCTCTGCCTCTCTCGAAGATCTTGGTGACTTGTTCGAGAGGAGCAATTTCAGCGAGCCTGACCAAGTCAGCGAGGAGTGTTAAAGTCCAGACTCTGGGGTGTTGGCAAGATCCCGGCGAGAACAGCTGTGCGGGTTCAATGCCCCATCGCTGTTGGATTTTTTCGATCATATATTCATGATTATCAGCAAAGCGCTTATTCGACCTAGTGCTACGCGCCCGTGGAGCCATGGCCGTGGAACCGAACCAAAGTGACATGAAGAGGGTGTGATGAAATGAGAATACGATGTGGAAAAAAATGTGGGCATGGATAGAATTGGTTCACACAGGTAAGTCGAGAACCAAAGGGTATACTCCCTGGAAACGCCTAACGGATGCATCTGGATCCATGATCTAAAGTAAGATGGGCATGACGTGAGTAATCACCTATTCTGCTGCAAGTGATGGCACAGAAGATGTGATGACATTTCCCTTATCACGCCACCTCATTCTCTGATGCTACCTTTTCGTCGAGGCTGGTCAAGCTCGGGTCTCGGTGCAGGTTCGTGTAACCTGACCTGTCATATTCCTCTACGACGACGCTGAAAATTGGCCAAATGAACTGCTTCACCTGATGCCAGAGCGCTTATAGCAGGTTCTAAACCCTCCGTCTGAATAACCTCACTTTCGAACCGAGGCTGCATGTGTTGGAAACCGACTGTTTTCATATATTTATTTCATCAGGTCTTCTCATTACGAAGCCAGCGGGCCAAAACTAGCAGCCCACACATCCATAGTGCCAACCTTCTCCCCATTGAGCGCAGCCACGGCAACACCCACGGCATCTCTCGCCGATCGAACGACGACCCTCAACCTGTGATTCTCCACAGCTTCATCCACTTCGCGCAAGAAGGCCCTACTCATAACAGAGCCTACCTCCCACGAGCCATCAAGCAACCCAAGCTCCGGAACCAAGGTACTCTCTTTCGCGCATTCCCAACCACATCTGCTAGCCACTTCCTTGATAGCCACCGGACTCAGCAGCGAGCGGACATTCTCCGTGGAGTCTTCCTTGCAGGATTCCAGGGCGCCCCTCGCGAGGACAGCCAGGACGTGCGGTAGAGCAGACTTTTCGGTAGCGTGCAACGCGTACTCGGCTATGCAGAGTGTTTTCACGCGCCCACGCAGCGCCGTCAGAATGTCGCCGAGCTCTCGCTCCGAGGCAAAGTACCAGATACAATGGGCCAGGACAGCGACGTCCCAGACGCCATTCCTATCAGTATTAGATGCCGGTTGCCGAAGGAAGTCCTGCGGCGAGGCCTGGTGCCAGGATATGCGATTTCCAACGGGGCTTGCGGAGAGATGCGCCTGGGCCTGGGCGAGGGTGAAGGGGGCGCCGTAGTCTGGCGCGGCGGGGTCCACGGCGTCGACGTGTCCGGTCTCACCGACGGCTTCGGCGAGCACGGCCGTGGCGGTGCCTTGGCCGCATCCGAGCTCGAGGACGCGGGCGCCGGGTGGGATGGCCCAGGCGTTGACTAGACGGATGCGGTGCGAGACCTGGGCTTCTTCTATCTCGGGGTGGGCTGGGTCCTGGATCGAGTATGTGGCTATCTGCGGGGCGAGAGAGAGGGGTAAAGGGGTAGGTGAAGGTGAAGGTGAAGTTGTGGACTCCATTGTGTATCTTAAGAATCAATACCTAGTTGTGACGGTAACATGTGAAGCATACTCTAGGTAGGTATTATTATTGAGTAATTATAATGTTGCAGTACTAGGTATGTTACCTATAATCGGTTGGAGTATTGATGGCGGGGTGGACATTCATATAGACGACGACTGCGGCGCCTGTCGATCATTCAATATCGCAACCAAACACCACACACCTCGCATGGCCCATAGTTAGGCACCTATGTAGGACTAGGTATGGAGGACTAGGTATGTGAGGCCCATACTGCATTACATGACTCACCAGGTGCGGTATTTCTCTCTATTTGATTCCGGGCCGTGCTCGGGTTCGTGATTATCTTAAGTAGGTAGGAACGCATGTTTGGATCATCTGTATCCCCGCGACCTTAGTCATCGTATTGATTCTAGATACTTAGGTCATACGTCAGGCACCTATTTCTTGAAGCCAAGACTGAATACGAGCCTCTACACAGTCTGTACTTAGTAGAAGCCCGCTGTGTTGGAATGCGGCATGATGGGTGCTAGATGTCCACTAAGGCCACTCATTTAAACACAGAAGAGCATCGCTTTCAGCACTCTAGCCGTCTCAAGGGATCCATTCTGAGTAGGTATTCTTGTGATTCTCTATGTAGAGTTCAAGAGGCGTGAGTGAGGCAGGTGAGGTAGTGTACTGTACGCTAGACAGTACTTGACTATATCGGTACTGTACGGTGGCTTGCACCGCCTCGCTCCACAGCACCACTTCAGACCACTCTTTGCTTCCGACTTTGTTCTGACCATTCATCTGTGCAGTTCTCTCGAAGCTGTGACAATCTGGATATGCAGGGAAGTGTACACAAAGCTGCAAGAGACCCCGTGAACAACTTTCCCGGCTACTAAGTAGGTACGTATTGGACATGTTTCACGGCAGTTCGCTACTTATATAAATACTTACATATGTGCTGTGAGCACAGTGCCATCCTCGCCCTACAGAAGGTATTTGCACAGTACCTATAGGGTAGATGCGCTACTCTTTTAGGGAGATGGACTCCACAGCCCTGGAGCTGATCCATTACAAGGTGCTTACCTAACTGGGAAGAGGTACCTCTATCTCTCGACAGAAGTACTTGACGATTGGCCTAGAATAAGCCGAGATGCCAGGTACCCAGTTACTTTATACGCGGGTACTATAGAATTGGAGACCCTGACCCCATTCTCCTTGTCATTTCTGTCATTGCCCAGCCAAAAGCATTCGCTGGCAGACATCGTCCACGTAACTTTGGCCGACTCAGCCTCTTTTTTTCAGCAGTAGTGTCTGTCTGACGAGTGACGACCGCTTTCAATCCGGGGGTGGATGTCTGTCGCATGTTTGATCTTCATCTGATTTGCTTGCTTGCTTGATCGCTTGATCGCTTGATCGCTTGATCGCTTCCACGCTTCCACGCTTTCGTCTTTCGACTTCCGTCTTCCGTCTTTCCCTCCTCCTCCGTTACCCTTCTGTCACCAGAGACCGACCGATATCTTCATCCTCCATAGAGCTCTACGCCTCACACGCCCTCGTTTCAGATCCTTCCCGCCCGTCCGTCTACTCGCCGCGGTGATTCCCTGCACTTTGTTGCGAATCAACAAACTCGGTTGACTCTTGCTTCCATTTGACGTCTCGCTATTACTTTCCATTCGCTACCAAGAAGTCTACATCTGCCTCCGAAGACCCTCGTTAATACTTACCCCTAGAACCGGCCGCCGACGGCCAGTAGCACTAGGACGATACAAGAGGATTCATATAAACAAACCGACAACAGCTTCTGCGCCCACCAGAAGCATTGGTGATGGAATTGGGATACACAGTACCACAGTGAATCTACATCAACGAGCTATCACCCGTCTCTCGTGCAACCTCGGCTCTTCTATCCTACCCGGCACTGGCCATCTCACATTCGTCATCGTCAACTCTCGTCATCAGTCGACAACGGCAGCAGCAGCAGCAGCGCCATCGTCTTCAGAAATCGAGTTCTTGATAGCCATCACGGTGCATAGCAACTGCCATGGCTGCTAACGACTACTACGGCGGTTCATCATCACATTACAATCGGAATCAATACGAGCCTTCGATTGCACCCTCTGGTCCGCCGCCCTCGTACACTACGAACCAACCATACCAACCTCACCAGCAAGGCCAGACACCGGCATCGCCATTCGAGACCGTCTTTGACGACCACGTCTATCCCTCCCAGACACACTCCCAATCCCGCCCGACAATAGACAGCATGGGTACCAGCCAACAAAGCTTTGCTCAGGACACGCGGTATCACGGCCCTAACTCACCTGGAGCCGCCGACGACATACCTCTCCGTCAACACAACAAACCCCCAGGCTACCTCAACGACTCTACTGACCATGTCTACGATGCCGACCCGGCACCTCGGAGGCGTCACACGAACGCGAACCGAGGACTGCGCTTCGGCCAACTGGGCATGCTGGGCTCCGACAAGAAGAAAATCCCCATTGTTGTATACGTCTTCTCCATCATCCAGATTGCCGTCTTCATCGCAGAGCTGGTGAAAGCTGCCCAACTGACTGGCTCACCCATTCAGACTTCACCATCTGTCAACCCTATGATTGGTCCTTCACAGCAGATACTCATCAATATGGGGTCAAGGTACGTGCCGTGCATGAAGAACGTCAACGGCATACAGAACTACCAACCTCCTCCCGGCATCAACCTCATCGAGCCAGGGTTTCCCTTCCCTTGCCCGAATTCGACCTCAAATGACTCTGATGACCCTTCCAACCACTGCTCGCTTTCCGAGCTGTGTGGATTCAGTGGCGTACCTAATCCCAAGTGGCTGGGGGCAGATGGTCTGAACCAAAAGCCTGAGCCAAATCAGTGGTTTCGTTTCATCACGCCGATATTTCTTCATGCCGGCTTCGTCCATATCGGCTTCAACCTTCTCCTTCAGCTCACCATGGGCCGTGATATCGAGATCGCTATAGGTTCTATCCGTTTCTTCCTCGTATACCTGAGTGCCGGGATCTTCGGCTTCGTGTTGGGGGGTAATTTTGCCGCCTCCGGGATTTCGTCAACAGGAGCGTCGGGCGCCCTGTTTGGCATCATCGCCATCACTCTACTCGACCTCCTCTATTCATGGAGCGACAGGCGTAACCCAGGGAGGGAGTTGTTCTTCATCCTCATCGAGATCGTCATATCTTTTGTGCTCGGCCTTCTTCCAGGACTCGATAACTTCTCGCATATTGGTGGCTTCATCGTCGGCCTCGCCTTAGGCATCAGTGTTCTTCACTCGCCGAACTTCCTTAGGCGGAGGATTGGCGAGGACCATTTCGGCGGAGTCCCCTACTCCAGTGTCGGTGGAAATGCCACCACGAGTGTGGCATTCCCCGCGTTTTACCGGAATCCCGTTGGCTTCTTCAAGGGTCGGAAACCCCTATGGTGGGGCTGGTGGCTCCTCCGTGCCGGGTTCCTGGTTCTTGTCATCGTTGTCTTTATCGTGCTCCTGAATAACTTTTATTCGATGCAAAATCACTGCAGCTGGTGTAAATATCTCAGTTGTATTGTAAGTATCATCCCCTTTTCTCCAATCTGTTTTGGTGATGGATGGAGTTGCTGACTTTTTATGATACAGCCTGTCAATGGGTGGTGCGACATCGGAAACATCAATGTCACTTACACGAACGTGACTTCGAAGAGAGACTTCATCTTTACAGCGATAGACCAGGTAGCTACGCTCTCTTAAGCCGACACAGAGGAACATGTTTCATTACGCGGCTTTTCAACAAAAGAAAAGATTCATTCGACACGCCTTCAATGAATTGTATGATATCCTTGATAGATGGGCATTCCTGCATAGTACTCAGCGCACCTATTCTCCTTTGCTGGGGCAAGATAAAAATTGACGTAATTTGAGATAGCACCACCGGTTCGCGGGCTTGCATACTTGTGAGGGTATAGGTATGGGGTTTGGTCTTTGGTTTTGTGGCGTTGGGCACCTTAACTGAAGGCATGACGCAAAAATCATGTTTTGTTTACTTATTAGCTTAATTAATTTAACTCGTTTGGAAAGAACATTTGTGGACATAGGTGATTATACATTGACATCGTATTCATTTTGTAGTTCTGTTCAGTTGGCGGCTTAGCAGTTTGGCCTCGAATGTATAGAGCAACATGTTGCCAAGTGTGAAGAATCTTGGACTCTACGTCACTCACTAGTCAGTCAATTATTGTGCTGCCGTAATAGTATGTATCTGAGCATACACTCAACTATTAGATTGAGTTATTCTATGACAACTTATACACTAATTGCGCACATACAATACGAAGAGATATTATGTCTCCCCTAAAAGCCATCCTCGCCGTACATGGCAGGAGGAAGAGGCTTTCTTCCTTTACATCTGATATATTACGGTGAATTACCACGCAGCGGTTCATCTGATATTAATCGCTTCTGTAGCCGCGGATTAGAGTTCAGGTCTGGTTGTATCGATTCATAAACGGCATGTTAGCTGAGTTACTTCGTGAATGAGAAGTGACGATGATTTTACATATATGATTACAGTAGGTACTTCGAGTTGCTTCGTGCCCCCTGGTTCATGTACTATGAGTGATCCCTTGCTCGTATCTTCAACATCATTCCTCACCGATTTATCTCGACATAGCTGTACGTCGTCGTCTAGGTTCGAGATGAGATCCTAATTGCATCTCTCTTCTTTGATTTGCGTGCCACTGCTGCCTGTGTGTCACCAATAACTAGACCCGTAAGTACATAGGTTCAAACCAGACCTGGGTTCCTTTGTAGAAGCTTGGGTGCCTAGTCTACCTCAAAGTGTAAAAGAGGATGAGACACGAGTTAGTTCTAAAGCAATCGTATAACTACCGCTGTGCTAGAGCGAGGTTGTCACGATGGCTAATTTCGGTACCCTTTCTTGGTGACTATAATCGGCCCCGGGTGGTCGAAAATAGCTAAAGTAGTCGTGTAACCACGTTGATAAATATTGTGGGTATATGATTCATCCATTATTGGATTGAGCCGTATTTTCTTTGTCCATTTTGGACCTCAAGAGGCATGTCTTGTAGCTACTAGGTTGCGCTGCGGCTATCTGCATATCGTAGTGTCATTCTGTCTTGAACGTTAGGCAACCAGAATACTCTGTGTCCATTTCTGGATTCTTCACCACTGTCCAGTTCTGGACTTTGTGTCAGTGTCCATTTCTGGACTGAAATTCAAATTATAAAAGCCTTCAACAAACAGCAGTCCGTTCTCATCCTGTCAAGTTCGCAAGAGCATTCATATTTAAAGCCGTGGGCCATCATCTTTGGCCCTTGGAAAATTATATCTACCAATACTACCAACGAGGGAATAAGATCTGGGTACATTCATTTCGACTCTTAGCAAAATGACACGCCTCCCTGTTCTCCCATCCGCTCCCCGTGTCTCCCAGGAGACATCGCGAATATTTCACCTCCCGCCACGAAAAGAGAAGCGGGCAAAAGCTTCTACTATTTTTGGCACTAGCGCCTGGAATCTGACATCTAGCGTTCCTTTCCGCTGGACAAAACACCACAATGATATTTTCACAGACTGGATCCGCCTGAAAGGCCCCAGTGCCGCCGCAACAGCCGACCTGGTGCCTCTTCTACGAGAACTTGAACTTGACGGCTACGAGGACATCAATAATTTTCGAGGCGAGTGCGTCCATGACCTGATTATTGTCAAAGTCCGCCGGGAGATCGCAAATATGAAGGGTTCGATTCCAATCATGACCAAAGCGGCAGAGGAGAAGAATGTTGGGGTTGAGGTGACTACGTCGAGAATAGGGCTGAAAGAAGCAGCAGCCAGAAAGACGTGTGATATAAAGTCTACACTGCCTGCTGAGACTGAATTCATTACTCAATCTAGGGAGCGGACAAAGACGTCTGAGCCGAGATCTTTCACGCAGGGGGTGCATTACACCACGCTCCCGATACGACCTGCTGGTCAAATGTATCATGTTACCAAGGCTGTTCCGGGAGATCATCATCATCCACTACCACCACCTTGTCGTTCAAGCCCAGATAACAAGCCCCAAGCAAAAATTGAAACGTCAAGCCGTGCAACATCCGTTAACCTAGACAATACTTCCCGGAACTCTCATTCTGGCAATCATCCATCAAAACTCGACGCGACACATCAGCCTCCTGAAGAATTATCCCTCCATCTTCGTCGTCATAACCCACGGCGCATCACAAGTCTAAGCCAAGATCTCTCTGCCCCTGTCGAGAAAGCGAAAAATGCTATGGCGGAACTGTCGGCGGTAGTCAACAGTCTACCACCTGACACTGACAGCGCAGCGCTGGAGACCGCGCTGCACGATGCTAGACTGGAAATTGCCCATGTGGGTAAACTGATTGACGAATATCTTAAGCGACGGGAGTGAAGGGGTTGGGGGGGAAAGGAGAAGGCCGATTGCAAGGCTGCAAATACTTTATAAGAGGAAACGGACAAGGGCAAGGAGAGCAAGGGGAAGAAGAAATTGAGATGTAGGGGGAGGTAGAATTGCTGATTATCTAGGATTAACCAAGTTGGGTTTGATACTTTCGTTCATACATTCACTCATTTAGCTCATATCTTACTTGCCATCGAGACTAGAAGTAGAGCATAATCAGCGGTTAATCTAGCCCTACTGTTCGAGCAAGCACGAAGGATTCATCCTTGGAGAAAACAATTGGAAAGTACGTGAATACTAGACATACATAAAGCAAATACCATGAAATGAGTAAGGCCAACAAGTCCTATGAGGCGTGGGTATATTGACTGACTCTAAACATCCATTTGTTCGACAATGACGCTTATACTACAGTAGCTAGCAAGAGTGAAAAGAAAGCACGACACCAAAACAGCAAACAAGCCTTCATGGCAAAACCAGTTCATGCATCATCTCTCATTTATCATGGCCAAGACAGGACAGTTCCTCACCAAACCACGATTCCATCCCTCACGCATCCTCGTCATCACTCAAAAGCTCCTCAACAAGGTCATCTTCGCCATCACCATCACCATCTCTACTCCCTTTCACAACCGTATTCCCACTCGTATCCGGCTCCAACTTCACCGTATCATCCTCCTCCTCACCCTCGTCTTCCTCAACGACATCCTTCAGCACAGTAGAATCCCCATCTCTGCGCGCAAGAACTACAGTATCCTCACCGCCATCATCAGTGCCCGCCACCGACCGATCCGCGCTCGTCCCAGTAACAACCGAGACACTCCGGCTTCGTCTCGACAATTTATCCGCTCCGTCATTCAGGGAATTGACAATCTTGCCTAGACTGACGTGGATCTTGTACAGCGCGTTGCGGCCCGTGGCATCACTGAGAAGGTTCTCTTCAACGGCCGCTGATACGTCTTCGTATAGACTGCGAAGTTTATCCTCTGAGGAGGACGGGGATATATATAATTTGCCGAAGAGAGGTGCAATGACCTTTTTCTCTTCTTCTACATTATCTCGACATTAGCCACTATCTCGTAACATCTTTTTCTTCTCTTTTGATGATATTGTTGGGTATTGTTGGATAGGAGACTGAGGGCGGGACATATACTTACTACTCGCATTCCCATTCAATTTCTCCAAAATATCAGCCGCAAAATCAAGATGTACATCCCCATTGACATTCTTTCGGTCCGCATCCATCGGAACACCAGGCATGTAGCACTTCCTGGGATCCGTCCAATCAACGAGACACGCGCCAATGGTATTCAGGCTGGCCATTTCGTCATCGACATCCATCTCGTCATCATCAATACCTTCTCGGATATTGTACAAAGCATGCAGAGTATCGAGAGCGACAGAGCGCATGAGATCCTGATTTTCGGCACGCGAGTAACAGAACACAGGAAGGAAATAATTCAGCGCCTGTCGAACGCTCTGGTTCCCAGCCGTCGAGGGATCAAAGTACGCGACGATGAGGGTCTTGAGTAACTCGCTCGACGTCTCCGCGTCAGTAACCACGCGGCCTAGAAGGAGCTTGGATACGGCCACGGTGGCAGCACCTTGGACTTCAGGGTTTCGGGATCCCGACCTCAGAGCCTTGACGTAGACTTTGAGGAGTGTCGGGTTCGAAGACAATAGTTGTGCACCATGTACATTTAGAATGTCAGTTAGAATCTGCAGAGCGGTGATCTGAAGGGCTGCATGCCCTTTACTGAAGAAATGCATGAACAGCGTGAGATTTTCTTCAGCGAGAGGTCTGTCTAGCAGAGCGCATAGACCAAGACAAACAAGTCCGCGTTCTCGAACAGGTGCCTCATGGCTGCGTACAGCGGGTACGACGAGGTTGTTAAGCATAGAGACTAGATGATCATTCTGCTGTAGATTTCCCTCTACATTCGATAACATGCACTGTACGATATGCAGGCATTTCATGTTGATCATGATTTCCTTGATGGCCTTGTCACGAGCTTCTTCCTCACTCATCTCTGCGTCTTTGGTGTTCTTCCCCTTTCTAGTGGGAGTGCTGTCACCGCTAACTTCTGAACGAGCCGAGTGGAAGCTCTCGTCGTCGTCGCCGTTGGCGCCATCGTCAACGATCGCATCGTGGACATCGGCAACGGCCTCGAGAACCACGCTGCAGAATTCCTTTTCTCCGGCGGTATCTGGGGCACATATGTCTCGCAATACTTCAACGGTAAGCTTAGTGACTTCATCCGGTAATTCCGGGATGGACAAAGCTTGTCGCAGAAGCGCGAACATCTTCCGCCTGCCTACTTCATCCGAGTAGTCCAAGGTCAAGACAATGTGGAGTAGCTGCTCGACGATGAATTCTTGTTCGACCGTATCTTCTTCTTCATCCTCTTCCACGTTGTCTTGCTTGTTGACCCTCTGGATGGCTTCGATCATAACGTTGAGATACCGCTCCAGGAAGTAAGCTATTTTAGTCACTTCGGGTAGTTTTTCCTCAACAAGAGCCTCGTATTTCCCGTTCCCTTCGGTTCGGCAGAAATCGTTGAAGCTTCGGGCAACGAAAACAGACTCAGCACTCAACGTCTCCCAGAACTTGTCATTGAAATCCATAGCGTCCCGGTAGTCTGGACGACCTTCCCAGAACCCCTTCATGGCCTCCAGGGCCACGCCATTCTCGACGCCCGAGTTGACTACGTCGATGCGTTCCAGAAGCTCGAGTAGACCGTCCAGGGTTGGGGCTGCTGGTTCAGGCGGAGCCTCGCCGTCCTCGGGCTGGGTGACACCAGCGCAATCCTCGATCCAACGCTCGCGGAATAATCTCCCAGCAGCCTTGCGAACATTTTCATCTCTGTCTCTTAACCCCCATCGTAGAAGCTTCTCTCTCATGGAAAGCGACAGGTGACGGAAATCACCAAGCGCAGGGAGCAGACGGGCGTAGACGGCGCGGCGCGTTGCGGCATCCTGGTCTCTTGCTCTCTCGAGAAGGTAGGGAAGAGTGGCGGGGAGAATGGGGAGATTGACAAGGAGAGAGCGCCGGACCTCGGCACTAGGGTCATTCTGTAAGACCTCGAGGAGTTTCTCGAGCAAGCCTGTCTCGGCATCGTCTTCGCTTTCCTCTGGATTTGTCATTCCTTCTATCTGGTTGCCGGCTAATCTGCCAAGGCCCAGTACAGCCTGGGAGCGCACGACAGCTTCTTTGTCGCGGATCCTCTTCAAGAGGCCCTGACGCAGCTTCTGAAACAAGTCGTCGTCGATGGCGTCGAGAGAGTTAATGATGTGAGAAATCAGCTGTGTCGACCTGTAGCGAACAAACTTGTCCTTGGAAGCTAGCAGGGGGAGGACGGCCTCCATGACTTCGGTAGTGAGACGACTGCTGGGCGTTTCGGGCATGGTGCTCGCATCGGCATCGGTCTCGCCTAGCAGCTCGTTGTCCTTGTCATTGGCGTGTCGCAGGAAGAGTCCGATGAAGCGAATGGTGCGGTCGCCGACGCCCTCGCTCTTCTTGACAGGCATGATGCGGAAGACACAGCGCGTGAACTCGGCGTTGAAGTCGGACTCGTCGAAGTCGTCGGCGGCGTCGGCATGTTTGTTCGGGCGCGTAGGCTCGTAGCAGCATGCCTCGTGAATCTTGCGCAGCGTTACTGCCAACTTGCGGTGTGTGGCGGTGGTCTTCTGGGCGTCGCGGAATACGGCGCATACTTGATGCCGTAGACTGTTGTCGGGAGCCTCTTCCGGGATGTCGACATTGGATGACGAGGCGCGCGATGTTGTCGAGGCTCGTTTGCTGGCGGGACCCGACCCCCGCGTAGAGCGCGAGGATACCCTGGCTGGCATGATTGTAGCAGATGTATTGTTACTTGTGCTTTTACTTGTATTGCTTATCTCTGTATTGTATGCGACTTTCTCTGAACTTTCTCTCGATGATCGGGGTTGAGAAACAATGTGTACCGCAACTGGAGTTCGGCTTGCGATTGGGCGGGGATAATAAACAACGTGAGTAGACCAAAGATGCCCAAAGAGTTGGACAGGGTCTAAATGAAAATGGCTGACCAAGCGCAATGTTCAATCGCAAGGCTATTTCAAGTATTACAGTCGTGATAGTCGTGGATAATCGTGGATAGCCGCCCTACAAGTTGCGACTCGGCCTGTTTCCATTGTATTGTTGTATCGCGTTCTATCTAAGCGGGCGTTTATTTACGTGCCCTGTGGGCTGGTGGGACAACGCCTATCAGAGCCTGTCTTCCCCGCGCCTAAGCCACTGCTGTTACGCCACATCAACTACTCGATTCTGCTCGACCTGAGAGCCTCAGCCACAATACCCGCATCTGGCCAGACTAGGCAATCGATAGTGAGATCGAGCCGTTATCGTATAACCCCACTTTATTTTTTCCAATGTTGATGTTGCGACCAGTACTTTTGATCGTCAAGCAGCCTCGAGCTCTATTGACTACTGAATCTAAATCAAGCACGGCCAGCTCTTGTCCTTCGCCAACATGGGAAAGGCTAAGCGATTGGCTGCTGAGGCAGCAGCATCATCTGATGCTGTTGGCGACCGTCCGTCCAAGAAGGCCCGAGTCGACAGCCGGTCACTCTTCGTCCGAGGATTAGCTCCTAACACGACCACAGAGAAATTGACCGATTTCTTCTCTCAGCACTTCCCCGTCAAACACGCTACTGTTGTCATCGATCCCCAGACCAAATTGTCCCGCGGATTTGGCTTTGTTACCTTCACCGACGGAGAGGATACCCAATCCGCCAAGGAGCAGCTGCAGGGCCAGAAAGTAGACGGCCGGCCGATATCCCTCGACATTGCCGAGAGTAGACATCGCCAGGCCGGTGCTGCTGCCGATGATGCCGCCGCCAAGAAGGAAGACAGACGAGCTGCTCTCGCCGAGGCCCGCAAAGCCCCTAAGCTGATCATAAGGAACCTGCCATGGAGCATCAAGCACTCCGATCAGCTGGCTGCGCTGTTCCGCAGCTACGGTCTCGTCAAGTATGCCGATATCCCCCAACACAAGGGCAAACTATCCGGGTTTGGATTTGTCACAATGCGCGGAAGGAAAAACGCCGAGGCAGCTATGGAGGGTATCAATGGGAAAGTCGTTGACGGAAGAACTGTATCGGTAGATTGGGCCGTCTCGAAAGATGAGTGGCAGAAACACGAAAAGAAGGACACAAGCAAACCAAATGAGTCGAAGGAGACCAAGGATAATGATGAAGAGGATGATGAAGATGATAAGACTAGTGAGGAGGACAAGAAAGATGACGAGGAGAAGGAGGAAGAAGATGAAGATCTGAGGAATTTCATGAAAAATCATATGGAGAATCTCGAAGATGAACCCAGTGATGCGGATGAAGACGAAGACAGAGAGGGTGAGGATGAGGATGAGCCCCTATCAGACGACGATGATGCTGCTTCAGGCGGTGCTCCCGTTTCTCAAGCAAAACCACAAACCACGGATAATCGGACAACCATATTCATCCGGAATCTTCCCTTCTCTTCCACAGACGCAGAACTCAAAGCCCACTTCGAACAATTTGGCAGAATAAGGTACGCAAGAGTGGTATGGGACAAGGCAACGGATCGTCCAGCCGGTACGGGTTTCGCTTGTTTTGCGAATGAAGACGAATTCAAAGTCTGCTTAAAAGGGGCTCCGCGACCCCAGCAATCCGCCATACCCAATAAGAAATCAATCTTGCAAAACGAAACAGCTGACGAGGGTGGTAAATACACTATCGACGGCCGTGTGTTACAAATCTCTCAGGCTGTGAGTAAAGACGAAGCAAGCCGCCTTACCGAGTCAGGTGCCGCTGCCCGGGAAGGCAAAAATCAAGACAAGCGCCGACTGTACCTGTTGTCTGAGGGTGCCATTCCAAGTGGCTCGCCCATGTTCAATATGCTTGCACCGTCCGAAGTGAAGATCCGCGAACAGAGTGCCGCCCAGCGGAAGAAACTCATCCAAAGCAACCCAAGCCTTCACATCAGTCTGACTCGTCTCGCCGTGCGCAATATCCCGCGAAATCTTGATTCGAAGGGACTCAAAGCCTTAGCGCGCGAGGCTGTTGTTGGGTTCGCAAGCGATGTCAAAGCTGGGCATCGTGAACCACTGTCGAAAGAAGAAAAGGCTCGAGGTGGTGACGAGGATAAAGAGGCCGAACGCCGGCGCAAGGAGAAAGGCAAGGGTATTGTGAAGCAAACGAAGATCATGTTCGAGAACAAGGAAGGCTCCAAAGTGGCTGAAGCGGATGGTGCGGGTAAGAGTCGTGGATATGGTTTCATCGAATACACATCGCACAGATGGGCGCTCATGGGCCTGCGGTGGTTAAACGGACACGCTGTGAAGACCGATGACGGCAAGACGCAACACCTGATTGTCGAGTTTGCGATTGAAAATGCACAAGTTGTGGCTCGACGCAAGGAGCTGCAAGCCAAGACTGGTGCATATCAGTCAGGATATAGTCAAGAACATGCGGGCGAGAAGGACGAAAGGAATAATTCGAGATTCTTACCCAAGGGTAAAGACTTCTCAGTGTCCAGGGGGAAATGGCAGGGACAGAATGGCAAAGGCAAGTTTGGCAGAGATCAAGGCAGACCTGACGATACTGTCAAGGCAGCAAGTCAGAACAGCGACGCCAAAGAAGCACTGCAACAGAAAATAATAGCACGGAAAAGGATGACGCGGAAGAAGAAGGCGAAAGGTCGTTCATAGTTAGGAAGAGTATATCAGATACTTAAGATATCACTTATGTGCTTTACAAGGCACGATGCAAAATTCACAAATGGATGCAGAGAAACCTGTAATTGGATATCATGATTGATTGACTTGGTCATCGAACTTTCATTCTGAGGGTGATCCCTTTTCCGCAAACCGAAACCCAGGGCAAAGTGATGATGGCACATGAAGCCACCCATACATATCTTGCCATACCATACCATGACACACGAGTCCCGAACACCAGTAAGAACCAAACGCTATCAACCCAAGGCAAGAAGGGAAAATCAGTCCGTGCGTCCGCCCATCCCGACTCAGCGCTTCCAAAACCACCCATTCTTCCCATTCTCATCCTTCCTTTCACTCCCCTCCGCATCTTCCCCATCCCTATCCCCATCCTCTCCATCAGTGGTCTTATTCCAGCTGTAAGAGAAGCTCGCACCCGCATTTCCACTCCCACCAGGTAAATCCCCCTCCCAAGACCTGGTCCTCGCAAGTCCTTTGCTCCGCGAGACGAGATTGCCGTGTTTGTCGTACACGCACTCGATGGTCTTAACCTCTTCTTTGCCATCGGTTTCTTTGCGCTCGATGGTTCGCACGCGTTTGCTTCCGTCTGGGTAGACGATGGTCTTGGTCTCTTCCTTGTCTTTCTCCCCATCCTCGCTTCCCGGGGTAATAATCTTCAGATCTTTCTTTCCATCCGCATCAACAGCGGCCGTGAATCCTACTTTCATCCCATCCTCCTTCCCGCCAAAGGAAACCCGAAAGGCATCGTACAGCTCGTCTTCGAACTCAGCTTCTTCCGTACGTTGTTGTTGTTGCTCGCTACGACGTCTCCAAGAGTGTTCCCACGCCCTGTGTCTCTCCCTATCCCTCTCGCCAAAGCTGAATCCAGAGCCCAATCCGAATCCGAACCCAATCCTCCTCTCCCTCTCATCTTCCCCGTCAACAACGACTCTGGAAGGCGCACCACGCTCGCGAAACTCCTCCCAGTCGTCCCTATACACAGGCCGTCCTTTCTTCTTGACATCGAAATACGCATCCCAGAGCCCCATGCCTCCTAGACCCGACACCCAATTCACCGAGTCCACTCTATCACCTCTCTCCCCGCGCTCTACTCCGAATCCTCCGACGCGAAGACGCGTCCTATCTCTGGTGTCTCTTGAGGAAAGACATTTCTTCCACCCCGGCGTGCGCGACATGGATAGCGGCGCGCCGGAGCCCGTGACGAGGAGATCCTCGAAGGCATCGCGGAAGGTGAAGGTGCCTTCACACCCCCGCGGAGCGTCGTTGGGCGTGGGCTGGCGTAAGTGTTGGAGGCTGAAGGGAGAGTAAGGGGAGCGGACGGCCCAGTCGTGGACGCCGTGTGGGGTGGTTTCTTCAGGATCAGGAGTAGGAGTAGTAGGAGAGGCGGGGTAGGTAGGGGAGGTGGGTGTAGTAGGTGAAGTTGGTGAAGTGGGCGCAGTGGAAGCATTGTGGTGATGATCAGACATGGCGGCGGTAGACGCGTGGTCCGATGCAGATGAAGAAGAGTCAGGCATCTTTGGCTGTAAGCTCAGTGGCGGTGAAATTGATGAAGATGTTGCTGAATTCGGAGTTGTAGCGGTCGTTGATGTCGTTCCTGTATGTTGTGGCGATGATACAGGTGATGAAGTAGGCAAAGTTGGCGAGACCGAGCCTACGAGAACATCCCAACCACGCCGTATGTTGCTATCAATATGGTTCTTGAATCGAACAAACGGGTTATCTTCGACGACCATTTTCAATTCTCGGAAAATGCAAGCGGCTCACTACCTAGTCCAAGCGCATTAGACTCATCGAAGGTCAACGAAGGCCACCGAATCAGATTCAATGCGAATCGAACGATTCGATTCCAGCTGCTACACGGTACGTACGTGTATGTTATGCCATGCAAGCAATTGCGCACGCACAGCCACCAGGACCAGGTCTCCAATACAGAGAAAGGACGGGACCCAAAGTAAGCAAATAATGCAGATGTAACTTGGCACCTGAGCGACACGACACGACACGACACGAATCGAATAGAAATCTGAATCGCAAGCGAACAGCATATCCCGGCATATGGAGGGACGAGAACGAGACGACGTCAATGCTTCCGTTTATAGCGATAAACGAAAGAAACCCCGCCGCTTTTTTGCATTGCGTGTCCTGCATAAAGTCTGAGATCTCCCGCCCTCCCCGCCTTCCGGTGGCACCCCACGGGCCCTGACAACGAATACAACAACAGCTGATTATGACATGATTGTCTTACTGCCTAGGTATATTTTTTCCGGATTCCGAAATGCTTCACGTAAAGTCTCTTAAGATTTATGTAGTTGGATTAATGCGGTAATTCATAAAGAAAGGGTGTAAAAGACAGGTAGGTAGCAATGATGTCAAAGCTTGGCAGACAGACCCTGGTCTCTAATACATCAGTAGAAAGAAATATCACATAGGTAAATCTCGCCAAAACGTGTGACAGGTATTTCCATAGGTTCTCATAACATACTGAGCCCTATATGAGATGATAAACATATTTAATTCAATTTAAAATCTACAATATCGAATTGTCTCTTAATGTGTAGTATCCGGGAATCTCGTGAAATGACGAGGCAGTACCTACTGTACGTGAGCCTCTGGTGCCTTTATCATAGTAACACCTATAATGGCTGAAAAGTTGAACAAGGATGATTTACCTATCTAGGCATGCAGACCCGGCCCGTAACCTGCGAGGCTCAAGAGGTGTTTTGAGTTTCTGAGAGTTGGATTCTCTCAGCTCGCTTTCTTGGATACCTACCTAGGTAGTCACAGACAGGAAGCACACATTCCGGTGCATTAATCTACACCAAGTACATTTGAGGCTATCATATCGTAGGTATAGCAAACAGACCAACACCGCCCAATCCAGCCACTAGATATCTCCATTACCGTCAGACACGCCGTACATCCAAAACCATCTCATCACAATCACACGTAGGATATCAAATGCTATTCATATAGCTAGCTATATGAACCAAGCGAATCATATAAATCGATAAACAATCTATTGGTATCATGTACTTATAGAACATTCGCACCGGAGCCCAGTCAGCCAGCGTGACTTCAATAGCAATAACGACCAGGGAAAGGAAAATGGATGAGGTCCTGTTCCATGCATATAATCCAGAGGTAGAAAAAAATGAAGAAACAATCCATCGCTTGCCTATGCAGTAAAGATGAGTCAGGTAAACAAATTGATACAGTTGCCGCCCAGGAGCCCAAGCCTCAAGTCGAGGATGATGATATACATCCAACCCCTCCGCATAAACCCTTCAATCCATCCCTCTGCCTCAAACCCAAGGAAGGTAGGTATGAAGAGAGACTTCAACTACTCGGCCTGCAGCAACAAATCAACACACCAAGCAGCCCAATCAACCACCCCTCGCAAAGTATCAACAGCGCCAACGAGCATATTCAAAGACACGAGAATGCCCACCGCAACAAGTCCGGCCACGGCTTCCAGTCACGAAATCTTGCCGGCGCGGTTCTTCGCAACCTTGACTTTGCCCGCAAGGACGTCGACCTGTCCATTGACGTCATCAAGCATCCTCGTCTGCTCCTCGACCTCGACATGAATGGCCTCGGCCATTTCCCGCTGGCGCCTGATGATCTTGGCCAGCGCGTCAACATCGCTATCCTGCTCCTGCATCATCTGTCGCTGGAGCTGCGCGACGCCCTGGTTATCCAGTTCCCTCGTCTGTTCGGTTTCCGGCAGCGGTGCGCCAAGGACTCTTCCGCGCCCTTTCGTCGCCGCGTTTCCGATGAGCGCAGCCTTGTCCGCCGTCGAGGGCACGCCTCCTCGCGCGGCGGATTTAGCCGTGGCGGAGATGGTAGAGCTAAGCTTATCCAGGTCTTCCCTATCGACGCGTGCCGCAGCGAGTAGATCTTTTCTTCGGCGGATCTCGCCATCACCTAAACGCTTCGCGTCCTCCATGGTCTTCAGCCCGTCGCGCAAAGTGTTCAGCAGTCCGCCCGCTTTGACGAGCGCCTTCTTCGCGGCTGATCCTGCCTCGAGGGCGACAGCGTTCTCGGTAGCAGCGTCTCGTCTCGCTAGACAACGGCGAGCTTCCTGGAAGTCCCTCTTCATCTCTGCGTGCAAGTCGAGCCAGGTGCCGGGGTCCTGAGAGGCGGCGACATTGGCGGCATCTCTGTTAGGGATGCCGTAGCCAGCCCTTACGCTCGCGGCACTGTTGGAGGCGCTGTTGAGGCTGGGGAGATTGAGGAAGGTGCGCCAGGCGGGAGTGTCGCGCCACCTGCGGTCGGGGGATTCAGCAATGGCGCGGAGGTAGGCTTCGAGGCCCCTGCGGCGGTCCTCGGTCAATTCTGGCGAGTTTCGCGTGGATTTGAACCACGACTTGGCTGGTAGGGGAGCGGGAGGCGGGACGGTGACGAGGGATGTGAGGGCGCTGTGCAGAGTGGCAAACTCGGAGTATCGCTTCTGGACGACGTAGGTACGCAGGGGAAGCCTCATGGTGATGTTGTAGAGTGTGTAGGGCTTGGATCCGTCGGGAGGCGTGTAGAGAGACGTCGTGGGAATGGTGATCTCGGCGGGAGGCGCCATGATGAAGAAAGCAGCGTGCACACGCAGGCACCTGGGATGTTGTGTTTGATGTTTTCTACGTCGTCGTGGCTGTTGATTCCCAAGCTGGGGAGGGGAGGGAAGGGAATGGCGAGTTGGAGAAGGGTTTGTGGTCGGTGTACACACTGACAAAAGAGTGAGCCCGTGTATACCTGTGTTCTGCGTGTGTGGAATGCCTTCTCTGATGCCAAATAGGAGAGTCGTCGTCGTCGTCGTAGTGGAATGAGAATGAGGCTAAGGTCACGGCGTCGATCGATCTCAGGCACGGGACTTGACCTGGTGAATGAGGTAAAGACAAGTTAAAGATTAATTGGCTGCCTGTTCCGATTGAAAATGTGGGGGCTGAAGACCCGGCTCTTCCCCGGACTGTCATGATGCAGGAGCACGCGACCGGCAGAGGTAAAGGTATCTTTGTACCTTGCTGGAATCTTCATAATCATTCTTCTGTCCTCGATCATGCAGATGTCGCGCCATCGAGATGAGAAACAGAGATCAAGGACGTGATACCTATGTTGCTATTTTACCCAAAAGAGAATACTAGACAGTCCACAGGGCATAAGTAGCTATCAGTGGTCCAACATCGCGTCACATCCTAGTGCCAGGAACCCGTTGATGAACTCGCCAAGTAGCTGACTGACCCTCTCATTCGACCCATGATTCGTATCCCTCTCGCACACGAGGAGGGCGATGATGAATCCAGCCTACCTATAGTACGTAGAGCCGTCTGCGGGTACATTCCCGCCCGGCCCCGCAACAGATCGCGCTTCCGTACACTCCCCCACAGTTCCCGGTGTCTTTCCCTCACTCATCCCCGCACATCTGATGCGGTGCAAGAAGTTCATAGTGTCACATCATCCTAGGAGCCTGTCTTTTCCTCCTATTATCCATGGTAATAATGCGGTTATTACAAGAGAACTGTTGGCGGGTACGGTGGGCGTGGCTATATTACCCCTTACAGTGGATTCCTTTAGTGACTACCGTAGAACTTCTACTCTACAACATCAATAATAACCCTTTGGCAATCAATTCGTTTATCAGAACCGAAAAACCCGCCGCCATCACCCACTGCGTATCCCCGCCTTTCGGTGGTGCTTAATGTTTTCCGCCGAGTAGATCTAGTCTATTTCCAGAATGGTGTACCGGTAGTTCTCAGCCAAACCATCCTTTTTTATCACGATAGGTATTACTCTATTGAAGGTCATAGAAGCAAGTCCTGGAGATGATCGTATACATAATAAACAGTATTATGTAGATCCCCCTTACTCACTTTCTCACCATTCCACCAAGAATTTTCACCCACTTGCCAGCAATCATGAGAGCGTTAAGATACCACGGCCCATACGACGTTCGTCTCGAACATGATATCCCAGAGCCCGAGTGTCGCCCCCACCAGGTCAAGATCAAGCCGTCATGGTGCGGCATATGCGGATCTGACGTGCACGCATACATGTCTCCTACAGCAATTCCCTTCAAAGAAACGCCGCATCCTCTAACGGGCGAGACATGGCCTGTGACCCTTGGCCACGAGTTCTCTGGCGACGTTGTGGAAGTCGGTTCACAGGCTATCGGCTCACTGAGCGTTGGGGATCGAGTCGTAGTACAGCCCACTCTCTGCTGCGAACAATGTATCCCCTGCAGAGGCGGTGCTGAGAACTGCTGTACTTCGTTTGGATTTCTCGGCTGTGAGTCTTTCTTACTAATTCGCCTAGTGTACAAGATCATTTTAAGCACTTCATAGCTCCCCCTAAGATCCATGCGTTTCTCTCAAGGCAGGCTAATAATAATCACCAGTGATGGGAGGGGGCGGTGGACTATCAGATTTCGTCACTGTTGATTCCCAATATGTCTTTAAACTCCCAGATAACGTGCCATCTGATATTGGAGGTTAGTAGGTGCAATAGTAATGTTCCCTACCCGAGTTAATTATATGTGCAGCTCTCGTCGAGCCTTTCGCGGTTGCATGGCATGCTGTTTCACAGGCCAATATTTCCGCCCACAACGATGTTGTGATCATGGGTGCAGGGCCCATAGGCTTGGCGGCGCTTAAATGCATCAAGCTTCGCCAACCGAGGAACATCATCGTGGTCGATATCACCCCAGAACGTAGGAGGTTGGCTGAAATGTTTGGAGCCACTGTCACCCTTGATCCCCGGGAGGAGGATGTAGTCGCCAGGTGCAAAGAGCTATGTGACGGGGTGGGACCTGCCATTGCGATGGACTGCGCTGGCGTTGCTTCGAGTATCCGGTCTGCCATTCAGGCAGCTCGGCCCAGAGGTCGAGTTGTCAACGTGGCGCTATGGGACGAAGCCGTCCCATTTCAATTTAACGACCTTCTACACGGTGAGAAGACGATCACGGGTTCGTGTAGTTACAGTAGGGATGACTTTGAAAACGTTATCAGGGCGATTGGGGATGGCTCGATTAATGTTGATAATATGATCACTCGTAAGACTACTATGACACGTGTGGTGGAAGATGGGTTTCAAGCACTGCTCCAGGAGAAGGAGAAACATGTCAAGATTCTTATAGACGCACGACTTCCCTAGATTCATCAGGAAAGTAGCAAAGGTTAACGTCTACCCTTCGCTGCCGTTACTTGATCAGCATGTTTCATGATTCTATACCTCTAGATACCGGTAAGTCGTGCCTCCTCGGGTAAGCAATCTGCTTAGACTAAATGTTTTCAACAACTGAATTTGAATAGCCCAGTCGTTGTCACCATCATCCTACATGCAGGACGAGCAGACTAAATTCCCTGATTTGCCCCCGTCTGGTGTCAGCGACACGAATCGTGCACTTTTGGGGGGGAGAAGGTCAGCCAATGGCGAAATTACATACAATTGCGTAGGTCGCGTTCTCAGTTTAACTGTCACGGGCAGGCTTCCTTCTGGATTTCGGACAAAGTGCAGCAATGGGAACAGTCACCGACCTTTGGTACAACATTACTCTTGTTTAAGCCCAACCCGCCCGAAACGGCGCAATCCTATCACGGCAAGAGCACATACAAACAACAACAAGCCGAACGCAAGCCAGAAGGCGGCGGAATACCCCTTTTCTAAAGCGGCCGACATCTGATCTCCGTGCCACTCAGCCGTGTGCATTACGCTCTCAGACAGCAAGCTTGTAAGCGCTAGGCCAAGGGATGTTCCAAGCTGAGCAGCAGTGTTGAAAACAGCCCCAGCAAGGGACTGCATGTCGCGGGGAAACACTTCGCTTACTGTTATCACCCCGACGCAGAATAACACGTCTGCCGAAGCCTTTGTGCCACTCAAACATAAGTATTTGCCCGGGATCCAATGGAGAAGTCAGATTGGTAAAGTTCATTGCTTACCGGTTGTAGAAGTTGTGCAGGAAAGGATGCCCACCAGTATGGCCACTCTGGCCTTGCGTTGGCCATGATTGCCGACGCGCCAGAAGAGAGCAATGACGACACAAAAATAATATATTTTGGCGATAGCCGGTGTACGAAAGCGCCCGTTGACAGTCCGATAATGGACCCAACGACAAGGCCAGGCAGCAATTGAAGGGACGACTGCAAGGGATTTACCTGCTGTAGATTTTGAAAGAACAGCGTGCAAAAGAGCTCCATAGTTTGCAGAACCCCGTATGACAGCATCACCATAACGCAAATGCTTGCAAACGACAGCTGCTTCCAAAGATGGTTGGGAATAAGGACCACTCGCTTCTGTTTGGCAGCAATATGCATCCAAAAGACGAAGACAGGAAACAGGACTAAGCTGGTTGCGAGAAGTACGATGTTCTTAGGTGCACGTATGGCGCTCGTTGACCCCGACAGTTCGCCCAGAACATATGCGAGCAGAGCAAGAGCGGCAGAAATAATGATAACTCCCACCCAGTCAATCTTGGTGCCTAGGTTGGACAAGGCTCTAGGCCGCCCGAAATTTCCCCTTGGGAGCCGGTAAATGGCTAACAGGAAGAGCAAAAATGACGCTCCTGAGGCTATATACCAACCCACTCGCCATCCAATCGTATCCGCAAAGATACCACCGAGTACCAGGCCGGCTGAATAACCCAGAGACTGCCCAAGGCCAGTGCAGGCAAATCCTATATTGCGGAGACGACCGGGTGAAATAGCATTAGACAGGATATCGGTCGTCGTAGGTAGACAGAGCGCAATCGAAATGCCCTGTAGGGCTCGGAAAATAACCAACTGTATACTCGTTCGAGCCAAGCCACAGCCAAGCATGAAAGCCGACTGCAACAAAGCACCGACCAAGAAGACGACCCTTGAGCCTATCGCGTCTGCTATAGAGCCGGAAACCAGGAGTGACGCGCCACTTGTCAATCCGTAGACCGAGAGGGGCAAGTATGAGCCGCTCGATGGTATGGACAAGTCCCGCGTAATTGTCGGAATTGACGAAGTGAGTAAACCATTCGACACGCTAGCTATGAACGTGACTAAGCAAAGGATACATATGATAGCATATGCTCGCGGCCGAGAAACATAGGTCTGCGTGCTATCTTCTTCCAAAGACACAGCTTCCACTGGAGTCTCGGTGCTCGAGAGACTATCATCAAGTGCTGTTTCCTTGCTTGGTGGAGGTACGACTCCAGGTGAAACAACCACATCGATGACAGACATGTCGAAGTCTTGATAAGGGAACAGTGATGTGTCGAGAATAATAGAAGCGTAAATTTAAGGAGAGCCGGTGGCTTTGACGAGAGGAAGGCTACCGAAGCTGTGGGACTGACAACGTACAACGAACAGGGAATTATCTACTTCTTAAATAGTACAGAGTCGAAACAGACATAAGACTATGTAATCTATACCTATGCCTTCATAATTGACGTAATTCTTTCGGATAATCTTGTAAGCACTTGTGCCGCAATCTTCTCCTAACGCATAAAATGCCCGAGCTTACCACTGTCTGACTCTCCCTGGGCCCTGGCTAAGCGTACGTGGCCGGTTTAGTTTGATTTTGCCCCCGGGGTGAAAATTTGCATCATGGGAAAGATTCAGTTCGAACGTCCTAGATGGTCGCACAAACCACTGGTTCAGGGGTTGTGTCAGATCAGTGGTATACGTACCTAGGTACGGAGGTTGCGGCCAAAAGTATTCATCATCCTTGGCAACGTAACATAGTGTAAATAGAAACACTTTCACTGGTTAAGCCGTGAACTAACCGAAGCTGTTGATTGTTGACAGCTTAATACAGTTGGTAATACGCTGGTCGCGGTCTACTAACGGCCTATAAGCTTAGTATTATGTTTAGGTCGAGCCGATGGCGGTCTGGCAGACTAGAAGCCTTGAAATCCTTACACTGTAGGTAGGCAATCTAGTCAATGATGAATACTTTTGACCGCAATGTCTGTAGCTATGGCGAGATCGAAAGTTACATTGGTAGAGTGAGCATAGCTAGCACCTGATATTTCAGTTCCCTTAAACTCGTAGCTTCGTAGCGAATTCGTAGAGGATTTAGCATCTGTGTTGTGGACTTATTCATAGACTGTCCATTTTGCTCAGTCTCTGCAGACTCGCCTCTCCTTTGTTACTTTTCGGCCTCATTAGTTATATCCGCCACTGCGCTGGCCTTCAAAAGACAGTGCTTCTATCGCCTAACACCGAGCTATTCATGTCATACTCAGGTGGAGTTAAGGAGCGGCTAAACTAAGGTCCGGGGATCGTATTACTATTCGGCACACCGCTCAATTACCTGTGAGATAAAATCCCACCTAGTTAGGACATGCTCGGAATCTCCAGAGAATAAAAGATGAGGGCAAAACTACGCAGCGAATAGATTTGAGGCTATGCTTCATATTTCGAGATAGAGAATGTAAAACCATAATAGATTCAAGCGTAACGATGTTGAATACGCTTTTTGCACTGTTGAAAAAATCCATACACACACAGTCTTCCACCCCCTACCCTCAACTGTCATTCTGCGCGAGGAGAAGTCATAACCCCTCCCCCCCCCCAGTAGTCGATCCCAGATTAATTAGCGGCGGGATCTGTCATTTTTCCGGGGTGGGCTTCCCCTGAATTTGTAGTTCGGAAAGGAGTTTCTTTATATGGGCGTTCAGATGATATTCAGCCAGTCGCATGGGATCCATATTCTTAGCCCCCGCGATCTGGCCAAAGCATTTATCATTCCCAGCCTTGCACCAGCACTCGAATGGCTGAATCATATCCCACTCCGAGCTGGGATAGAAGAAGCTAAGGACGTCACCCTTCCGAAGGGGTTTCCCTGAGGCCACTCTGAATTCCATGCGCTCAGTATCCAATTCAAGAGAAGGGTCGCAGCTATGGTTGATGAACTTGAGGTCCGAGTTGAATTCCACATGTTTATTGGGGGCAATTTGAATGCTGGTGTAGGCAGGCTCCGCGGTCGTCACGCCGTTAATACGCGCGAATACGGAACCTGCTGGGAGATCGACGAGGGATTGGGCCCACGCGCGGAAGTTTCCGGGGTCATGTCTGACCATAAAGAGACGTTCCAGGTCTGGATTTATCCAGGCCGGGACTGGAAGAGTCTTTTCGGGCTCAGTGGCAGCGTACGTGGTAGGTACGTATTGATAGGCAAGCATGTTGCAAATGGTAATTGCTCTCTTGGGATTTTGAGTGTGGAATAGGTATATAGACTGTTTTTTAGAACACATAAAGCCTAGATCGTGGAAGGTTGCTGAAGTTGCAGAGGCAGATGAGTCTAGCTATTTATACCTTAAAACATGTTGCTTTAATCGTACAGATTCCACCCAGAGAGGGACAACATGGGTGTCCTCTCACTGGCTCTATGGGCTCATGGCCTTTAGTCTCAGATCATGGCACGGTATAGAATATTCACACTGTTGGAATTATGTCTCGGACATGTAAAAGCTGATGGCTAGGTACTGTCACAATCGTAGGTTCAGGGCATAGCTGCATTGATGCTATGGACGAAGATTCTAAGCTAAAGAAGGAAAGTAAGAAGGGAACAAAGTCAAAGTACAGGCGCACATAAAGATACGCGTAAGAATTGCTAATTGTAGGTCACGTAACTTTATCAATAGGGGCCCAAGCGTTTACCCTGCTGTACAGTTCCGTTCCGCAATACGTACAGTATTCAGATATAATACATGTTCGTCATACGTAAGTTAAAGTCAAATATCTCCATCATCAACTAAGATTAGCTATAGTGCAAATTTTTCAAGGCGTTCAAATTAAGGTTAATACCTGCCAAACCATACCAGCCTAAATCTCACGTCACATTAAGCTTACAAACCGCTATTAAACTAATTCTAACTATATCTAACTATTAATAATTTTAAATTATTATAACTAGTTAATTAAAAAATTAATATTATGAATTTTTAACTAATTCTCTATTTTTTATAACTTATAGGTTATTAATACCCCTATTTGAGCCGTTGAGTACTTGGCACAAGTTTGGTAGCTGAAACCTGATATTAAACGCATCTAATTACATATCACTGACTACTCAACTATTTTATCATCGTGCTGAGAAGCGGGTCTGTAAGCCCGGGGTATTATCATGCATCAAATATATTGCTGGAGAAGGACTTTCTGAGTGTCAAGCTTATACCCCTATCTTGTATCACATTCTCGGACAATTTGGTCTGAGAAAGAGTGGCCAAAGCACCTGAGCACTGGAAAGATACAAATGTATACCATCAATCGATGTAATTGCTTGTAAGATAGGGCCGCCAACAGGTGTTAAGTGGTTAGATAGCAGCGACAGTCTTAATTTACCCAAAGAACTGATGCATTTCTCACTTTCGTTCCGGGTCTTCCGCCAGGCCCTGCTTACTCTTTTATATTGACTGGTTCGACGAATAAGCCTACATATGGAGAGGGACCACAACGCGAGACCAAGGTCGTTCTACTGGGTGACAGTTCTCGACCATATGTAGTGAGGCGAGACAGCAGGAACAGAGAAACGCGGGCGTAACTGAGAAGAACGTGGTATCAGGAGACTCGCCAGTGAGAATCGTGGTGGAGGCAAGTTATACAAGACATAGTCAACGTATGCGAGATGATGTACGGTCTGTCAGCTGTTGACGTGTCAAGTACTTCTTAGGCATATACCTCAGTCCCATGACAATGCTGAACATGGCCTGCCTATCGGGCAGAGGACTCAGCCATATACAAGCATGATTACCACTTAGCATCTCATCCATGTAATCCTCAAAGCAGGTAAAATATCGGAATGGAATTCAGCAGGGATTTTCTTGTTGGTAGTCTGCGCCGCTTAACCGAGTCTGACGTCTGGCCAATGAGGATGACCTTCATGAAACCATGCATGGCACCTGAGGACTGGATTATACACACTCAACTTACTTCCGAGAAACTGAGCGTGGATATCGCTTGATTATTGCTGCTTGATTATTGCTGCTTGATTATTGCTGTCTGATTATTGCTGTTTGATTATTGCTGTTAGGTTATTGCTGCTTTATAAAGTGTGAATGCAAAAATTAAAATACTGTACCTTTGACATGGGTTTCAAGATTCGGATAATATAGCTGCGACATGTAGGTGCCTCCTAACTACCTCTTGCAGGTGGAAGCTTGAAGCCGCCAGAAACCCCCGGCTGAATTATCCCCAGAGGATCAACCCTCTTACTTGTCGCCACAAGCTTCTTTACGCTTTCTTCGCTATATCCTGACAGAGCACGATCGCCACAGTGGCCATAGTTCGTGAACACATAACGGTGTAAGAGCCCCCTTTCTCTTGCCAGACGTTTTAACTCAGTCACGAGTTCGCCCACCGCTTTGAATATACCCCCATCATCTTCCGGCAATGCCCAGATTGGGTTAATAAGTAGCACGAATAAAGGGCCGTCTGAGGGCCGGATTGCGGCAGCATTGCCTCCAGCGTTTTCATAATTCTCCAGTAGGGCTTTTGTTAAGGGATCAAATCCAAAAGAGAAAATGAATCCTTCTGCATCTTTGATTTGGAATAGAGTTTCCTACCATTTATCGTGGAATAATTCCATCAGAGATACTTTCGCGCGAATCGTTATGGTTGTCCAATACTGGCTAAAATAATGCAACGTTAGCGATGAAAGCTGGGAAGACAATGATGACTACCAGCCGCATTCCATCAGTTGAGAACTTAGACAACCCCTCACTAAATTCACGCTGAGTCGCCATCCGCATGCTACACATCTGCTGAATCTGGGGTTCAATGCGTGTGAAGAGCTGGAGCGAGAGATGATTTTCCTTTACCTTTGTGTGATACACAGGGTTGGCAAATCTTGTACTAATAGTATTTTTGCATTTTCTTTCTTTTAGAATAACTTCATAACTATAATAGATATAGTTATATATAGATAATCAGCTTAAAGCTCTTTAATACTAATGCTGATTATTAAGCTAATACTTATAATAAAAATATAAAAAGATAACTGTTAGAATCTTTAAGAAAAGGGCTTGAAAATGATATTCAATATGCTTTTATATATGTTATGGTTGTGAAGTTATTGGCAATACTAATGCATACTAATCATACTATTAGTATGTACTAATTGCCAACTTTGATGATACATGACGCAGCTCACAGCTTGTTGTTTAAACCCGTAGCCTACGCTACACATGATATAAGTATCCAAGTCCGACTCATTCTCAACGAAGTCACAAGCTTTCTCAACTAGCTGCGAGAAAGTACTAGACGCGTAATATGTAATGCGGCCCTAGGTTGTGTTAGAATTCATCGTTTTCATTTTGAATGACTTGACGGTGCCAAAGTTGTTGAGGCCGCCTTTAAAGCGCCGAGAAGAGGTCCGGGTTCTCTTGACCATTTGCATGAACGACCTCTCCAGAGGCCAGTACAACCTCGAATTCGGTGACTGAATCACACGCAACCCAGTGCATGTAGAGAATATTGACAGTCCCCCTTAGATGAGGTTAGCATGTATTATTCCGACCTTAGGTTCGCATAAATTTAACGAAAGATATGAAATATTCTGAGGTCCACGTTAATTTACCTCCCAGCACAAAACCCGCAACCCATATCCTTCCAACTCGTCCGCCAGGTGTAGTCAGGCCATGCTTCTCCAGCTCAGCATATACAGCACTCCAAGTTTCCCCAACCCCTATCTTCACAATGGATTTATCTTCACTCAGAGTGACCCCCTTGAGTCGCCTCATATCAATTGTTACACCACCATCAATATTGGCGTTTTCAGCAAACGGAGTGTGGCCGGCGCCTCGGATGGCAACTCTACAAGCTCCCGAGAGGATTGACTAAGTGCTGCACCTCTGCCACATCGTGAGGCTGCACAATGCACCAGGGTCTAAGCTCATTCTCAGAGGCGCTAAAGTATGATTCATTGGCTTGTTGGTACTCTTCACTGCCTGGCAGAATGACTGCGTCACCAAGGATGTCAGCCAGGTCCCCTAACGGTTGAGCTTCGCCTGAGTCTTCCATTGGACTGTATACTTTGGTCTGAGTTGGAGGACGGGAAATGGAAAAATAATGGGAAGTCTTAAGAGTGGATTCGGTGAAGTGCTTATCCGCTCAGTTGGTTCAACGTCGTATTCACGTTGGTCCTGATGCTGACTGCCTGCCTCTAGCTGATGGGCTAGGTAGATGCCCGGATGCATGCTTATGAAAGTGAGATGTATTGACTAGATAGTCTCGAAATAATTAGAAGACTGCAGCAGGCTGCAGCGTTTCCCCTACACTATTTACACCTTGCAAGGTTTCAATTATTATTTAACATTTAACCTTTAACTAATTGCTTTTATAATAATACTTTTATTAATTTTATTACCTACAGTTATCTTTTTATAAAATTTTAAATTTAAGGAAATGTGAAATTTAACTTTCATTAACGTTGTACTTTTGAAATATATGATTAAAAAAGGCGTTGGTTAACAATTCGCGATAACCTCATACCTTACAACCCTTGATTTTAGTACGTTTTTCGATGTATACAGTGTGCAGATGTCGTAGCCAGCTGAAATAGCCTGCTAGCAATTGCGTACTGCACATTTAGAGTGGGCCCTACTGCATATCCAGACCTGTCCTGTCCCTAACAAAACCCAGCACAGTCCATTTGCCGCCAGCGGTAGAACAAGAGCTGTGTAAAATTCGACCGCATTCTTCTTCTAGCTCTCAATATGTAGAGATGGATTCATTTTCAACTACAATAAAGTTTTGAAGCCAGGTGCTAGGCTTTTCCTCGCTCTTACCAAGCAATCCACTATCATAGTCCTCACCCATCACCGACTTCTCTAGCAATACCTCCGCATTTCGCAAGTTAAGCAAAATGGTCTCCAATTTACTTGAATAATGAGGGAGATACGTATGAGATTGTGAGACCTCTTGAGCGACGTATACGGGTTCCAAGCGAACGAAGAACCGTTTCATGTGGCGTAGCAACTGGAGTGGTTGGAGACAACGCATATGCGTTGCGAGAGAAAACAGTAGGACAGATTTTGACTTCGCTCCACATTTATAGAACGTGGGAGTTGGGTCCAGAGTGCGTGTGGCTCTGCTGATTGAATCGTGAGCCATCATGTTGACCGTAATCGTCAACCTTTCTACATCAGCGTAGTCACGGAGCTCCGTTATCCAATGGTTGGTCAGGGGACTCGAGACAGATAGCTCGTCAGAGTCAACGCTGCAATTAAACGGGTCATCGAACGCCACGTTCGGTAAACAGAGTTCCAAGCTTCTCAAATTTCGTAAGAGAAACGATGCCTGGCTTGTCGTGATGAACTTGCAGAGTTGCATCTGTTGTTGTGGAACAGGCTCTGACGACCCGGTGGGGCGATATCCTGTCCAAGGGTAGATAATAACTCGGTTATACCGCCACAGCACCCTAAACGCATGCTCACGGATAGCTCGGCTTACAACCATCAAAGACTGCGGTGGTCTCCAACACTGGGGGCAGCATCCATACCGGGAGCGGTGCCTATGGCTGGGACCGCGGGACGTTTCCCTGCACTGTAAGGACATGCAAAATTGGGGTTCATAGTCCTTGTGCAAATCGCTACTACAGCAGATTCCATCAGCCCCTCCAGCATGATATCTATATTTGCCATCGAGGTCCCAGTATACCTCTCTTGAAGGAGTGACAAGATCTGTGTTGGCGAGAATGCTCTCTTGGATTTCCGTGGGTAGGTCGAGGTAACGAAAGGGTTTTGTGCAGTTCTGGCGTTGATCCTTGAATATGACAGGGAGCTTGAATTTTCTTGTAAATGCCGGGGGTATGTTATCCATGTTCACTGTGTTGCTCGGATGAAAATCGAAGTCTTTAAGGACTCCCGAGCGCTTGGTCAATGGCTCAAGAACGGCCGTGATGACTGCCTCATCCAATGAATGGCACACTATATGCAGATTCAGGATCCCAGGCGGCGAATGAGACATGAGGTGCCCGGCTACTGCTCGCCACCGCCGGATTCTATACTGCGATAGCGGAGTGGGATGCCATGCCGTAAATATACTCGGATAGTAATCATCAAGGAAATCTGGCCACGAATTCCCAGTAGGCACGGTATGCAGATGAACACATAACCAGGCCAGTTTAGAGATGATTTTCGGTGGCAGCCTCTGGATAAACTTGAGTCCCTCGTCTATGTGACGATAAGGGATGGTAAAGTGATTCTCGGCGAAAAATATAGCTCTAGTCTCGTCTCTTATGGCCTTGCAGGTGCAAAATAGATTAAAGTCAGTGGGTATACATCTGCCATGAGGGTTTGAAAGAGCAGCGCTTGGTGCCAGGAGAATCTTCTGCCGGGTAACAAGGCCACAATGCAGATATATGCGTCTTCTCACGTGTTTCGGGAGGTCAAGAATCGTCTTCGGTTCTGGGCGCGGGCAATCCCAAATCTCACAGAGCTTCTGTTGCCGTAACATGATAGGAGCATGTATACATAGACAACGTGTAGCAAGCCTACTTCCTCCAACTCGAACAATTCCCGTCCGAGGATGTTTAGACAAGATGTTGAGTCGAAAGCTTAGATGTTGTTAGGCCCTTTCGGTTGCTCTCCCCAAATTCCCCCTTGCTTTCGTCCCTTGCTTTCTCCGCTCCTGTATATGGAAGGTCCGAGCAGTAGGATGTTGGGTGAGGCCGGCGTGATGGCTTGGCGGCTAGCAGCTTGAACTTCTCATGTCTAAGGATTAAGTATTCACACACATGCTCTCATTGCAAACGTCGGGTTGAAAAGGGGGCTGGGTCGCGTGGATGGGCAATTTCCTTTACTATGTACTAGACCTGTTTCTATCTATTCTATCTGCGTGTTGGCTACCAGCAGCACTGGAATTGTGGGGTAGTGATAGAGCATTGATCGTCGACACGGAACACACGGTCTCCGTTAATACTAATGAGTGGCTGCCACGTAGCAAGGATGAGACTCGTCGTCCAGCTTAAACAGAGAACTAGTCAGGCATATTGGCATGGATGGACATTCGAAGAAGCCCTCAAGTTTGTGTAGATGTTTGTGTTTGTGTAGATGTTTGTTGAGGGAATTACCAAGACAAGTAAGTGTTCTACTTAGTATCGATGGCGTCATCGAGTGGCTGGGATCGGCTAGCCACATGTGGCTAGGGACTGCGATCAGGAAATTGCCGGGTCAATTTCGTTTGATTCGCGATGGCTTCATTAGGGCACCGGCGGGAGTCGGGGGGGTTTTTTTTTCTTTTTTCTTCTTTCTTTTTTGTCTTTGCTTTTTGCGTTTTTGTAAAGTTCTATTGCAATTCTTTCTATGCTTCAGTAGCGCATCTAACCCTATCCTAATGCATCTGCAATTGTAGATCAAATCGTCTACCCTATGCTCTAGGCAATGATGACCAAGGGCTGTTGAATGACAATTATCTGCCATAGTTATGAACGATCCATAACTGTACGGAGTATAGATCTTGCAAATCTTGGACTTGCGGACTCGAGAACTATGTTTTCTTAGGTATTTATCGATCGTGCGTTCCACGTGGACCGTACACGGGGACGTGACAAGGGTAAGCCAACAAACATCCCAGCCAGCGATCTCGGTCATAATCGATGAACTGCGCTCCCCAATATCCCTCCAATCGTCCAATCCTAACTATGAAAAATCATCAGTTATTTGAATCGTTGTACATGGTGGGTTCAGGTTCAATATTGTAAGTACTTGTTCAGGCGCATTGACACGAAACGCTCTTCGAATCGCATAACTATACAGTAAGCTTTGATGTAACACTCAATTACCGACCGAGAGGTAGAAAAAAATGCGAGACAGCGTACTTGGACCTCTCATATGCATGCAGCTCGCTTTGTCCGCTCACGCTGCCCTCCGTCGCCCCGTTGAAGGTTGACTTACTTAATATAAATGCAAGACATTAGGAACAAATATTAGATGGTAGTGGCGTTCCTATGTGCACAGCAGACCACGTGTTTGTTGTTGAACGTCGTACCATTTGCCCAAGACAAGATCGAAATGTCTCGATATTGCGGCAAAGAGCGGTTGGAGCTAAATACGAGGAGTCGGATGCCCGAGATAGATCCAGATGCTCGGGACGTTACATGAGGCCTGTAGGCCCGACCACGATGGGCTGTGAACGGGCGGAATAGAACTAGTCTAGAACCCGACGCAAAGAGCTCTCGCATGTCGGTTAATCAACAGAGCAGCGAAGGCAAGAAGCGGTATGCACAGTTTTGCATGGCATTCCGCACCGGAGCGATCCGAGTTCGACTAGGATCAATGATATGTGGATACACAAGACCCTTGGTGCGCCAATACCAAGGCGACCCTCCTAAGACAATCTAAATGAGCGGCCGGGAGGGGACGAGAATGTCCTGTCAGCATCGGAATCTCTTCTCCAGCTGCACACAACCTAACGATGTCTAAGATGTCGGTGACTCTATTATGGGTTTACCTAATGTTGCGCGGCTCGGGGTAATCAGTAGGTAGTTCAACGGCGCTGTTTTTGATGTGAGTCGGATCGCGAGAATACGAGCTCTTGGCGAATCAGAACACATCATATGCTACGTATACTAGGATCAATCTGTACTATGGCTCAGCACCAGGTGGAGGGAGATCATCGTGCTACGTCATGGCTCGCTCTCGTGTTGGGCTTCTCACCACGGCGCCCTCGTGATGGGAGGCAAGCGAAGATCGTATACCGTCAGCATCAATGCCGAACGTTCCATCGTCTCATTCTTTTTCTAAGAAGTAACAATACGCGGTATACCGAGCCATGGAGGTAATCTCATATAAAAGGTGGACAGAGTCTCCATGGACATAACCATGCATTCCAGTTCACCAAGCCAATCTCAGCAAATCCACTGCTCAATCACTCGAGCACCCAATTATATCCTCTCTTAAATCCTACATTCCTCCATCGAAGTCTTCCAGACATAAGTAGATTCATCAAGATGCGCAACTTCGCCAGCGCCCTCATTGCCTCATTGCCTTTCACTATTGCGGCCCCCTATGGTTTAAGCCCGCGCGACACCACGCCGGGCTGCACGGCGATATCGTTCGGCGATTTTGCATGGACCATCGAGGACTTCACTTACCATGCCGGATATACCTTTTCCACTCCCGCTCATCAGATTTCCTCGGGCACCGTGGCCTTTAACATAACGAACCCGGCAGTCTCCGAAAAGGTGTCGTGTACAGCTTACAGCACATGGCTGACTGACTTCTTCTACGGAAACATCAACTACGACTGCGAGGTGCCTGAGGGGTCGGGGGTCGGCACGTCTTTCTCTTTCAGCCGGCCCATGAACCAGCTCAAAGTCAACCAAACCTGGACCTGCAGTGACGAAGATCCGCAGTATCCGTAAGTGTTCCATCACATACCACAGCCAGATAGTAGGCGATTGGCAAGTGAAGTAAAAAGACTAACGGATGATTGCTTCGGCATATAGGATCACTTTCGCCGGCTACGGCACAGCTAACTTGACACTGGACTGCAAGGAGACCTACTATCAGAATCCCAACTGGACATTAGGCCAGATATATTCTGTCCGTGACATTTCCTGCCAGCCCGTCACTCTTCCTCTCACCCCTCATTCTAAGACTGCCGTCGCTTAGAGAGGTTTGAGCCCGATAATTGCGGCCTTTATATTAATGAGACATGATGATTGGATTCGGCTTGGGTACTATATGAGAATAATGATTAATGGACTTCAATAATTTTGAATTTTGGCAAAAATTTCAATTCTTTAATAGAAGAATCGAATTTCTAGACACCCGTTTAAGAGAATTGCGAAGGACTTTCCCATTGCCCCGACTATGAGTGAGCTGCCTGCCAAGTATACCGCTTATCTCGGCATATTGAAATGCTCATTAACAGTGTCATTTCGCGGTTACATTCACTGGCCACGAGAAGAGTAACTCTACTCATTTTCCCCCCACGTCTGCCCGTCTCCTTCTCATCGTACATTCCTGAGATACCTATGCACCCTTCTTAACAGACTCTACCCTCACATTAGCCTGTACTTCATCACCTTTAGCTCAGGTAGACGATTCAGACCTGCGTCGTTCCCACAGAATCTCAGAAGATTGCACGGGCCTCGAAAACAGCGAGCTATAATCCGTCGGCGGTACCTTATCCGAGCCATCGGGTGTCCTAAGCTTCATATTCCTAACAATAGTGACAACAATAGTTGCGAGATTCAGATACGCAAACTTCTCCCCGATGCACCGATGACGGCCGGCGCCGAAAGGCAGGTACGGGCTCTTAGTTCCCTTGCTCGTGACACCGTAGCCGTAGTCCACGACGTCGTCGGCATCGGCGACTTCGACGTGGTGGTCCCAGCGGTGCGGATCCCAGCGCTCGGGGTCGGCGAAGTGCTCGGGGCTCATGTGGGATACTATGGGCGACGATACCAGCACCTTGTCCGGCGTGATGACGTAGTCGGTGCCCGGCACGACGATAGGCCGCATCACTTTGCGCATGATCGAGTGAATCGAGGAATGTACTCGCAGTGTCTCTTTGATCACGTTGGCGAGGAGTGGTAGCTTGTCAAGGTCGCTGAGGGAGAGAGGCCGTGTAGTTGCATCGGAGCCGAGGTTTTGTCTTTGTTCGTCGTATAGCTCTTCTGCGATGCTGGGTTGTGAGGCTAGGCGGAGCATAATCCAGGCACTTGCGGACCTGTGGAGATGTAATGAGTGGATTAGCGTGCTGCGTCTATGTCACTTGATGGACAAAGTTGCGATGACAAAGCGCCTAGGCAAGTTCGTTGAGACGGTTCCGGCAAATGAACCATTATTTAGGAGAAGTCTGAATGGGACTTACGAGGATGAGTGCTGCCCACCCATGAGCATTGTAATCATCATATTCGCAATCTCCTTATCTGGCACTGGCTGGCCACTCCTGTATACGCAGCTCATCAGGTTAGATATCACTGTAGTAAGTTATGTCAGTATCTATCTATCATACTAGGAGAAGCAGAATAATTGACTGGAGTTGACTTACTATCAGGCTCTTCGTCGACATATATCCCCCCAAACTTATTGTGTGTAGATCTCCGCCGGCGGTCGTTGATAAGATCCATGTAGACAGACCTCATTTTCAGATGTGCCGCATCTCGACGTCGATTTTGCGGTAATGGAGCCCATGGAATCAAGAAATTAATGGGTTGGAAGCCCATGTCGAGATCGTGGTACAACTCAGCGAACTGAGCTGTTAACTTCTTCCGTACTTCGGCGCCTTGCAGCGCCCTACCGGCCGTGAACAGGGTGATCTCCGCCATGACTGCAGATATATTGACCTTGCCACTCGTGTTCTGAAAGCATTTTGAGCTAGTCAGGTAATTCAGAACCTCTCCTTCAATCAGCGGGACATAGCTCTCGAGGGCCTGCTGCGTCAGTCCAAATTTGACGAATTTCTTCTGTTCCATCAACTTTGCGTTGGGACAGTCGTAGATGACGTCCGAGCCGAAGACGGGTGTCGTCAAGGGACCATAGATGTCTTCGGCATTGACATCTGAGACGCGCCCGTTGAGCACGAACTCGTTTCCCTCGGGTCCCAGACATACCGTCATTTTCTTTCCCAAAAGAACAAAGGTGAATATATTGCCATGCTTTGCTCGACACCTCTTATAGAAATTGAAAGGATCCGTCCCGTACTCGATCGCATTGCCAATTATGGGTAGCCAATGGAAGACGAGAGGCGGCTCGGATTTTCGACGAGGGAGGTACTGGCGGGCGACGTTGACGAAGATTACGGTAAGGAGGGCAACAAGAATGTACAAAGCGCCACGATTTATCGTATGAAGCTCCATCCTGAGGAAGTTTGGTGAGTACAATATCATGAATTAATTGAGGTTACTCAAGTGCTGCAGAGGAGACTACAGAGAGTTCAGGAGAAATTGTTTAATTCTGCATTTTGTAAACTCGAAGCGACGACCATTGTGCCGTTACTGAGAATGATATCAAGAAGCTCTAGTTCTACTGATTCTTATATCAAAATCGGCGCGTCATTGCATTCGTTTCATAAGCAAGTCGACACGAATAAGACGCCGTTTCTGCGTTGCTGCTGGTATTCGTATTCGTATCACGTGCTTGGCTTCCGTTCACTATGAGGGTCCTTAGCGCGAGACAGTCCCATCGTTCATCCAAGATCCATGCTTTGTCTATACTATCTAGCAAAACGTACAAATGAGTTCTAGTCGACTGACTCATGTGAGCCGCTCAAAAGGGCGAATAGCAATACCTGCTTCGTGAAATTTGTATATCCTCTCAGACTCGCCAGACTTGCCGTGAGGTTTGGGGAACTTCTTGTGGGTACATTTTCTTGGCTTCGCAAGAATGATCAGTAATAGAGCGAAAATGGCATGGTCTTCTTGCACCCTATAGGCTATTGTTTTTCGCTTGCTTATATCCTAGATGATAGAGTTTTAGGAAATGCATTGACCGTTGACCTTAGCGATTCAGTACCTGCAATGGCGAATGATTATCAGCATGCTAGCTCAACCATGCAAATACGTATTCCTTCGTCTGGTCTGAATCTTGTGTGCTTTTCGAGATCTTTGAGAACCGTAGTGAAACTAGCAGATATCAATACTGTTGACGAAAATAGCTGCCAGGACCCTCTGAGGATCGCGCAAGACCGCCCCTCCCTCAAACCTCGATGAAATCCTAGAGCGCGCTCTCCTTAGCAGACTCGACCTCGGCCAAGGTTCGCCCGCTCCCCGCGACGGCAGTACGTTTTAAGTCCCACCACCCAGTCTCTAGGAGCACAGTTGGCTGGTGCGGGAGCTTATCAACAATCGTTTCGTTTGTAGGCCAGCATCTATTAGCTGGCGTTCTGCCCGCTAGTTCCCGTTAATGTGAGATATGGTTGTATCGACTTGCGTGGCAAAGGTAGAACCGTACCTATTGCAGCCTAATGGAGTAAACGTCAAAGGAACCACTGCCCTTGTACGCGCTTGGAATTTGGACCAGCATTAGCAATCTAGAGTATTAAAGCTTCTTTTCCTTATCCCTTAACTACCTCATCCTTCAATGATAGCGCATTGATTGCAAGTTGGGGATTGCGACCCTAATACTGTTCCACAATCAATAATTCCGATATGAATCCTACTATGAAGTATAAGTCAGACAAGAGAAATGCCCACTCGGTTAATTCTAGCGACCCATCCCCAGCAAGCACTCCCACTCACATCACCAAAGAACACAGCGATTCACTTCCTGGCTACTCATCCCACGCCGATCATGCGGTAGTAGGCGATGCGGTAGCGGTGCCCTGGCATAAACAAATGTACATGATCCGCCACCGGTCTTCGGGGGACGCGCTAACCCTCATCAATGGGGAAGTGGAACTACATAACCCGTCGACTATAGATGGGTGCTGGCGCTGGCTATGCGTTGAACATTAAGGCTGGCTTGGATTCCGGAATGTCGCATCACGGAAACATCTGGGTCGCGACAACAAGGGTGGATATTGCGTTCGGGCTGGTAAAATGAGGATGTGGGAGTCTTTCGCCCTCCGTCCACACCCCAAGGGCGGGTGCCAGCTCTTGAAATATATGTTTGATTCCCGGCACTTGATAACTTGTAGCCTAGTCAGACCAGCTACGGGTGTTTCGATTTACTTGTTGGCTCACTTTACGTTAATGTGTCTTCCCGTGCAAACAGGCGCTATTTATGACCTTGGCAGCAATAATGCTCCTCGCGCAGCCGAGCTCGATACCATTTTTTAATGATTGGAGTAGCACTTTCAATAGAGAGACTAGATAAGCTAGGTCTTGCGCGTAGGCAGAAGCGGTGCAATTGGGTATTGTTACACTTGGACGCTGGGCTAAACTTCGGCAAAGAAAACACGGTGTTGTTATGCCCTATGTCAACCATACACGTTTGTTTGACAACTCATGCAGCAACGGCAAGGCGCATACAGGCTGGTTACCTCAGACCGGCCGTGGATTCCTTGCTGCCTTGAGACAAACAGACTCTCCAGGAGATTCTCGTAGTCTTAGTCTTTTCTACCTACCTTGGTTGACTTTGATATCTTCACCCTTAATTATCACTTACGCCTCTTTTCTCATGATAATTCTCCTCCTCCAAGCCCTCTCAGCTCTCCTTGGATGACCTTTTGATTCGTCCCAACTACTTTCATGATGTTGACACCAGCAACCATCAACATCCAGTCGTTCTTCTACCCGATAGGGAACACACCTGCGATCTCCCTCACCCAGTCCCTACCCCCTGGTGACCCTGCCAACATCCTGCTTCTCGGATGTGGCGATGTGCGAAATATCTTATTCACTATTTGCAATGATAGCAAGTGGCCCCCTTCTGAGGAATGTCTCTGTGGCTTATTAACCAATCCCAGGCCGCAAGCTGGATATAACCTGCTGCGACAATCAAAAGGCCGTCATAGGTAAGTCATTGCCTTCATCCTCGACTAAGTGAGTGAAACGCACTGATATATACGTATTGAAGCTCGCAATGCACTACTTTTGTCGCTCATCATCGACAATAACGATGGCCAGAACGATAACTCCCTTTGGAACATATACTATCATATGTATCTGGATCAACGAGACCTTGACCTTCTACGCTCCCAGAGCAAGATGCTTTACGAACTCTCGACTACTATGGAGACTTGGCAACAGGGCAAGTACGGACGTTGCCTAAGTTTCTGCGATTGTGCCACGCTTGCCGATGTTCGTAAAATGTGGGCGTTTTACAGCGTCGAGCAGAAGGGAGCCGAGTCTGCTCGCTTCAAAGATCACTTTCAGTCCGTCCTCGACAAAGTGAAGGCAAGACATCAGAACCGTGTCGATCTCGGTAGCATCAATTTGACTGGATTGCGCTCAGCCTCCCCAGCTCATCTTGGCTGCCTACAAGATCTCAATACTCTCAACCAACATTACTGGAAGTGCGGAACTACAGAGTTAAAGGCGGACATCAGATCAGCTGCCACACACCCAAATCCCGCCTTTCTTACCCTCGGAGACGGAGCTGTCATACACTATGGCACTGACCCTCTACTTGGCTTTCATCTTGCGGCAGTTGATGCTCCCCTTGACTCAACTGATGCTGCTGTTAACGATCTCCCGCGGCATGAGAAGTATGCAGCTCTTGCTCGTGCCGAATTTCGTGAATGGTTGGCATCGTACAGAGAACAATTTCCTAAGAATGATGTCAGAGTGCGGTTTTTCACCGGTGATGCGATATCGTTTGCACATACTCTGCAACGCAAACGGGTGACATCCGAAATCACAGCTCATTGGTACCGCGACCGATATGGAGTTCGGCCACTCGTGCTAGACGGTTCTGATTATGCTCCCGGTGCTCGAGCTCCTGTCCAATTTGATGTGATAGACACTTCCAATCTTTGTGATCATCTGGGCTCACTGACGCTTTTGACCGCAACCTCCCCATTGTTGCGTGATGATGTTTCAGCTGTTCTGTACACCGAAGTCCTTGCCAGGAATCATAAAGGTTACAAAGAAGTGCTTGATCAAGTGTTGTGTGGCCATGTACCTACTCTCTCTACGCTTCTCGGCCTGTTCCCAGTCGAATACTGGAGCAATACCTCGCCTATCCCTATCGCTGACGAAATGATGTTGGACACGCTCATGGGGGGACTATCCGAGAACCCAAAAACCAGTCTACAAGGAGGCCAGATGTTCCTCAGGACTTCCTGGAAGCGCGAACTTTGCATGAGCTCGGCTATGACACCATCGCCTCGAAGCATTCCACTTCGCTTCGATCCAAAACTACTCGCAAAGACCCTTTATAAAGTCTACGTCCATATGTTTCTTGACGAAGACTGGGCATACCGATTGTCCAACTTTGATGTGGATAGTGTCCAAAAGTCCGCGCTTGTATGGTATCAACGTTCTAGTTTTGTGTCGTTCCTCCGCTTGGTTCAAACCCGAGTCACATGTAATTGGGATGCAGTGATGGAAAGCACCATGGACCTCATCGAGGGCAGGTCCAATGCACCAATGGGAATGAACTACTACCAAGAGCTCAACGTATATCTTCACATGCTCGGTGTCTACTCTACAGACGTCATGAAAGGCTGGAGCAAGCGTGACGAGGGTCTAACTTTAACACCATTCCTATCTTCTGTCAGACCTATGGATGAAAAATGGGGAGACTTGCGAGACTGGAAAAACATACCACCAGTTGTCTGTGTCACTTTCAGGATCCCGCGTAACAAGCTCACAGTGTTCACCAATATGGATCTCCAAAGGCTAGGTACACCTCCTGTTCACTGCCTACTTCAGGGTTCTGGCGGATTCAGAATGAGGGGGTGGCAAAACATTTTCCCGGCTTGTCAGTTATCATTTGGAGAGGTGTCCACTCTTGGAAAGCCCTATGATGACTCCTATGAGATTTCTGTGCAAGAGGATGATGCAGGTTGGAGTGGAACGTCGCCTCTAATCGCGTCCTTCTTTGCGACGACCTTCCAGTTGCTTCAGCAGCCCCGAGATGTCCTAGTTGCCCTTGGAGTCCATAACTCACCAGCAACTGTTGCTAACTTCCTTTCGAAGCTTGGCTTTACACTGAACGTGTATGAAACCACCCTCGATAACTCGGACGCAGTCCACGTTACACGTTTTGCGCCCAATCAGAAAGGCTTTCCAGTTGTGACTGGATTTACTCGAACAGCACCAGCAAGCGATATTGGAACAGGAGCAGAGGCCTCATTGATCGCGGCTGTTGACCAAAAAACAGGAGCCATGACAAGTCTTACCGGCCGACTGGACATCATGTCTAGCGACCTGAAACAGGCCCTTACCAGTGGGTGTGAGGTCAAGAAATCGATTGTGTCACCATGCGAAGTGGCCATATCGCTAGGGCGGAGCTTGCCCCTAGGTCTATGCTTTCCCGTTTCTATTCAGCAATCTTATCAAAAATTGAGGATCGCCCGGAAGTCATCCTACATCGAAGTTGTTACACAAGTAGCAGATAGTTCCGAGTGGATGGAATATCCAGAATACATGTTTCCCGTTCGTGCTCAATCTGGGAAGCCGGTGAATTTCAATATGCCCTACCTCAATCTGCAGAAATGTCCCGTCATCCAGATCACGCAAAATAGTAGACTGCAGTGGCTGGTTCCTCATCTCTCATTGGCCATGTCAGCCAGGGAACGAGCATTGCGTGAGAAAGAGGACGTGCCAAGATCCGCAGGCGAGCAAGTCCGTCTAAACTTCAAGGAATCCATCTTCTCCATCTTTGTTCAATTTGCCGGGCTACAGGGCACCAAGAGTCGGGTATTCTACCTCAACAACGCCGCGAACGGTGGCGCCCATGTCATCATCCTGGCGAGCGCTCTACGCCTAGACCTTTCTAACCGTGCTGTCGTGCTCGACTGCGCTATTCTTCCTTTACACAATGCGTTGATGCCTGATATCATGGGTTCACTGGCTAAGCTGCACGCATTCGGTGTCATCGTAGTCCAAGTAGACGACGCAGAGATGCGGCTTTGGCGACACGCTCTGCCCGCATACGTGGAACGCTGTCGAGATTGGACTCATCGAGACGACTGCGAGTACGCGATTTCCTGCTCAGTCCCCCTGAATGCCGAGAATGGAAAGCGCGTGCTATGCTCGTGCGGCAGCGGGAAACTCCCTTCAAATTTCATCAGCAACGTTCCAGGCTGGAAAGGATTGTCCAAGTATGCCGTCCGGGCCACCATCTCGCCCGCGTTCTGGGCTCCTTTCGCGGATGACATGTACTCTCCCGACCTGGGCAACCTGGGCAAGAAGAACGTTGTGGATGTTAGGAAGACATCTGTTGATGGTGGATGTGCGTCCTGTGGCAAGAACAAACAGGCTGATGGGGGCAGTTTGTTGAATTGTGGGCGGTGTACGAAGGTTAAGTATTGCTCGCGCGAATGCCAGCGAATAGACTGGAAAGCACACAAATCCGTCTGCAAATAAATGCCATTCAAGGGACCTGTTCGCCTGTCGGATGAAAGGCACTGACTACTGCTAATAAGGATAAATCACATCGGCCTTGTAGTCTACATCGTGATGTGGGAGAGTGCCGTGCAGTATGACAAAGGCAAACCTTGGGTTAATTAAGAACAGATTCCAACTGGTAGCTGTCATAATAGGGGTGCACGTTGTTAGATTAGGCGAGCCAGTCAAAATGAGGTTGTATTATGTCACGAATTCTAGGTCTCTACCCTAGGGTCTATGTGGCAGGGGCATTAGCCAGTTATATTCTACGCGTTGTATGTGTTGTCATGTATAAAAGTGGTAGTTCTAATAATTGTACGCAGAACACGATGAAGGTAATCTTTGTCTACCTTTAACCTGTGCTCGATCGCTAAATGTATGTCTGACGCGAGTCTAGTTAACATTCTTGCGAGATCCTCCTCTCGTACTAGGTACAGCATACTTGAAGGTTTGCTGATAAGTCCCGTAGCAAGGATCAGCGTTGGCTGAACTCTCAATAGCAAATCGTTAAGCAATACTAGTATATTGGAGAAGCGAAAGACGAGTTTCTTAGCATGAAATCCTTCTTCCAATGTCCACAGGCGGCTCTTCCATAAAGAGTACCGTATCAGTAAGGCTTCATCTACTTGAGTGAAGACATGCTCGTACAAGGTGGGATCTCAAGCAATGACTGGCGAAGCTTGAGCGAATATGGGGTAGACTGGATTGCTTTCTTTCGTGACTTTCGATCAACTGGCAACCCTAGCGTATCGATCCAGAAAGGGGTGCAGCTCAACCCGCGCTTTGCTCGTACGACCTGGTTCGCAAGAGCTTGAATTCAAGATAGCTGGCAATGAAGAAGCGCAGTTCCCTCGTCATTCCCGAAACCCACGCTACGTATATGGCTAACCACAATATTAGGAGCTCAGTGTGAGAACATCTGCTGACTCATTGTGGCGGTGCGATGGTCCCGCCCTTTTCTCGTAGCCATCGACGGGATTGACCTATTAAGGGGCTAGGATCTAGTGAACAGCTGCCTGTTAAGGAACTTTTGGCGCTCTAGTAAATCCTTCAGACTTACTAAATTCGCGTGGTTTCCTTATGTCAGCTAATGACTATTCTAATAAAAACTCTTCAATGGGTGAGTGAATTATCAATTCGTGCTGAGGCCAGTCGCTGCAAATTTCACTGATTGTATATGGCTTTCTCAGGCAACATGTTGTCTTCAGTTATCGTGGCTATCTGCTTTTGGTCGTGGTACATAAATGCATTATGGGTACCCGCTAAGTCACTGTCGCTTTTGGACAGTTCAATTGCCGAACTAGCAGCGCTGCTCAAAGCTGGCGACTTCAATAGCCAAGAATTAGTTAAGCTGTACGTCCAGCGAGTGGGCGAAGTCAACGATGACCTCGGCGCCGTAATTGAGCTCAACCCCGATGCCGTGAGCATAGCCCGACACCTCGACAGAGAGCGCGCAGACGGCAAAGTAAGGGGCCCTCTGCATGGTATACCGATTCTGGTCAAAGACAACTATGCCACTGTTGACTCTATGTTGACCGGCTCCGGGAGCGTCTGTCTCGCCCGAGCGCTCCCCACCGAAGAGGCTACGGTTATCGCCAAGCTTCGGGAGGCGGGCGCCATCATCTTAGGCAAGCTGAACTTGAGTGAATTCGCTGGCATCCGCAGCTCCAACGCGACGCCAGGCTGGAGTCCACGCGGTGGCCAAACCTTCGGCGCATATGTCAAGAATCAAACCGCCTGTGGTTCATCTAGCGGTTCGGGTGTCGCAGCTTCTGTCGGACTTGCAGCCGGGACACTCGGTACCGAGACATCAGGAAGCATCACTTGCCCGGCGATGTATAACAATGTCGTCGGTGTCAAGCCCACAGTAGGCTTGACCTCGAGATTTGGAGTCGTGCCCGTCACTGCCCGACAAGATACAACCGGACCGATCACCCAGAATGTCGAGGATGCGGCCATCCTTCTAGAAGCCATGGCTGGCAAGGACCTGAACGACAACTATACATCCGCTCAGCCTTGGGGCTCTCCTCCACACTTTTCCACAGGGCTGAGAAAATCGGGGTTGAAAGGAGCACGAATTGGCGTGGTTTGGATGGAGGACTTGCCAGTCTCAGGACACCTCATTAATATCAAGCAGATCAAGCCCGTTTTCGACCGCGCTGTAGCTGATCTGAAAAGTGCGGGCGCTGAAGTTGTTGACGTTGCCCTGGACACTAAGGGGCAGACTTTCGAAGAAATCCTTTTGACTTTACAAACTAACGTCCGGGTATATATGGGCGCGGACTTCAACGACGCACTACCGCGCTACTTGGAGAATATCAGACCGAGCGACGATGTTGTCTTCCGCAATGTGTCAGATGTTCTTCAGTGTCTGAAGACTGAGCCGAGGGAGCTCGCCTCAACGATTGGCCTGGCTGACTGGGAAAACGTTGCTCAACTGAACATTACTGCGGGTAGTCTGGAAGCATGGAACGCATTTACCACAGTCTTAACACTATCGAAAAGCCTCCTCCTAGATCCGATCGAAGAACATGGACTAGATGCTCTCGTCATGCTACCCGATCTCGCGCTCTCGGTCGGCGCAGCTCCAGGCTTTCCCATTGTAACCGTGCCCAGTAAGTGACATGACGCCTTTTCTCGTCACTCTATTAGTTGTGCAAAGAACTCGCATTTCTTATACCGTTTTGATCATTTCCCTTCCTTCTATTCGAGGTTGAACGAATGCTTGCTAACGCACGATGATCGAAGTGGGCGTACTTGGACCAGAAGCCAAGACAGCTTGGGACTACACTAATAAGACTATAAGCACGGGGCCGGGCATACCTCTTGGTCTCAGCTTCACTGCCGACAAGTGGAGTGATCAGAAGCTTATACAGTATGCCTATGCGTATGAGCAGGCATCCCAAAGACGAAGGGAGCTCATACCCATTATTAAGCCTGAGTCAGATTTGTGTACCTTGATTCATCGATCAACCTTAGGTGGAGAAATGTAATGAGCATTGCTTGGGAGATATCAATTGAAGATAGGAAAAGAACACGTGTCTTCATTTTGAGACTCTTACGTAGTGTAAGCAGTTACACGTGGAACTATCTATAGTTGTAATTAGGTATAAGTTCATGACAATAAGTATATATGGTGCAAAACCGCTGTTGGCCACGGCAAAGATCTAGGCAAATATAAATCGAAACTAATGCTGATAAATCGTATCTCTCTGTCCGTATGCTAAGTATGCCTTGCGGGTGTAGTGTCGATGTGAGCTTTGGTAGAGACTACGCTATTCAATTCCTCTCGCGTCAGCTCCCTCGTCCTCGTTTGTCAGTGCTACTTACGGGGAGAATCAACATAACACATCGTTTTCGAGCAGTCAAAAGCGACTTACGATGTTATAGAAGTTGAGGTAGACGAATATCCCTCCCGGTGTTCCGTTCTCGACCTCTTGTGCATCTACTGCCAAAACCTTGCCTCCCTCATCATTTGGCAGCTCTTCTGTGCCGGGTTTGTGCCAGAACTCGCTCACGCTGGTGCCGGTTATTGTCGGCCAATCCGGAACCAATAAATATTCGGGCATGACGATGGCCTTTGCCGCGTGTAAAGCAGACAACTTTAGTTTAGGGTGGTTTCTTAGGAAAACTGGGTTTCAGGTTTCAACTGCGGCTGCTGAGGTGGATTTGTATAGGGAAATTTGGAGGCAGCTGACTGGCCGGATTGGCCTTTTTCAATGTCAGGGATGCTTCCGGCAATTTTTGTCGGGTTGAGTCTCCGTCCAGGCCACTTCGTGCAAGTATTAGAACAAGCTACTCGATCAGGATACTAGGTGCATCATTACATTCGTTTCATGAGTAAGTCAACATGAATAAGACGCCATTGCTGTGTTTCTGCAGGTATTTACATTTGTACCGAGTAATCATACTTGGCTTGAATTCAACTATCCTATCAGCGTCCTTAGCGCGAGAAAACTCCATCCGTCATCCGAAATCCATACATCGTCTACAGCAAAACGTACAAACCAATCTTCTCTTCTCGGCACGTTGCAGAATTTTATTTTAGGTTGATTAATAGCAATATCTTATCTCCTATCAAGGTTCGTGCTCCATATCTAGTATGCAGGCTGTAAAGGAACGTTCCATCGAAACTCTTACTACGAAAAGAGAATTAGCTAGTTTCTTAAAAGCCACGGGAAATCACAAAAAGGCTATGGAGCTTATTAGTAACACACGCTCAGAGCTAGATGAAGCGCAAGACAAAGCGCTAGCGAATGGGGATAAGTCGCTAGAAGAGACAATTTGGTATTTGAAAGAAATGGTTATTGGGTTGGAGAAAATCACTGATGAAAAGCCATTGCCCAACTACCAGGTTCTCGCATAACTCCTGTCTCCTTCTCATAATTATGGTTATATTTGCACGTGACTAACTCTCAAGGGCTCTGGGCTGGCTATTAGCAATTACATCAAACCCTTCACTCAAGACTGAGTATGTTGTGTAGAATAAGGGTGTTCTAATGCTCATGCTATAATAACTATGGATGACCTAAGCTTGCTGTGCTAGCAATATGACTACCGCTCACGCGTTGTTGGGGGCAGGTTGAGTCAGCAACTTGTTCTATAGTATAAGCGTCTGTGCTGCAATGGATAACGATGAACACTGCTTCCGAGGTTGACTATAGATTGTCTCTAGTAGGTAGGTCTACGCAACATGGAATAGTATAGAGATGTAGCCGTTTATGCCCCTTGGGATAGTGTGTGATGCTTAGTTCTTTAGTCATGCGAATACATTAGGTGAAAGGAGAGGGGGCCTCTTGAGCCAATGGTGATACCTAGCATGTCAAAGGGACGATCCTGCGATGATCAACACGTGGCAGTTCATTGCTTCTGTTTTCCATTGGCTGGGTACCAGGAAATGGCTGTAAGCATGCAGAGCCTCTCTTCCCACCATCTTTTGGTGAAAGCTGGAGCCAATAACTCTGAAATTTCGGGGTTTGAACTAGAATCATGTATGTGCAATGGTCCAGCATGCATAGGCCAACACTGCAGTACCTTCGCTTGCGCCGAGTATTTCCGGCACAATACCACACCACGTTTCATTCATTGCTGCGGTATGATATTAGGATCACAGTAGTAGTGTTGTTAATCCCCAAAGTGGCTGGGGTCCTGCTAGGCTGCAGATAGCAGTGCCAACCTCTGCTCTTGGCAGTCAATCAAGACCCGGCACGGAGGTTGGGGTCGAAAACATCCACGCACTCTTTGTATTGGCCGACCGTTTCAACGCTGATGGATACCTGTGACCGTAACTTCTGTAGATTGGACTCGAAATCAACTGAGCCGCCGGAACCGTTTGGAGAATTTCCGCCTTCGTATGATTCATGCAAGGCATGTTGAGCCCACCGCCAACAACCACTGGTACTTCTAATATCCAGAATACCTGTATGGACATGTGGTGTGGACAAGTCTTGAAGAGACAATCTAGTTGTTAGTAATACTGCGGCTTCTGATGCGGCCTGTGCATACCTCGACTCGCATATCTGCAGTCACTACTCATGCTGCTAGTTCTCTTGTGATAGGCCTGTCGATTAATCTAGGGCTTATTCAAACTTGTTAAAGTGGCTCTAAGACAACATAGGAAGGCCCTATCCCAGTATCAGATCACATTGTTTCGCCTCCAGTACGCCTAAGTCGGACTCTTATTAGTGCTATCAAACCTTTGTCCTCAGGCATAGCAACAGGCTGCTGAGTGGCTTAATCTGCGCCCTTAGTGTTCTAGTTAACGGAGGTGCTTGATGAGTTTAGCAATGAATTCATAAGCCTATTACTCATTTCTAGTCATTTACACATGAATTAAGTAGTACCTTAATTTGGCCCTCATCACGTAAGTCTAGATTTGAACGACACAGTAGTACATAAGAGTCCTCGCAACCGGAGCATCTTCTAAAGTCAAAACAAGAACGAACCATAATAACCACTTTACGAACTCGCCTGGATAGTGCATTGAAAGCATGGCTGACAAGGCCACCTCGTAGCTTATTCAAGCTGAAACACGTTTAGACTTCTTCTATGGACCGAGATTGTGACGTAGTTACCACATCGGGTTTGAAAAGGGGTGTCTCGCTCTCCATATTACGGAGTTTTATCGCCGGAGTCGCGTATGTAGCTTCTGTTGATGTATGTGTGACAGGACCTGCAGGGAGATGTGGGATTGCAGGAGACCTATCTGACTCGTCTGGCGACCAAGGCTGGCCGTTTGAATGGGAACGAAACAGAGACTTGAAACGTTTAGGCAATTCGAGAAAAGAGTATTTGCCGAGAAAGCCATGTAGAGTTGGCAAGCATGCTGCAACTATTGCAACAGCCAACTCGACAAACCCCCAATATATATACTCTGTTATCACGACTATGGATTTTGTTAGAGCTATATTTCAGATGATACTAGACCTTCCAGAAACTTACGAATGGAATCACTGCCAGGGGCAAACCCAATATTTACTGCACGACCCTCAACTATAAGGCGAGCTAAAGAGGCCGCGACTGTTCTAATAAATGTCAGCTTTTGGACACCGCTTTATCCGTGAATTCAAGTAGGGGGTTAATTCCTGAGTATGATAAGTTACTGACTTACACTGAACCAAGTAAAAATACGGCACTTATAGCGACCTTATTCTGGGTTGACAAGTTCAAGCGCCACACCTAGCAGTAGTCAGCTCCCCGTCAGCTATCTTGAGGGGTTACTTACCAATGGGATGGGGATGATGATGATGGCAAGATCAGCAGCAAAATCAGTTATGCAGAGGAGTAGCACCACCGTCATAGATCCCATGCACTTCGTCTCTAGATCGTGAGTAGAACCCCAATGGGCCTCGACGTCGAGCTTGCACCCGAACACGGTAGCCAAACTAAATGCCAGAGCCCATATTGTAACGAACACAATAAGCCCAACCAGCAGTATGTTTATCGGGCTCTTTTTTTCTGCAACGAAGATTCTCATGTAGAAGAATAAAAAGCTCGACTTTACCAAGCCAAGTGTCAAAGGTAATAGTACAGAATAGCCGAACTCTACCTGGAATTACATTTTAACAATGATAATCTGCAGTAGTCTTGGTGATTGCATACCTTAGAAGTTGTGGCAAGTTGATAAGTGGTAACGTCGAACGGGTCTCCTGCGAAGTCTGCGGGAATGTGGGTTCGATATCCCAGTGCTTGTTGAGTAGTACCATATACCATAGACACACCGATACCAACTGTAGAGATCTATAGAACATGTGCATAGGGGTTAGCAAGTGCATCAATAGGATGAGATCAAATAAACTTGCAGTAGCCGGAAGTATAAGCCAGTCGTCTATCTTGAGTGCCTGGTGCTGACTCCTTCGCGCCGCAAATCTCAAGACAACGGCCACAATGTCCAAAACGGACAGAACTACCGCTGCAGCAATGACATGACCTGACGTTTCGTAATAAGCCTGATGTTGCTCCATAGTGTAGCTTCCAGGCTATCATTCGTTCTCCTATCCTGTCTTGAGGGATCGGCTTCAATTCAGCAGCGTCTTGGTTCAGTCTGGCACCGGACGTGCCACTATAATATACACAATCTAGCAGCGAACGCGGGAAAGGCGCTTAATCGACAGGATTATGATGCTTAGAATGGCTCTCATTGATTTCAAATCTGAAAAGCCAATCAGGCTGGGTTGGAAGCTATATCTACTTCGTAAGCGGCGAAGAACTTCAGCCTATCTATGTGTGGTCCTTGAGAGCTAAAGTCCCGGCGTGGCTCCATGGCTACCACTCTATTGCTAGGTAGAACATGTCAAAGCGACCAATTACGCCACCTTTTCTGGTCCCGTGCTGATTACGACGTAGTTTCACTTCCGGGCGGATTTCGAGGCTACATTGGGGGCAGCACTGTCATAGCACTATTAAGGCAGTTGATCGGCAGATGCTCCGAGCTCGCAATAATATACCATTTTCTTCGAAGCAGCCTTCATACAGTATTGAATCAATGATATCATGGTCCTTACTGTGTGCATCACAATTGTACTCTCACTCCCACCCACACCCAGACCACCACTAGACTTCCGCGAATACTACGGAATCACGTATTATGTGCATAATGCTGATGTTTGACATTGCGTAGGATTACGGCCGTTCCACGACAGCCTAAGACCACATCCTCCAATAATCTGCAGCTGGTTTCAGTCAATCTAGGCAACCACCATGATCTATCCAGCCTCGACTAAGTATAATCGTCCTAACTCCCCAAGCCCTGACAATTGACGAGATTGGCAACCCCTTATGCGTAGTCTACGACTACTAGACTACTCGCTGCCTCATTTGTGCATCGAGCAGGCAGCTGTGACGCCCTCGGGCGCTGGCGCTCCATTCTCTGTATAACCTTTAGCTTGTGGATGGAATGATAGACATCGGTGACTTATAACTTACCGCATTCTGGGTCGGGAACTGGAGCCGCAACCACCACACTCAACATACAGGCGAGCGCTAGGAGTCCTGTCTTGTAGTACATTTTCAATGATAAAGTGTTTATAGATGTTTAATGTTGGGTGATGTGTTGTGAGTGCTGTGAGGGTTTTTGGTCCGGTACAGAGGAAACTGGGAATGTTGGTTGACTCTCAACAAGTACGATGACTAGGGTTTTTATATTCTCCTTTCCTCATCCCAGCCTCCGTAGTAGAGACCGAAGAGGCAGGCTAGTTGTGATCTGCAGTTTTAGATTGCTGTTGGCGACATGCTGGTAAGACTTGCATATTTGGCAAATTTGTGAACGGTATATTCGTGACAGCACTTGCATTTTTCGGTCCATGTCAAGACCTGCATAACTGTACCATGTCATACCTAGGCAGGCTGCGGGCCACGTACAGAATGGACTAACGCGAGCTTTCAGTCTCTGCCTACAGACAGCCAGCCTCTCTGCGTTCTTTTCATTATATTTTCCCCCTCCACCCACAGACCGCGAGTATTGTATCAACTCTACGTAAATGTCATCAACATGGAACCCGATGAGGAAAAGTCTTGGCTTTTTGAGGAGTTCTATTCGTCTGAGCGACTAGAGAAATCAATAGGAACTCTTCAGAGTGCGTTCACTCTCGCGAGGATCTACGTTCTAATCCTCCACGCAATCATCTTTGTTCTTATCATCGGAATCTTCGTCACTGCAAACTCTGCGAAGTCCTGTCAGGGTGTGGCAGTGACTCAAAGTTGGTGTTAGTGATCCCGATTGATGCTCTATGAGGAGATGCTTATCACATTCTAGCTCCCGTACAAGAGTACATCGAGTATGAATTACAGAGGGAGTACGCTTCAGAAGACACCCATAGCAATTTCTCCGGCCCCCCTACGGCAGAACAAGACAAAGCCTGGGATGAACTAGTCAAACGTGAGGAAATCCAGATTAAAAGGTATTTTTACCGCCGCTGATGTTATCGTAGCCTCCTTTTTTAAGGTAACCCGAGAAGAGCTAGAGAAGGCTGGCTCAACCTTCGATAAAATCGCTCAGTTGACGGATGGCGGATACGTTGCTACCCTCGGCGTATATCATGAACTCCATTGCGTGGTAAGGCTTTGTGATGGCCCCTGTACCTCGAGGTCTTCCTCTAATACTCAACGCAGCGCCAATTACGATTCTATCTATCAAAAGAGAGATACTACCCGCACCTTACGCAAGCTCAAGCAGATTACTTGCATCATCATCTAGGTATTGCCAGCTCACAAGTAATCTGAGAATTAGATGCTTTGGCATAATTATGATTGCTAACCGATTATCCCAGATCATTGCCTTGAGGCTCTGAGATATACCGTGATGTGCCACGGCAACACAGCGTTGCGGTCATTTGCGTGGACTGACCCGCAAGCAGTGCTTCCAAAGGCACAATCGAATTCTCAGTCGAGTTGCGTGAAGTGGACTTCTATCTACGAATGGAGCGAATCTAGGATGGTGCCCTATAACCCGTCTTTGGTCAAACCAGTTGGCAAGTAGCTTTTGTTTCCGAATTAGTAGGTAGCCTGCGGTAGTCGATCTAGGAGCTAGACTGCTCGGAGAATGTAAATACTTCACACGATATTACAAGAACAGTCGTAGAACTAAGTTTAAGACCATTTGTGGGGGATTTGTCGTTTCTAGTAAATGTTAACAGCTTTGATAGCGGTGAAATTCATCTCACATTGTTACTAATTTTAACATTTATCTTATTGTCATGCCGATTATTCTTAGCTAGAGCACAGTAAAAGAAACATTTCCCGCAAGACGCATCAAAATCAGATGAGAGCTATCAGAGTCAGTACTACGTATAGCCTGCAGGCTGTGCCGCCCCCAAGGGCTGCCGACGTAATGATCTACATCTCCTCTGCTCTTTTGGAGCCTGCATACATATTGTAGCCTGCATGTTGTGCGTAGCCTGCTTCTTAGTTGGGTCTCACTTCCCTCCCTGGGTTACAATAAGCTGCATGGACCTTATCCGGAACACAAGCCGAGTACTACGTCCACAGACGCACGAGATGGAGCCCGAAAATGGAGCTTGAATGCGCGCTTGCTCTTTTGACAACCCGGTTGCGCCTCACACACCACAGCTGAGGGAGCATTCCTCAATCTCTACGTAGTATCTCCGACTTCTTGTTATTCTCAAATACCATCTCGATAAGGGGCTGGCTCCAGGTACTTGGAACTGTGTTCGTATGATCTTCGCCGTCCTTCATGCCTACCCCATCTATTCGCATAGCCATCATTGGTGGTGGCCTAGCGGGCGCTTCCTTAGGCAACGCCCTAATCCACATACCACAGCTCGATGTTCACATCTTTGAATCCGCACCTGAGTTCTCTGAGCGGGGTGCCGCCATTGGACTGTCGCGGAATGCACAACACGCCTTGCAACAGTTTATTCCTTCAGCAATGGCGCTCTTAAGCGCAGCGGGGGCCGTTCCGATGCGGTCATCCCGCCTAATGATTGTAAGTGTTTGAGACATGTGGAAATCCGATGACACGTACTCGGTCGTTTATGTTAAACATGGTGCAGGGTTCTGGGCCACAGGCCGGCACATTTGTCTGCGACGTTGGGGAGGAGGATTTGCAGTCATCCTCACTTGCCGAGCCGGCAATTGTTGTTCATCGCGCTTCGTTTCTGAGAGAGTTGTTAGCTCCAATCCCACAGGAAGCCCTACACGCGAACAAAAAGGTGATTTCTATCCACTCCACCTCAATAGGTGAAAGCATCACGTTTCATGACGGCCACGTAGAGACATTTGACGCCGTCATTGGCGCAGACGGCGTGTTTAGTGTTGTCCGTAGGCATGTTGTACCGGATCAGGAATGGACCGGGACACCGAGTGGCTTTTGGGACTGTAGGAACTTGATACCTTACGACCGAGCTAAGGCGGCTTTGGGTAATGAATACTTCGAGGTCGATAGACAGTACGGCTGGGCTGGCGACGGCGCGTACTTCTTGCATGATGTCCTCGATGACAGGACGGTGGTGCAGTGTGTCATGTCAGGAACCGAAAAGGAGTCGCCGCCGAACCGGATCCATAAGCTGACAAGGGCCTTCCTGGAAGAAAAGCTCGGGTCATGGCTCGACAGCCCAATAGCTGGGAAGATGATAGATGTAAGTCATTCTGCTATACTAAGCGGCGATACTAATCGATATGAGTTTAGCTTTTGATCGATCAACCAAACCCGGAAGGATATTCCGCTTGGGAACACAAGAACACATCTACTTACGCCAAGGGGCGAATATGCATCGTCGGCGACGCTGCCCACGCGATGACGCCATGGCAAGGCGCTGGTGCAGGCCAGGCCATCGAAGACGCGATGGTCATGGGGGCGTTATTAAGTCAGGTCTTCTCAGGCGACGATATACCGAAGGCCTTCAGAGCTTTCGATGCTGTGAGGAAACCTAGATGTCAGAGGATTATAGACTCCAGTCGCGAGACCGGTCAAATTATGTGTGGGCAGCATCCCGACGTCTCGCTGGATGCAAGGGAGATGAAGGAGGCACTCAAGGCTAAATGGAGGTTCATTCTTGGTCTGGACATGGCGCGGCACCAGGAAGATGCACTTGAGATAATGCGACAGTTCCGCAATAGCTGATCTTTACATGCATGCATACTTCTGGTCTTTCGGCTTGTAGGCAAATGCATATATCGTAAGCGGTGGGAGCAAGTCTTCGGATCCCACGTGAAGTAGACTCCCATTTCCATGCGATCCTCTTTCCTCAAAACGTGAATTGGCATTTCCCAGTAGCCCCTAATTATTAACTTGAGCAATTTCATCCGATGGCAACCGTCTTTCTCTATAAACCATTATGTGCTATGTAGAGGAAAAATGAAAGTTAAAAAAAAAAAAAAAGAGAGATACCCCTATTAACAAGCATTTGTATGTTAAGAAGTTGGCAAAGAGTATGCTCTCGGTACAGCAAGTCAAGCCTGAAGTTCCCAGTGACCTCTTCACCGACACCCTAGCCGCCGGCCACCGTAACGCGCACCAACATAGCTATGCACCCCCTGGTGATTTCAAAGGAGTGAAAAACGCTGAAAGGCTCTAAATAGAGAATGCGATGAAGGTACTAGAGTCGGCGCTCTTGTATGGCGACTGCCCAATAAGACATAGATGACTATGGCTATATAAGGAATCAGGAGTGCTGAAACAATTCCTACTGATCTTCGAGAGCTGTAAAGGAGAGGATATGCCAACTTAGCAAATGACACACAAATCCATGGCCCCCTAGTTCAACCAAGGCCGCAGCTCCTCCTCAGTCCAACCCTCAGCCAGCTTCGCATTCAAAACCCAACGCGTATACGACTCGGTCAATTTCCCAACGGGCTCATTCAACTCCCCATTCCTCGCTCTATCCCTCTCAACCCCCGCAGCCTAAACCTGGTTCCGATGTCTCTGGGCAACATCTAGAAATAGTCTAATAATCCCCGCATACACAATCACCTTATCCAGAAACACCAGGCTCGCCACAAGCCCCGTATAACTCGGTCTAGGGTCAACTAAAAGCGTCACCTTCTCGCGAGCTCGCGACTATACAGCAGATTAGCGAGCTTACTCTGCGCGTAGCGCTGCCATTTACCGAAGGCCCATAATCCTGCACAGTCTTCAGGTCATCAAAGACAACCCCATGTCCTCTCGACACGAGAACTAACGCGAGACTCGAGATAAGTGCGAATAACACGTGCCTCGCCGTGCTCGTTGGCTGCTTTCCACGGCATGGGGAGAAGTCTGCGATTCAGCAGCGCATACAGTATGCCAGATGATTAATCCCGAAGTGCGTTTCATTTCCATCTTTCGTCAGTCAAGGCGGGCGCATTGGCCATGTCCTAGGACATCGCATCGCGATTCTTTCACAGCGATCGTATCTGCGGCTTTCCCAACCGACGCGAGATTAGCATGGTCACAGCGTAACGGAGCGGCTTTGGTGTGCGTGCGAGCGGCCTCGTTACGACCTGTGAGGTAGATCTTGGTGGGAGTTCGGCGAGCGAGCGAGCGAGCATCACGGGTGCAGCGGCACCGAGGCCAGTGGTACCTAGATAGGTAGGTGGTGAACACGACGTATTGCTTAAGACGACTGCTATCACGGAGACTGCCATAATACCTACTTAGAATGGGATGCATGCCTCCGGTGATCAGGATCACCTTCCCTGTAAGCTCCGGCACATCTCTCTCGAGTTCCAAGTCTAGATTGATCATTTAGTTCGGTGGGATTTACAAATTCGCGGGGTTCTGTGACACAGCAGAAGCGAGGGAAGAGAAGTCTACCTACCTGCTCAGCAGGTCTCATTCAGCTTACGAAGAATATAGTTAGAGAACTTTCTATGTTGCAATAGACCTGTATGACCCAGCACCAGCTGCATAGGTATCCCCTTACCAACCCCAAGTGAAGTCCTATAGCTCATGGATCATGGGGCGGACTGGGATTTCATCCCCTGTTCTTGGCCATAGCTGACCAAACTTCCGATAATCACAGAAATAGTAAGCACAGAACTCTTTTTTTAAAGAGTATCTTATCAGAGCAAGGGTCGCTACGCCCCTGCATTTCAGTTGAATCGACTTGGTTCGGATGTAACTCAACATATAAGTATCATTCATCCATGATAACTATAGCCATTCTGAATATAGTACCTAGGTTACTGCGATCCATCACATAGAGAACAAACACCCCATTGGCATCTTATACAATTGGCACGTAGTATCTCATCTTATTCTCCGGATCCCACTTAGCCTTGAGCTCCCTCAACTTCTGCAGCCGCCAATCCTCCCATCCATACACTTCTCTCAAGTCTTCGTCACCATGCGCGTAATTCACATAGGCGCGCAGGTGCTCTGGGTCATCACTAGCGTCTAGGAGGATCTGACGCAAGGTCTTACCGTACTTCTCGGCGAGAGGGTCGATCCTCGGGTCCGGCTTGTATTGGACGTACGAGGTAACTAGGATCTCGTCGCTGCGGTGCGGGAACGCGGTGCTCTTCTCGTCGACGGCCTTCACGGCCTGCGTCGAGTAGCCTTCGAGCACGAAGAAGGAGCCGGCGAGCTCAGGGGTCTCTTGGAAGCTTTTGTCGATGAAGTCGTACAATTTCCGTACCGCGGGCACGTCGAAGGTCTTCAATCCGATTGGGTATCGGAGGGAAGTTAGGCCATATGCGCACCCGGGCCCATCCACATCCTGGAATGTGAGAGCGGCTAATTCGTGGGTCGTTGCCACGCCGGCTTGGATCGACATTGCTTCAATGTCGTGTAGGGGTTTAGCGTATAATCGTGCCTCGTCTTCGGGGCCATCGTAGACGATGCCGTACCAGATAACAGGCTGAATACGTTAGCTCAAATGTCCTGAATATGATGGAGTTGGTCAGGTGGTGTACAGACTTACATGGTCAAGATTCAGGAACGCGGGTCTGATGATATAGCACCAATGGATAGCATGCGCCGGCTGGCTCTTCTGCATCTCATTGTGAAGATTGAACAGAGCTTCGAGCTTGTCACCTGAGTATACGAATATCTCGTAAGACCATTTGGAAGCTCGAGGGTTAAGGTCGTATAAGCGGAACGTCCATTCGGCCACTAGACCAAAATTGTGGCCAGCACCCCTGATGGCCCAGAAGAGGTCCGGGTGCGAGTCCTCTGATACTGTTACGGCTTCGCCGTTTGGCAGGATGAGCCGTGCCGAAACGATCTGGTCGGCACCCAGGCCGTATTGACCTTGCAGCCACCCGTGGCCACCGCCGAGAACAACCGCAGAAATTCCCACACTCTCGCAGATACCAGTGACTGAGAGAGGTCAGAGTCTCCTCCGCGACAATCGATACACACACGCGGCGATCATTACTCACCTGTACGTTTTCCGGCTTCGGTAAGCGCGTCAACCACCTCCTTGACATTTGCGCCACCGCCGATCTTGGCCGTCTGGCCGTCTTCGGCCACGTTGACGTAGTTCATCTTACGGAAGTCTATCTGGAGGGCATCTTGGGCCAGAGCCATTGCTTCGGTGCCGCCGTGGCCTCCAGATCTTGCGAAGAATGGGATACCATTTTGATTCGCATAGCGAACCTGTGGTACGGATATCTCGGTTAGCAGAGGGGAAGCGCAGAACGGCATTCAAGGTCTGGTGACATGTATTTAGCTATTGCTTACAGCCTCTTGAATGTCGCCCTCGGTCGCAACTTGCACCACAGCGGCAACGGTAGGCGCGTGGTATTCTCTCCACCGACTGATGAGACCAGTGAACTCCTCATCGCCGGGGCCGAAGATGCCGGCAGTTGGGGAAAGCCGGGGCTTAAGTTCTGAGGCGATCTGGGAAGTCATGATTCGGCCAAAGAAAAACAATGCTATGACTCCAAATGCTGAATTAGTGAAAGGTGAGAAGATCTTGGAGAGTCCGTTCCTGGCGCTACTGAGGTATCAAGCTGATGGATATACTGGCATCCATCGATGATGTAGAGGAAGAGCCTCACCCTTCGGAAAACGGGATCAGCGATGGTGCGTGAGTTTGTGTACCTAGGTGCTGTTGGTAAACGCGTTGGGTTGGGGGCCTGTAGCCCGCCTTGAATCGTTAGTCAGCGTCCTCAGCCCTCAACCCGGCGTTGCAGTGGAGGGCAGCAACCTTCATTACGACGTCGGGTGACGGAGAGAACATTAATGTTCGCCGCCTAGTCCTACGGAATGCGAACGCCTCTCCCCCGAAGGAGCTATATGTTGCAATATGCACGGTCCTCACCATTAGATGGCACGTCAAATAGGGTCGTAACAGTAGCAGTAGTATTGAAAACGGGAACTGTGTCCGCCCTTGAGGATTTTGGTCCACTATGTTGAGGCATGTACTCATATTTATATCAAGTAAATACAAGCCCAATCATTCAGACACCAAGAATGCATATAGATATTCTAGGAAGGTGTCAGCAGGAGGATTAGAACCCCATTGCTGACCAAGTGGTGTGCCCAGTTCGAGACGTACTACGTAATGCGTCCTACCCACCCAGGGTGTCGCCTCCTGTCGAAACTTGGGATGAGACTGGCACAACGATCTGTATCAGTTACCCAACGGCTCTGTGGCGAGCTTCCAATGCTCCGCTGAAACTTGCAGGTCGTATTTGTAGAAAATCACACCCAGCGCTCCATGGCCAGAGTCGATCGAGCAATGAGGGTTCGGCCGAGAAACATAGCACCGGCCAAATATCCCAATTCTTCTCGGGAATAGCTGGAAAGGTGAGGGACCAAATAGAGTCTAGAATTTAATGCCGAAGTCCCTCACATCAGCAACCCGGTTTGAGGATGCCGACCCCTGCTCACCAGTAATGTCAGAGTCACATTCGCGTCCATTTTAGTCGGTAAGAAGGCCTCGGATCGCAGCATCGTGGGCTTTTAACGGCTTAATGCTGCACGCCATCTGTGCTTTGCTTTGGGTTTCAAAACCGCAAAACTCGTCCCACTTGGGTTCTCGAACAGATGTAGCTCCATCGTCAACCTATAGAATAACCCCGATTGACGGCCTCGCCCACGGCACCAACGGCATCAAACGTCTGCATCTCTTCATTACTCCGGTTTCTTGCATTCAAAGGGTCGATGGCGCCGCTGCAGGTCGCTATGCCTATCGAGAAGAGGGCGCTGGCCCTCGTCAGCGACCGGGTCGGCCTGATTATAATGACGGTGATCTTCAGCATACTCGTTATTAGTGCAGTTATACTGCGCTTCAATGCGCGGAGCCTGACTAAGGCTGGTCTTAGAATTGACGACTGGTTCGCGTTGATTTCCCTTGTGAGCTTATTTTTAACCTCTCAGTTGCTCGCCCAGCACACCATTGCGAGCGACTATGGAAACTCTCCAGCATAACTGATGACAAGTAGATCTTCACTCTCGGTCTGAACGGCATCTTCCTCGCTGGTACTATCGAAGGTCCAATCACCGGTCATTCCGTCGTCGTGAACGACCTGCCAGTAACGAATGATCTCGAGATACTGACGCAGAAATACAAATATGCATATCAAACGACGGAGAAAATTGTCTTCGGACTTATCAAAATAACCATTTTGCTCCTTTGGAGGCGCATCTTTTCCAGGTCCAGGCGTCTCGTCATTATCTGTTATGTCATGATAACTATTATTACGGCCTGGACCGTGGCATTCTTCTTTGAGACAGTCTTCCAATGCGGGACGAAGTGGTCTCTGAACTGGGCGCCTATTTTCGTGTTTCTCACCATGTGCACCGCCAGCCTCGACGTGCTCACCGTATTTGGTGTTACCGACATACTCACAGATCTCATTATCCTTATCATGCCCATCCCGCTCATCTGGAGTCTCCAGATGCCCCAAAGGAAGAAAATCGCTGTTACGGGCATTTTCGCCCTCGGTTTCTTGTGAGTTTGACGGCCATCATACGCATACCTAATTACATATCACATACACGCCTACAGCATACATACACCCATACATATCATGCATAAACGCACATACATCTTACCCATACACTCAAACATATATACCATTGATACACCTATACGATACACCCAACCCATATCATCTCAAGATCACTGACCAGAAAAAAGCACCATCGGCGCCGGAATAGCCCGTCTATTCTACTACCTCGAGACATCCTACCACCAAAAGGAGAACCCCGATTTCATCGCCGACGTAACACTCACGTTACTCTGGTCCACAATCGAGGTCAACGTCGCCCTAATCGTCTGCAACCTGCCGGTCCTGGGTCCCATATTCCGGCGTTTCCGGAGCAACGTCGCCCTGATCTCGCGCCGGGTAGGGCTTTCGGGTTACTGGATCGACATCACGAAGGAGCGCACGGACGACGACGCCGTGAACAAAGGAAGCCATCAGCTCAGCGACCTTTCCCGGACGGGGAATCTCAGTACTGTGGACAACGAGGTAGAGACGGGTATGGGGACGGGTATGGGCTCTAGGACGTCGCAGCAGCAACAGCAGGGGAGGGATGCATGGGGCAAGGGCCGCGCAACGGTTGCTTCGGCGGGATTTTCAGGAAGCGATGGGGAGAATCCTAATCATGGCCCGGGTATCCTTGCGCGAACGGAGATATCTACTACTTTCGAAGAGAGGAGTCCACTTACAGTGTAGGTCTACCTCTTAACAAGGGAGACATGTGAGTGCGTGTAGGAATTGAATGTATGATGGCGGTTCTTTCAATTATGATATCCAGCAAGGCGTAAGGGAATGGGCATATGTAATATGCCACATGTGTGTATCTACTGTGATCATATTTATGTAGCTATCTATGAACAGAGCCATCGAATTGTAATATATAATTTCCTATGATTGACTGTATGTCTCAGTACCTACTCACTCCAAAGGGGTGGAGCTAGCTTATGAGTGAAGTATATAGGGGGCTAAGGTTTTCCCAAGAGTCGATGCTATCAAGCCCTTACCCCTATATTCGATCCATCTCCTATCTAAGTACTACTTGCTTCACTCCGAAAATATATACACGTATATCTCTAGCAATTCAACATATCGAGTCAGACCATCGACGTCGCAGATGAGACGAGCCGCATTCGAACTGTTCCTCGAAGGATTCACAAGCTAGTCATATTCCCACGCTGCGCTGTTTGTGTCACGATCTCACTCACCTAGGGCTACTGCGACCGTCCCAAGGCTACCGTTACCATCCTTCTCGTGCGACATCAAGCACCAATAGAGTCCTCCATGGTTGTAGTTCTCACAGTTTCACGCTATCATGCAGTTTCCAAGCCATGTATCTACAAATGTTACACACGCTGCAACCGAACATGCAGCTCGCCTTCTTTCGGGCCCCCCTACCCATCGAAAGATCCTTCATACGACTCTCTTTTAAGACATACGAAAACGCACACGAAAACACACGAAATCACACAAATCTTCACTAGACTGAGACACTTTCAGACTCCTTGCAATCATAGCAGGGCAGTACTGTGACACTCATTTTTCCGCCCTTGCCCCTGTCCTATTCTGTCCTAGCAAGACCATCAGATTCCTCTTTGATCAAGAGCGGACCTAGCAGATTATTATATCGTGAACACCTTCAATTCCAAAACCTTTCACCAGCCCTTAGTATATGTACGTACATACATGCATACATACATTTCCATAATGATGATGAAAGTAGCAGGGGTGATTAAGTGCCAGGTACACCTCTCCTTTACTTCTTCACCAAGATAGTAAGAAATACAAAATGAAAGCATTCAACCTTAATTCCAATACTACATAATACTATTATCTACTCAAGGCGAGTGAGTCGAGGCGATCATTAAATAGTAATTAATACCTAACCTACTAAATACATGTCCCTGCCTACCAACTTCCTACCAATTTCACGCCCCCAAACGTCATGCTCCGTTGCTCGTCTTAAAACTTAAACTGCCCTGCCTAATCATCTTCCTATAACCATACTTCCCATCCTCACCTCCTTATACCTTCCAACTTGTATCAAGAGATTGAATCGCAGGTCTCTATGAATAGGTAAGCTTCAACAAAGTCCCTTCAACTAATCTCCTGTCCGGATAACACTTGATTTTTCTTCCTCTCTTCCCAATGGCGGATCGCGTTTGCCGAGACATTTTTCGCCGGAACCTAGGAAGGGTATTAGCTCGCCAACTTAAACAGTAGGGAGTAGATTGATTCAAGGATTATCCAAGGACAATTAAGGGATTTGTATGATAGAATAGAGAGGGAATGATTGTGCATGTGTGTGTATGAGACAAGAAGAAAATGAAATTAAAAAAGAAATGCGTCGAGAACTCATTCTTGAGATGTTCGTATACTACCCTAATCATAAAGCAGGGATAATAGGTGAGGTATGGGAAATACATACCCAAGACGCCGGCCACTGTAATTTCAGATTAACATCTCATCCAATAGATTAGAGTGTCAGAATGTAACTCTTAAAAAGTGAATAATAATCTGTGTAAATTCGGAAAAATCTCACCCACCTTTACTCCAGTGCGCGGATCCCGTCCCTCCCACTCAACCAGATACAGCCCACTCGGGACCTCATTGATAATCTCACAAATTTGGTGCCAGCCTTTACGTGTTGATGACGCCTCAGAACCAGATTTCTCCCTGCCCACTTCTCCATTCTCGAGGGCACTTTGATCCGAGGAATGCTGATCTGGAATCTGGTTTTCGGCAATAGAATTTACATCATTGCACAGTGTTGTAGTCGTGCCAAGACATGATAGTGAATTCGACGGGGTAGGCGACGATCGTGCGTCGGTCATCGAACGCGATTCCGAAACCAGCTTTTTCCGAGGTCGTAGAACGGTCACTAGCTCCCGTGGTGCGGGCGTATGAGGTGCCAGGGAGGGTTTAGCGGATGAGGTGGACGGCGTGCAGCTGATCTCCGGTACGAGTTCCGCAGCACCCACATTCTTGGTAGGAGTCAGTGGCGCATTCAAAGTGCTTTCCGGCGAGTCGGGCGTCGAGACAATGCTACCGCCTTGAACCTCTGATCTTGGCAGAGGCGCTTCAACCGTGTCTTTCAAGGCGAAATCTTCAGCGGAGATTACGACGGCTGGTGTGAGATCAACAGGGTCACTTCCTTGTATAGTCGCACGAAGACTCTCACGAATAGCTCGGCGAAGGGAGCTTCGTTGGGGTAGAGTAGGGGTCAATTCAGTCATGCGTTGAAACCTCGAGGGTAGCCAAGTATGTCTTCGAGGCTGTCGCTTTTCGATTGATTCTGGACTTGGTGCACTGGATCGTGCCAAGTCCAGTTTTGGGAGGTGTGTTGATGGGCCGGACTCCCCATCGCCAGAGGCGAACGCCTTTAGACTCTCACAGATTGCTCTTCGAAGAGAACTACGCTGGGGGTTTAATCTCAAGGCTGGAACGTGAGGTGGCCCTGAAAGGTGCGTGGTAGCGCTGCCGGTACTAATATCTTTGGAAGCGCTCTGAGCTGAATGTTTGGGCATTTGCCCCGGAACTGGAAGGTTGGGTGGTGCCGAATCTGGAGTAACTGAGATAGGAATGGAAGGATTTTCATCGAATAACTTCTGGCTCTCGCGTAGCGCATGGCGCAATGAACTGCGCTGTGGTATGGCCACTTGTTGAACATGATGGGGATAGGAGGTATGGCACGTAACGGGGCGAGGCTTACTTATCCCAGCTACTTCGTCTTTCCCGGAAGGTTGTTTGCGGCTGGATGATAACTGAAGACGAGTCTGTGCCGCTGGCGCTCCTTGCAGGCTCGAGCGTGACCTTGTGTAAGGTCCCGTAGCAGGAGATTTTGAACGGTCTATTCGGTGTCGTCTAATTGGCGCCATCTCGAAGATTCCGGGCTCCTAACACTCACGACTGTGTTTTGGCTAGTATCATAAAGGGCGGACTGGGCTAGATGCTGTAAACGGAGGAAGGGCAAGTGGATGAAGCAGGTGTGCGCCGGCCAATGGCCACAAATGCTAAATGATGGCTTGGGTTGAGACGGGGGAGAGATGCAAAGACGGGATACACAGGTGATTAACTTTGATGTCGAACAAGACGGACCCTGCCGGGCACATGTGCCTCTATTGTCTGTCCCATGAAAAAGGGCGGCAAGAATTAGGCCTGGTAGAGGGCGCAGGACATAACGGCACGAGATGAGAAGAAACGAGATGGTGCCTCAGATGGGAGATGAATATGACATGGCATCTCAAAAGTAGATGAGGACCACTAGGTAAGTTTATGGGTAATCGGCTTGCTAAGATGGAGGTAGGCTTCAAGGTTATTCCAGGCTGGTTGAACTCTAATGCTGCTGCTGCTGCCACTGTCTTCTGAGCCAGACGTGATCCGATCTTGCAAGAAGCTGGTACTTTGCTGACCGACTTCAGATACCTCACCCACGTCGATTCAATTCCCTGTCTACGGAGTACCGCCATGTGTTTGCTGAAGTATAGACATAATGTGGGTGGACGTGTGGACGTCTCTGAGCACATAACCTTCGCTGTAGGTACCTACATCTATGTAGTACCCACCGAATTTGTGAAAGACGTTGAAGAAATTACTCTCCAGAGTAAGGCAAGTATGGCATAGCTTCGGTAGGTGCTTTCTCGCACACTCCCATGTTCCTGGTCCCGTCCCGTCCCGTCCCGTCCTCTCAAATATATTACTAGGTGCTACTAATATCATTTACCTAGATGCCCAGGTCCTTGCATTCTGCATCGCCATGCCTCCTATTACGGGTTCATGCATAGTACTGATCGAGAGGCTCTGATCACTCTACAACCAGAACCACAAATGTCTTACGTACCTAGGTAGGCACTCCGGTCCTTGGGAATATCAGCAGTCTCTATCCAGTTACTCTCCTTCACAGCACTAGGGAGACAGGGAGAAATGACTCCTTCCGAACGATGGGGTCACATATAGCTATGATAGGCAGTAACAATACATTTTACTGGTCAAGGCACTTCGTTGCTTACTGTAGTTGTTGCCGTTGTTGTTGTTGTTGCTGTTGCTTTCACATTCTAGTATCTGCCGATCTAAGCCTAGTGATAGAGCCATGTTGGCATTAGTTGTCCACTCCTCTAACACTTCCTTCAACACCCAACCCAACGGGGTAGAACACACCGTTAAGGTTATTATACCCGGGCAGATTTTTGGTCTAGTAGACAGCTAGGTGGCTATCCCGACGATACGCCCCCTCTCTCGTCCCTTGGGCGCTCCCCTACAGCCCGGTACTCCGGTATTACTTTCCACCTTGATTTTACATCTGCGTTTCTCATTACATCGTATGTTCTTGCTTTCATGCCACCAAGTCGCACGGCTTAGACTCTAAAATGTCTCCTGGTCATCCAACGCCTCTCCCTCGGCTGGGATCTCAAAGCCCTCCTCAGTTGAGTATAATATCGTCTGGATCTGCTTGATGAGACCATCTTCTTGCTTGTCGAGCTCTGGGTCATCCTCCACCGCCTGCTGGATCAACAGTTCGATGTCCCGCAATTTGCTGAAGTAAAAGTCTCTCTCGCGCTCGAGGCCAACCACGGTCTCCTTGAGCGTGTTATTCTCCTGGAGAAGGGCCGCTGATGCCGCACCACCGGCGGCACCACCAGCCTTGACGCCTAGACGAGGGCCCGTCGTAGGAGTCGTGCCTCTCCGAGCAGCTCCCGCGCTGCCGGCGGTGGCCCGTGGGCCGGGGCCCGTGGGGGGCAGAGTACCTCCTTTCCGGCGCGCAACGGCATCGTAGTCCCCGCCTGGGAAGTACTGATCCCAGAACTTCTTGGTCCATTGCAGGAATTCAAGGTTGTCCTGCATTTTGCATTTTGTCAGGGCTTCGACAGGGACGGGCTTGTCGACATGGTGCTTAGCGAAAGTATCTAGCACACAGCGTGTAAGCGTCAGCACAGGTTAGGGATAGAATCCAGGGAGAAGAGAAGCAGGAATAGAAGGGGGGGCGGCGAGGGTTAGAGGTAGACTTTTGAAGGCGCGGGACTGACTTTGTAGGACCTTGAAGTTTTGTACATATGCCCATTCGCTATTGACGTTGAACTTGACGCGGGACATAGGCACGTCCATGAAGATGCTATCGAAAACCTGACATAGGGCAGCACTATGATTGGGGCGCAACCATGTTAGCTAGCTATCCTACTGCTTATTCAGAGTGGGAAAGGGTGGCTCAGAGGCACGCCCTCCGAGGGAGGTAGACGGCGCAGGGCATTTATGTCATAGTCCAGGTCGGAAGAATTAAGAAAAGGCGGTTTCGCGGACGTGTGTGGACGGCAGGAATGAGGCTGGAAGCCGGAGATGCCTGTGTCCCTGTGCCTGTGATGTCGTTTGGTGGGGGAGGGGTAGCGAGAATAAATATGCAGGGGTTCGCGATGGCGTCCCTTTTTTGACAGCTTCTGTTGATGTGGTCTTCATGATGTGCTTACCCGGTACCACATTGTTCGACCTTGGTCATATTCAGTTGCAGAAGGCTGTTGAGCCATGCTACGAGCTCCTGTCTGCATGCGGCGACACAGGAGAGCATCGGTCAGCTAGGTCGGCGTTGCGCGTGTGTGCGGTAAGGCACTCGTGGACGGGCGACTTACCGTGACTCTCCCATGTTTGCTCTCTTGGCCGGGCTCTATAAGCGAAAGGGTCGGGCCGTGTGTGGAAGCGTTTCAGAAAGGAAGGGATGTCGGGGGCCGCCGTTGGTTTGGGAGGGGAATGGCGGTGAAGATATAGCGGCCGAAGGCTTGAAGTGGTTTTGTCGAGAGAGGGGAGGTAGGTCAAGTTGAACAGATGAACAGATGAGTAGACGAAGTAAAGAATGCAAAAGAGAGGCCGTGATTGATTGGAGAGCGACTTGCCTAGGTACCTCTAGGTAGGTACCTACCTAGGTAGCAAATGGGACAACTTTAGCAAGCACTCAGCACCAAAGCAGCCTTTAAATTAGAAGGGTAGAGGGTCCTGTGCTGGGTAGCAATTGGCTGTATCGTCGCCCAGTCAGCCGCTGAAGCCATTAAGTACCTTAGGTAAAAGCATTCCGTGGAGACCTCTGACTTCGATCCCCTAAGCAGACTCCTAAGCTTATATTTGGACAATATAAATAAGAAATCAATACTTGAACAGCTCGGGTCATCATCAGGTATGTATATATATATATGTGGGTGGAAAAGGATATCATCTGTTGTTTTCATCATCTGTGGTCCTAACCTCTCTCTGTCCCAGGTACTAATAAGTACTTACTGTACGGATATTTAGTAGGTATGTATCCAGTATTGCCTGCAACTGCCTCGGCGCCATATCTGGCAGTGCCCGTAGAGATGCAGTTTTCTATATTGTGACGCTTTCAAAGTTTGCAGCTCATGATATTTCTCTATCCATCTATATGAGTAAGGAGGTAGCCATCTGTACACTACTATTTCTTGTATGAGGTAGGTATTTGGGGGGCTTTGGATCCACAGCTGTCTACCTACCCAGGTACATGTAGGTAGATCGCCATCCGGACTGGGGGTCCTGAAATCTGATGTCACCAGATGATGGAGGATAGATCCTCTGTCTCTGACTGACCTCGACACACAAGCTGAGAGAGCCCTCGAGCAAACCTATAACCCTACAAACCTGCAATTGATATTTCCAACTTTCGATGCGAAGAGACGGGCATTGAGAAGAACTACTTCCTAACTTACCCTACATTAAGCTTTTCTCTCTCCGTACACACCCTTTCCGAGACCACGAGACCAACGGGACCAGCGGCGCCAGATCTATAACTACCTACCTTAGAACTACCTTAGAATCACCTCCCTTTATCAAGCCGGCTGACTGCGAGGAGAGAGAAATACGCATATATCCTCTTCTAGTTCTAGACGGCCGAAGAACGGCAACATCTGCTAGAATACCTAGGTAGGTAGGTAGCTATTGCGCCCCCATTCCTGTGTGTCGCGGCCTGCCATTGCCTGCTATTGCCCACGATCCTGATCGAATGGGAACAGATACATCCAACCACGCTGGCTCCACCTCGTGGCTTCTTCCAGCATTCAAGCCCCCATAATAGACTCAGTCTCGCGCGCATCGTCTTCCCACGAAGCCTGCGCGACCGATACCGCGAACGCCTCATTGGCTTCCACCTCGACACCCTTCCCTATTATAAGCACCGCTTGCAGAGTCGCGTATATAGGTATATCCTCGAGCGCCAGCGCCGTCGCCAAGAGCAGTCGCGGCTTGTCGATCGCGCGAGACGGCTGCTCCTGGGTCGGCCGGCCGCGAAAAGCATAAAGCATGGGATCGCAACGCGCCTTGGGAATATGAGTTCCATGCCCGCCCTGGGTGTCGGGACCGGCAACTATGGCGCCGATGGTGGCCGCGAGAGGGGCGCCAGGAGGAGGAAACTGGCCGCCATGGCTGGCAGCGTCTATCGCGCTGGTGCCGTGGCCGTCAATGAAATCAAGGAGTCTTACAATCAGACGAGGTCGAGCGAAGTGGACACTCTAGAGGCTTCTAAGATCACCATCCCAGGGTCATTCCCTGATGTCGCCATCGTCACCAAAGGGAACGAGCAGATGGTCTTGTTCCCCTCCTATGCAAAACGGCATGTTAAGGAAGCACCGAGGCAGTTCGCTCGCCCTGGAGGACCGCCACCTCCGTCAGCCGTCGACATGAGTGAACAGGAGTACTGGCGGCAAGAATGGGCTCGATATGAGGACGAAAAGGCCGTTATGGATGTGGACGTCCGGGGCTGGATATACAATCCTCATAAAGGTCCCATGACGCGACGCAATCGCGTCCTCATTGGGCTAGCGAGACAGTTGAGCGGGATTCCGGCCCCCGGATTGCAGGCTGCTGGCAATACAGCGGGCGATGATTCTTTCTCCAGCATACATCAACAACATGAAGAGGAACGGGAAAGGCAGAGTATTGCGCGGGAAGCTCAAGAGATTGAGCGCAGGGGCCGTGCCGAAGAACAGGCCGCACAGCAAGGTGATTATAGTGAAAGACCTCGAGATGAAGCTTCCGAGGATGAAGGCGATGGACGCAAATATCGAGCTAGCAGAAGTCCAACACCACCTGCATTGCCTTCGAGGACGAATACAGCTACGGCGTCTACTCTTACTGATGCGGAATTAGCCGTTGCTAACGCGAACCTCATGGCGCGGATTGGTCCCTTTATGACAACGCCTTTGGTCGCGGTGCCCATTACACTATTCTTCTACAACGATACCACGTCTCAGTCGCGCACAGTAATGACTGATGATTCTGGCCACTTCGTTATCCGGGCAGCACTCGATTTCGTACCCACCCATGTTCGAGTCTTGGCAAACGAAGATATCTCTTGCACCGAGCCCATACAGGTCATCGAGCCCCGAGGTGTCAGCTTGATCAGTGACATTGATGATACCATCAAGCGCTCGAATATAGCTCTAGGTGCCAAGGAGATCTTTCGAAATACCTTCGTGCGTGAGCTCAAAGATTTGACAATCGATGGCGTCAAAGATTGGTACAACACCCTACATGACATGGGCGTAAGAATACACTACTGCTCCAATAGTCCCTGGCAACTCTATCCCGTCCTCGCCACGTACTTCAAACTTGCCAGCCTACCACATGGCTCATTACACTTGAAACGATACACCGGTATGCTACAAGGGATTTTTGAGCCCGTGGCCGAACGCAAAAAGGGTACACTAGAAAAGATTATGCATGACTTTCCAGAAAGAAAATTCCTTCTCGTGGGAGACAGTGGCGAGGCTGACTTGGAGGTATACACTGAGTTAGCCGTCGCCAATCCCGGGCGAATTAAGGGAATTTTCATCCGAGACGTTACCACCCCGGAACGACCGGGCTACTTTGATGCCGCCTATAATACCCCCGAGACCCGCAATCTCTCTAGGGCCACGCAGAACCGTTTGGATCAAAAGTCCAGGAGCAGTTCGAAAGATGATCCGAAGAGAAGGCCAGCTCTCCCCCCTCGTGACACAACTGCGTCCAAGAGTGACGAAGGTCTCGTGATGGGTGACTTGATAGATCTCTCAGATGACCCCACGCCGATACACCGCACTCAATCGGCCATGTCAAGCACAGAATCAGCACCGGGACAAGGAGCGCAGACTGCCAACCCGCGGAGCCGTAAGCCTCCCCCTAAGCCGGCGAAGCCCTCGGCTTTACAGAGCACTCAAACAATTCCAAAGGTATCATCCAAGGACGCCAGCCCTGACAACCGAAAGCCGACTCCCACACCACCCCCGCCCCGTCGGTTATACACCGGCTCAGAGCCATCATCCAAGACCCTTCCTCTACACCCACTCTCGCAGATCCATAATTCCTCAGAGCGGTCCTTCGAATCCAGCCCAAATCCATCCACCCGATCCTCCGACACCCCACCGCCTCCACCGCCTCCCCGTCGCCGCGGCACACCATCAAGCATGCCAGGTCCAACCCCGCACGCCAGGCAATGGACCGACTCGGGTCCAGGAACAAGACTTAGCAGCAACAACAACAGCCCAGGGACCTCAACACCACCAAGTCCAAATCAAGGCCAAGGTCCCTTGAACAAAAAGGTTGAACTCTGGCGCCGCCGCCTCGAGCGCGCGCAGGACACGCTTTCGCAGCACGGCGTGCCGCTGTATACGTGGCGGCGCGGCGAGGATGTCGTTGCTGAAGCTATCGGAATTGTGAAGGAGGCAGAGAGGGAGCTGAGATTATAGAATTCATAGTGGAAACTAGGCAAGAAGGGGGGTTATGTGTATAGTAGTACAGAAGCAGAGAAATATGAACTGAAGCAATCTCTCAAGCCAATATCTCCTGTTTTTCTCTACTCGCTCACCCACTCACCCACTATGTCCTTGGTACATGAGATGAACACGCAGTTTCCTTTATATATATACCCGTAGTTATATATAATGTGGAGACGAACATGAATATGAATAGCTACGAATAGAAGATAGTTATATATCAATTATTGCCTAATTGTCTGCGTAGAGGAAGATGTATGTAAGTATATATAAGTAGATGAGATAGAACAGGGACTTTCACTCTCGCTTTTAGATATCTTGATGTCGATGTTAAAAGGGTATATCAGTCACTCACTCACTCACTCACTTAGCCCCACAGCTATAAGTTATCTCCAACAATAGCAAAAACACGACTTCAAAATACCCTCTCTTTTTTCCCTCTCTCCCTCATCCTCATCCACATTATACCCATTTTAGTTAATTCCAATTCAGGGCTAATGTATACCATTCATACCATTAAAGCATCATCATTCCCAATATGAAATGAAATATATCCATGTACGCATTACAACTCAATAAGGCTTAGATTAGGCAGCCTGCGTAGCTAAATCACTACATCACGACACTGTATCCATCGACATCACACGCTCCTCACCTCCTCTTCCCACCCTTACTTGGAACAACCTTCCTACTCGCCTTAGCCCCGGGGGCATTACTCCCCTTTCCCATCCCCTTACCCCCAGTCTTCCCCTTCTTATCCTTCGCAAAATTCAGCACAGCGCCCTTCCCAGCACGTTCCAGTGCGCCCTTCTTCCACATCCTCCCTCCACCCTCCGCACTATCCTCCTTCCTCACACTCCTCGCATCCAGTTTCTTCTTATCCTTATTACTCAACTTGCCTCCTCCTTTCTTCTTCAACTTCTCTCTGAACCCATTCAATTCGTTCCGGCCCGCTTCCTTCGCAGCTTTCTTATCAGCCTGGGTCTCGAACCAAGTGCGTTTCGGGCGGCCTTTAATCTCATCTTCGTGCACGACCATATTCTCTCCCTTGCGGATCTGCATTTCCGCCTGCGCTAGCTGGCGCTCTTCTTTCTCCTCGCGCGCGATGGCGGTGATTTCGTCTTCGAGCTCTTCGATCCGCGCGGCCCATTTGTCTGCGTCCGCGGGCTCGATGATGAGGGAGCTGATCTTGGCGCCTTGCGATTTGCCTGCTTTTACGGCGGCTTTGACGACCTTGCGGTCGGGTTCCGCTGCTAGTGTTATGGCTACGCCGGAGCGGCCTGCTCTGGCTGTGCGTCCGACACGATGTACGTAGATCTCTAAGGTCTGGGGGCCTTCGTAGTTGATGACTGTGTCTACGCCTTTGATATCAAGACCACGGGAGGCCAGATCGGTTGCAAGGAGGAAATTTACCTTGCCATCTCGGAATGCTTCTACGCTTGTAATACGCTAGGTATATGTTAGATGTGCCGGCCATTGGGATAAAGAAGCCCATCGTGTAGGAGGATTAGACGAGAATAATGAACATACCTGACTCTGGTTCATGCTGCCATGGAGCTCAGCACAAGACAGGTTGAATAATGCAAATATGATACGCGCTCGATGCGCATCTTTCTTTTGCCTGAAGAAGATGATAACGCGCTCCGTATGCATCGTCTTACAAATGTGAATGAGGTAGCCCATTCGCTTCTCCTCTCTTCCGGGCCGTAACCTAACGAATTTCTGCTCAAGCTTGTCGACTGTCTTCTTCTGCGAATCCACCATGACTCGGACGGGCTTGTTCAGCCCCACGCGGATGAGACGGTCAACGGACGAAGTCATGGTAGCTGAGAACAGCATGGTCTGTCGCGACTTGGGCAGCGTCGTTAGGATCTCGTTTAGTTCATCGGCGAATCCATCTTCCAGCATACGATCAGCCTCGTCGAGAACGAGAATCTCAATCGTGTCTGTGGCAAAGCTAGCCGAGTTGCGCATATGATCGATGAATCGCCCGGGCGTGGCGATGATGACGTCGGGACGTAAGCGCAGCTCTGCCTCTTGCACTTTCAGACTTAGACCACCGACTGCTAGACAAAACTTGATATCTGTGTGGCCAGCAAGCTTCGTGGCGACAGCATGGCATTGAATGGCCAGCTCTCGTGTTGGTGCCAAGATGATGACGCGACTGGTCGGGATTTTGTTGGGCCTGTAAAGCAACCGCTCGAGTATGGGCACAACAAACGCGGCTGTTTTACCAGAACCCGTCACGGCACCTCCAACCAAGTCCCTACCCTCTAGTGCGAGCGGTATCGTCTTGGCTTGAATTGGAGTAGGCGTGTTAAAGCCGACAGTGTTCAGGCCGCGCAGTATCGGGCGGGAGAGGGACATGGTTTGAAACGATTTCGCGTTCTGCTTTCCCCCGGTTTTCTTTTCTTCGGGAGCGAAGAAAGCTTCTCGCTTAGCTGCCTCTTCGGGGTCTTCCTCATCATCTGTGACGTCGGAGTGGTCCGTATCATCAGGGTGATCGACAGGCGTAGCAGTTGAGTCATTGTCTGAGGCGTCCGCGTCATCATCTTCCCCTGCCTCACTATCCTCCTCTTCTCCGGATTCATCTTCTCCAGCGGCATCGTCTCCCGACTCGTCATCCGAAGCGGCGCCCATACCAAAACCATCTTCAGCTAGCACTTCGTCGTCCTCGTCGTCGAGGTCTATGTCTTCCAGTTGGTCATCTTGCTCGGACTGAGAGTCTGGTTCAGGTGCTTGTTCGTCTTGGGTTTTGCCGTTCTTGTCCTGCTTATCCCTCCGCCTTCGGACAATTTCATCTACGTCGACTACTTTCTTCTGTGCAGCGCCATTCATGGCCTTGCGGGCACCTTCAAAGCCCCAACCCTCGAAATCTTCAGCGCGGAAGTCTGTCGTCTTATCCTCAATGAACTCGAATTCAGAGTCCATAGCCCCGTCGTCTTCCTCTTTCTTGCCCCAGATGCCATCCTCGACATCGTCATCGGCCGAGGCGCCATTCTTGGACTTTTTGGACTTTTTCTTGGGCGGGTTTGGCTCGACTGCTTCTGGGTCGAGGTCGGGGATGTCGTCATTGTCCGACAAGGTATATATAAAATCGTCGACTTTCCTTTTTGACGCCATTCTGCAAGAAAAGGAACGTATCTAGTTGGGAAATGGCGTTGATGTGGCTAGAATACAAGTGTGCTACTGCTGGTACGGCCAATGGCTGCTGCGCTTCGCTGAGACGGAAACCTCGAAATAATTATTTTTTGCGCCGGGCGGTGAAGCTAAAAGCCCCGCATAGCGGAATTATGTCGCGGAATCGCCCCGCGCTGCAAGGGACCTGTGCCAGTTGCAAAGGCCCCGTGAAGCAGGTACCCGTTGGGACTCCACTTCCGTCGCCAACCTTCTGACTTCCAGTAGAAGGGTTGGGGTCTTTGACTTGAAAATGACCAGTTGACTTGATA